GTGTGGGGCTGTTGCCTGGTGTGTTCACAGTGAAGGCGGTGGTATGGAGGCGCTGTTGCCTGGTGTGTGTACAGTGAAGTTGGTGGGGTAAAGGCGCGGGAAGGTTGGGATAATGAAAGGTTGAATGCAGCTTTCGACCGGATTTGCATTGCTTTCTGAGTGCATGCGCATCTCAGCCCACGCGACGAGGCTAAGACCACATCGATGACAATATCTCTTCTTCAGCCACCCAGCCAAGCCGAGTCAAAGCCAACGAAAAGATATACGTATGTTGAGGGTCCCGCCGCTCCCCCAACCGCTCCCGTTAAGAAGCCCCAACCTCGAGAGGGGTCTCATTCCAGCCTTCTTGTCTTGACACCTTCGACCACGCGGTGCCATGTGGTAGGGTGTCTCAACAAGCGGGCTGAGACGAGACCCCTCTCGAGGTTACTGGTCTGATACAGACCCCTTCGACCTGGGCGCCCAGGTACAACAATTCTCTCTTTGGAGAATGACATCCGTGATGGCCCTTTTCTTAGGACCATCGCGTCCGGAGTGGTTCTTCTTTGAAGACCACCATGAGCTGCAGCGTTCCTCTCTGGGAAGCTTCGTGATGTTAGCAACTGGTTGTCTTTCTCGGAGGTCGGGAAGGACAAAGGAGAGAGAGAGAACATACCTCGCACTCATGTCGGCAGCCCCACCTCTCTACCAACCAGCCCGGTCAAGAGCGTCCCTATAATATCTTTCCTACCGTGTACACCCGTTTCGTCTTCTTACGGGATTGACACAACACCGACACACACCCCTATCTGTGTCTCTCTGGTCTTTTGCCAGAGTCTCTTCTCTTCTCTTCGACAGCGGACCTCGTATGCAATGACTCCTCTTTGGGTAGTCACCATACACCTGTGTCATGTCAGCTCTCCGTCCCAAATGTTCAGTGGAACAGGTGGAAATGGGGAAAGGTAAACAAGTCATACCTCACCTCCCGATGTTGAACAGCCCCACCGCTCTGCCAACCGGCTCTTTCAAGAGCCTCCCGCTACAGGCCCTTCCTACCGTGTAAACCCTTTGGGCGACCCACGGTCCAGGTTGTAGCGCTGGTGTGTTGCACACCCCAGAGATGTGTGTTGATGATGGTAGTTGATGTGAGGGGAGGGAAGAGAGAGATGCTGTAGGGGCAGATATATATGTATGAAATGTGTTTGCTAAGAAGAAAGACCGCGTGCGCTTGACTGTCGGGCGGGTGATGAAGATTGTGATTGTTAGTGTTTTCTTTCGCGCTTTCATGACAGGTGCGAGTGTGATTGAGGAACCGACTAGACATGTTGAAAGAACCTTGGAAGGCTAGAAAGTAAAACTTCGGTATAGAGAAGACTGGTACTACGCGTAGATGTCCCTAAAAATGACGAGAGTAGCAAGATGCGTGCCAGACGATGCCAGCATCGCGCGTCCACTGGCTGCGATGGTGTACTCTCGCGCCGTTCGACCGGAGGATCAAGCTTTCTGTATGTGAAGCCATATCGCTCCTTCTGCACTTTCAAGGCTTCTTCCTTCCTTCCAACTGACCAAACACCGTGGTTTTGACTGACTTGGCGCTTCACACCCCTCACATGACGTTCTTCAGTCAATGGCTTCCACACAAGGTGCGCGGTTGTTCGGCGCCGATCAGCCTCGGCATATGGACAGCCGAACGCTGGACCGACGTAGGCCCAGCACCAGCTCTCCGGAGCACTGGAGCTTGCACATGCGAAACCCAAATCCGCTCTCGCCCACATCAGCCACGCATTTTCGCTCTTCATCGCATTGTGGGAGCAGTCGCGTAGGTATCTTCTTGCTCTAGACGGGTTCTTCGGTCTTTGCATCTGCTTCTGCTGCCTCTACCCGGATTCTACGCGCGCCAGTCTATCCCACGCGACCCCACCACAGCTCCCACCATGTCAAACACGGCGGATTCGGTCATTGAGAAGCTGCCCAACACGGCTGAGCTGAAAGAAGATGTCAAGGCAGCGTCCAAGTCTTCGCTGCAGTCGCTGCGGGCGCTGCTAGCGGGAGGTGTGGGTGGAGTGTTTGCTGTTGTGGTCGGCCATCCCTTTGATCTGGTCAAGGTGCGCATGCAGACGGCAGAGAAGGGCGTCTACACCGGGGCTATGGACGTTGTGCGGAAGACCATCGCAAAGGAAGGACTGGCCAGGGGCTTGTATGCAGGTGTTTCTGCGCCGCTTGTTGGTGTAACACCCATGTGTGAGTACAGGAGGACCAGTATATGAATAACCAAGGCTGACATTGACAGTCGCCGTGTCCTTCTGGGGCTATGATCTCGGCAAGCAACTCGTATCCAGCGTATCCAAGGTCGAGAACAACCAGTTCAGCGTCGCACAGGTCTCCGCCGCCGGTTTCTTCAGCGCCATCCCCATGACCATCATCACCGCACCCTTCGAGCGCGTAAAGGTGCTGCTGCAGATTCAGGGGCAAAAGAACCTGGCGCCTGGCGAGAAGCCAAAATACGCTGGTGGCATGGATGTGGTCAAGCAGCTCTACAAGGAGGGCGGCATCAAGTCAGTGTACCGCGGCTCTGCCATGACACTGGCGCGTGACGGTCCTGGATCAGCTCTCTACTTTGCGACATACGAGACCGTCAAGCGTAGCCTCACGCCCAAAGACCCTGTCACCGGTCAGCCGGGGTCGCTGAGTATGGGCGCCGTCATGGTTGCTGGTGGTGCTGCCGGTATCGCCATGTGGATACCCGTCTTCCCAGTCGACACCATCAAGTCGCGGTTGCAAAGTGCCGAAGGCCGACCAACAATCAGCGGAACCATCAAGGGCATCCACGCGAGCGGTGGTCTCAAGGCTTTCTTCCCTGGTATTGGCCCAGCCATGGCACGAGCAGTGCCTGCCAACGCAGCCACCTTTGCCGGTGTAGAGCTTGCGCAAAAGGCAATGACGAAGATGTTCGACCGCGACGGCGAGTAAGGGATTCGCCACAGTCCTCCTACAATTTTCGGATTCGCTTTTCTTTCATACTCCATGTCTATCTCATGTTGATCACGAACGATTTGGTGGCATTGCATATGGCGTTGTTAGTTTTCGCCTCCGCGCTTAGATATAGAGCAAGGGGCTTTCTGGGCGAACTCCACCCTTCGTCCCACTCGCCAATAGATACTGTTCTCACATACCCATCGTTCCTACGTCCAAAGTACCGGTTTTGGGCGGCCATGTGTGGTCTGTGCAAGCCAGGGCCCATCGGAATGCGGTTGCATCCGCAGTCCACTCTTCCCGCCCAACCAAAAGCCGGCCAAGATGACAAAAGCCTTGCGCTCGCTACCGCTGTCATGGACCTGGTAAGGCGCCGGATGTAGACATGCAGTACTAGGTGCATACCGCCTTTGTTTGCTATACAATCCTCCGGTAGTCGCCACCACCCCCCGCGTCAATATGCCTTGCTTCGCCTTTGTCCTCGTCTATATCTCCCGTATTCGTACTGTATGTGTTTCAGGGATTATCGTGTCGATACTATTAAGAGGTGGACGGGATGTCCTGATGACGCGGGAAGATTAACCTCGGTGATGAATCGAGGTGTTGAGAGATACGACAATGGAGCCTGCGCGAACCCGGACGCCATCGATCTCGAGATCTGTTGCGCCAAAGTTTTCGCCCCTAATCCAGCACCCTGTGTCTTCTACCGCTGAATCAGACAAGGCTCATCCCATCTTTCTCGAGCACCCCTTCGAAAGACTGTCTCCTACGCTGGCAGCATATCCGCGCGTTGTCGAAGCTTTACAAAGGAGACGAATATCAGTCTATCCCGACGTCAGCGAAACGATGCAGAAAGCGCTAGGTCACCGTGCCGACTTCTTCGACGATTTCTCTTCGGAATCAGAATGGGAGGACAGGATGAGCAAAACGATGCAGAGTCCGATTACAAGCGAAGGGCCGGGTCTGAGAGACATTCTGTACGACATTCACGGCGATATTGAGAATGCGCAGCGCGGAAGGAATAGGCAACGCAGCACCATCACCTCGTTGCCCAGACTCGCAGATCTTGCAGATGTCTCTGGCTCTGGAACTGATGACAGTGGAACCGGCGATGAGCGAGCTTCTGGTCGAGGAACCAATCACGCACGAAAGATGTCTCTGACACGTCTGAACAAGGACAATGTGCGCCTGGTGGATAACAGGTCTATCAGGTCCAGTATCGACTCGCCGAGACACTCGTTACGCAGCAACATGTCTTTGCCCAACTCTCCGCTCATGGCATCGGTCAATTCAGCACCATTCAGTACATCAGGACCTCTCGAGGATACAATCACAGCCCTACCGCAAAGCCCAACGTTCGGCAGAGAACACAGAAGAACCGCGTCGTCAAACAGCACATCCGACAGCGTCCTCGCAGACTCCATCATAAACGCCCACGTCATGACCATGCGCGCCCTCGAAGCCTTGAGTTCAGACCCAAGAAGCATAGACCCGAGAGTCAGTAGCGACATAGCAAACGCAGCAGGTCGCACATACCTGCACTCCGCCTCCACAACCTCCTGGCCCAAATCCACCTCCTTCTCCGCCAACCGACACGTCACCCTCTCCCCTCTATCAACCGGCGATGGAGACCAAGACGACAGAGCCAGCCGCCACCGCACCGCACAAATCTACTCCCCCGCCATCAAATCACCCAACCCCTTCTCCGTCCCTAATACCGCTAATACCACAATCACAAACCCCGACCTCCTCATCCCAAAAGCTAGCTACATCCCGCAAAAACATGCTAGCATCCTAGATTCCCATCTCTCCGCCCTCAACTTCTCGCTCTCGAACCGCACGACGGAGGATTACACTAGGTTGAACTCGTGCTGTACGAGTGCGTTTCCGTTTGCAGATGAGCCGAAGAGCCCGTATGATGATCGGAAGGGGAAGGAAGTTCTTGGGCTTATGACGGGAACGGGAAATGGGGATGAACATGATATGAGGAGTCGGAGGGAGAGGAATGAGAGTGCGCAGGGGGTTGTGAGGGGTAGTGGTGAGGAGGGGGGACGTGGAGGTGGAGGTGAGAGGGGAGGGGTGAGTATGGAAGGCGACGGTGTTGTTGTTTTGGTTGGGTTAAGGAGGTGGACGTGGGGTATGGGGAGGGGGAGGTGTGCATGCGCGTGTGGTAACGCGGACGAGGAGCAGGATGGTTTGTCGGGCAGAGAAGAGAAGGTGGCCAGAGTCGTCATTCCAACGTACGCCTCGTCTTGGACGCCGAAACACAGCTATACCAAGAGCAGCATCAGCAACTGCAACAGCGAGAAGAGAATGGATCACAGCCCCAAGATGAAAAGGAAAGAGCGCTCCGCCGACTTCGATGACGAAGCTTTCGCTTTTGCGCTCAGAGCTGCGAATCGCGAGTTGGCGGGTAATTGGTTCCGGAGGACGTTTAGCGCGAGGACGTTGAGTGGGATACACGTTGAAAGAACAAGTATGCGATATCACGGCAGCGAAAAGGCCAACGAGGATCGCGAGATTCATCCTGCGCTTCGCTCTCCACAGAACAGACACGCTGCAACTCCTTCCTCAGACGACCTCCTGTCCCTATACAAGAACCCCCAAACCGGACGAAAGAACTACACGTGGATATCCTGGGCCAGACGCAACCCACAATCCCCCCAACCCCCAACACTCCACCTCACATACTCCCTCTCCCGCCCCCGGATCCTCCTCGTCATGGGCATCCTCCTGCTTATCAGCCTCCTCGCAGCCGCAGCATGGATTCTAGTTGGTGCCGGCGAAGGGAAATTGGAAAGAAAGGAGTTTAGCCAGAGAGTCGGGTGTGGGATAGCGATTGCGGGGTTTGTGCTTGCGGTTGAGGCGTGGGGGTTTGGGGGGTGGGTTGCTTTTTCTTGAGAGGATGGTGGAGGAGGTGGGGGATGGGATGGGATGGGGAATGGTGGAGGATTTGGGAGATTGAGTATTAGAAAATTGAACGCGTGAATTCGATACAGGGGATAACAGAAAGTATAATGTCTTGGAACTACCGGATTATTATATGTCGATGATATACCTTTAGGTATCTTTAGATCCCCTATGCTTACCCTGCGTCCACTTCGCAATACTAACAGACTTGTCACCACCCTTCTCATTCTCACCCCTCTTAACCGGCTGCCCAGCACAACTATTCGCACAGATCCTAATAAAAGTAGTCGCAGAATCCGAGATGAAACCATTGATTGTGCTATATAGAATGCAGCTTGAAGACTTGAACGCAAATGCTGAGCAGTTATTTAACTCATCACACCGTTGACGGCAGACGTCTGCGTTCGGGACACCGCCAAGTGCGAGGATGACTTGAGAACCGGCGGCGGGGATGTTCCCGCAGCGAACAAAGTAGTTGTCTTTGCATTGGGAGTTGTTGGCGGAGCAGGCGTTGGAAAGTGGAGTGGTGAATTGTGGGCAGTTTGGGTATTTGACACAGGATACTGTTGGCGCCGCGGGGACGCAGACAGAGGGAGTAGGGGTTGGAGTCGTGGTTGTGGTGGATGTAGATGTGGATGTTGCTAGTGTTGTAGGCGCGGCGGTGGTTGCTGGGGCGCTGGTGCCACAGTCGCGGTTGTAGTATGTAAGACCAGTTCCTTCTCTAGGGGTTATGTTGGTAGCGGTGATGGGTATCTGGGTCAAATAGCATTGATACGAGTTAATGATGAAACCGCCGCATCTGTCCTCGGCACGACACTTGGCTAGGCAGTCATCGACTGTCGTCAATGGCGAGTTTGCTATGATTAAGAGATCGACGGTGTCGAAGCCCTCCACGCCACAGAGTTCAGCGGAAGATGGAGAGGATGAGGGTGTTGACGACGAGCTAGAGACTGTTGCTACAGTGGTTGTCGGGGAGCTGGTCTCGCAATCGCGGTTGTAGAACGTTACACCAGTGCCTGGCCGAGGAGTAATGTTTTCAGCAGTGAAGGATACTTTGGTTAGAAGGCATGAGCTCTGCCAATGTATGAAGCTAGCGCATGTGCTCTCGGCGCGACATTTCGATAGGCAGTCCTCAGCGGTTGTGAATGGTGAGGAGTTGAGGATCTGGATGCCAACAGTATTGGTTCCTTCGACGCCACAGATTTTGATGGCGGACGAGGACGGTGAGGGTGTTGACGAAGTGGTCGTAGAGGTTGCTGTCGCGGAAGTTACCGAAATGTCAGATGACTCGCTTGATGGAATCGACATAGAGGTTGATGTGGATGAGTCGCTGGACAATGAAGAGCTTGAGGTGGTGCTGGTGGTCGTTTCGCTAGTAGATGTCGAGAATTCAGCTGGAGTAGAAGAAGAAGCGCCGATGGAGATGGAAGTCGACGGGCTTGAAGCGGTGCCGGCTATCGGTTCGCTGGTCGATGTAGAAAGTAGAGTCGAACTAGAGGACGAAGCGCTGCTGGAGCTGGAGCTGGACGAGCTGGAAGCCGAAGACCTAGCAGAAGACACAACAGTATCGCACTTTCCGAATCCAGCCTGGCAACCCGTTCCACAGTATGCGCTTCCGCTACCGCAGTACGAGTACTGCGAGCAACAGTCGCCGTACTTCCCACCTGAGCATGTCATTCCCGCCGGAGATGCTCCATACGAAGTTCCACAGCGAGCGTTGGTAGTGACCTTGACCTTTGTGCCAGTAGCAGAAGGTGCTGTCGACGGAGCTGTTCTGGTCGAGGTAGATGTACTGATGCGGCTTGACACTGTCGAAGTACGCGCTGGCGCGACGACGCCGTTACAAGTACCAAACGACGACTGACATCCAGTTCCACAGTAGTCTTTCGTCTTTCCACTGCATGAAACATTAGTCAATCGTCTGCGAGACCGAGGCTACATGGCATACCAATAGCCGTATTGAGAGCAGCAATCACCCCACTTCGAGCCTTTGCAGGTCATGCCGCCGGGCAAGGCATTGTACGCGTTCCCGCAGCGCGCATTTGTCGATACTTTGCCAGCTGCAAGCGTTATCGCTGCTGAAAGGGAGAGGAGGAGGGTCCAGCGCATGGTGGATGGGATTAGGAATTAAGGGTTATGCTGTATTAGAAGGAGCGACAGATTGACGACGAGCGAAAGAATGACTGTTGGTGAGGTGCCCGTAGAGAGTGAGACGAGTGACTTAACAAGAGTTGGGCGCCGCATAGCTATATACTCATCTTTCAGCTGATGAGTATGTGCACACCAGATAGCAGTAATAGTCTAACATTAGAGCCAAAGTGGCTTGCCCGCGTACCTGCATGAAGCCCACGATAGCCTCACGCAGGCGTTCCCGAAAAGCCACAAGCGCACTCATCGAGCTCCCTTCTCAGATGGATATCGACTAGGCAGGCGGTAACATCAGACCATAAACAGGACTAGAAAGCCATCATGAAGAAAAAGACATTGCGCACGATGAAGCTGATGAGGGTGAGCGAGTAGCGCAGCGGGTGATTGGCGCGACCCCTGGAAAGCACGTGTGGACGCGTTCTGGACGCAAGCCACACAAGAGCGAGGCCGCACCACGACTCACGATACTTGTTGCGATCGGCCGCCCCGGATGCGGAGGCGTTCCGGGAACTAAAGTAAAGAACTTAAAGGCTTCACATCCTACAGGGTGTGCGCTATCATCTCCTAAGACACTTTTGTATTATTTCGTTCTCTACTATACTCTCAAATCCGTCTCAGCCCTCCACAATGACCGGAGATCACGAATACGTTGCCGTGTTGATGGACTGCTCATGGAAATGCCATAAAAAAGTCTTTAAAGTGGTGATGCAGAAATTTGATTTCTCAAATTTCTGCATCACCACTTTAAAGACCCCCAGCCTTCCAGGTCCCCATTCCCTCCGCAGTCCAACACCCGACACGCTAGGCAGGCAGGCAGGCAATCATCATCACCTCCCCATCCTCTTCCTCTTGAGCCCTCTCTCTTATGCAAATGAAGTCTACACCTTTCCCTCATTCTTCTCTCAATTGGCGATGGATGCGTGCATTCCGCGTATCCGTATCCAACAGGATACGTGCAATGCACGCACCCATCGCCAATCAAGAGAAAAATGTTCTTGCCGGTTGGGGATCCAGGCGAGATATCGCGCTATACTCTTCTCCCAACTACGAGAAGGATGTTTGTGCTGCTTGCGCATCTACGTCGATATTGCGCTGCGCTCTTCTCTTAATTAGCGATGCAAGTGTAGCATTTCCTTACTCCTGTTGAATAAGGAAATGCTACATTTGCATCGCCAATCACGAGAAGGACGTTGTTGCTGCTTGGGGATCTATGCGAGATATTGCGGTAGACCAGAAGGGGTGTGAGGAAGACTGCGCGGTGACCATGACCCGACTTTCCCCCCAGGTTCATTCCACATCGCTGTTCGTAGAGCCGGTGACAGATCCAACTCATCCACTAACACCCTTTCCCAGCCTCGCCCAGGGATCCTCAACAAAGCTCGGTAGAAAGTATGCCGTATCTCCATTCTCCATTCTCACGCCGTGACGAAGTGCATTCAGTTCGGCCTTGGAGATTGGTGGACCGCCGAATGATACCATCTCTGCCGCGGTTGGGTCGCCCGACACGGCAAGGTTTGATGTGCTCTCGGTGGCAGCCGGCTTCTCGGGTAGGTTCTGACCGCGAGCTAGAAAGGCAGCGAGACCGGAGTCGGCGGGTTGGCTCTTCTTTGCTTTACCCGGCGCGTTGTGGTGGGGTTGCGGCGCGGGGTTTGTCAAGTCGGATACAGCGTCGGATGCAGCGTCGTCAAGGTTGATCTCGTCTTCGTTGGCGACTTTCTTCGATCTGACACCCAGTTTGGTGGAGTTGGCGCCGCTCGCATCAGGTCCAGCTTTGGGCGAGGCGGCATGGTCAAATTTGCGTTTCTTTGTTCCGCCGAAGGAAGCGAAGCCCATGGCCGCTGCGATCTCGTCGTTCTCGTCGTCGTCCATGGTGGAGGATTGGTCGTGACTGTTGAAGAATTGGTCGTGACAGCCGGAGTGGAATTACACATAGGACCACGGCGCCAGCGCCAGAGGTATCAAGGTCATCAGCTTGCGCACGGATTTTTAACAGACGTCGGCACCTCGGGGCTTGGCAACTGTCTCCAACGCCAGCGACCCACTTCAATCAGCACACTACTCCAACGCTACAACGGAGATCCACACTCCGAGCCATTTCGTCACTACCATTCTATACGCGTGTGTACCATGCGTTGACATGCGGAAGAACTATCACACCTCGCTCAATCGCACAGCGACGATCTCCACTCCGATGGAGAAGGTAGCATTGTCGGGGTGTTCTTGCTCCGCATATGATGTCAACCGGCACTTGGGGACGTGGTATGCATAGTCGGACCGCGGCTTCGGGATAGGCGGATGGATATATAAGCTTTGATGTGAGCCTTTGGTGATGGCTTGTTCAAGCCATATTTTTATCCTTGGATTGTCGAGATGAAAGTCGCGACTCAGGTGTTGTTCGCTTCGTTGGCTGCGGGCTCTGTGCTGCCGAGAGGGGGTGAGAGCCATAATGGAAGTGCGATTGCGGACGGCGACTTTGTCTATGTGGATGGATTGAGGCTGTATAATGGCGATGGATTGTACTATCTTACTGGTAAGGACATCTTTCTATCCCCTAGAAGTTGTGGGCTAATTTATTCAAGGCATCAACTACTGGGCATGCATGAATCTTGCCGCAGGTCCAAAAGCAGGCGGCAACTACTCGCGTTTGGTTACAGAGCTCGATCAGATGGCTGCGAAAGGCATAAACCACCTCCGCATCATGGCTGCTTCAGAAGGGGCACCAACACCCCAGCCCTTCAGGATGAACCCAGCGCTCATGGAGTCACCCGGCCAGTACAACGAGGACGTCTTCGAGGGACTTGATATCTGTCTTGCTGAGATGTCGAAACGCGGCATGCGCGCCACCATGACGCTCAACAACGAGTGGCAGTGGAGCGGTGGATTTGCCCAGTACGTATCATGGGCAAACAACAACACTGCGATCCCGTATCCATCAAGCTGGAACCAGACTGCACCGCCCCAGCGCGAAACCCCTGGCACGGGATGGGGAAACTACACTGTCGAAGGCGTCAACGCAGCTCCATACGACGATTTCACTTCCTTCGCCAACCTCATCTACAACAACACGCAAGCCGAGCAATGGTACAAAGACCACATCAAGACGGTCATGTCCCGACGCAACACCGTCACAGGCCGCCTCTACACCGAAGACCCAACAATCATGACCTGGCAACTCGCCAACGAACCCCAGCCCTCAGACCAACTCGGCTACACAGGCCCCTACAACATCTTCCTCGAGCCCAACCCCAACGACCTGCTCTTCCCCTGGGTCGACCGCATCTCCGCCTACATCCGGTCCCTCGCCCCCAAGCAGCTCATCAGCGTCGGTCTGGAAAGCAAACAAGGCGAATACTACTTCAAGCGCGTGCACAACTTCTCCACGGTCGACTACGCGACGACCCATTGCTGGGTCCAGAACTGGGGCGTCTATGACATGTACAACGCCAGCGACGCGAATCTAGTCGCTGCCCAGGACTTCGCGCGTGACTTTATGAAGAACAGCAGTCAATGGGCCATTGACATTGGTAAACCAGTTTTTCTGGAGGAATTCGGCATGGCAAGAGATAATTGGGTGAATGAAGACAAGGAATACCCTTATCTGAGTGATGCAAGCACGACGCACAAAGATGCTTATTTCACGACGATTATCGGAGCGGTTATGGATGAGTTTAGGAATGGGGGTGCGTATGTTGGGACGAGTCCGTGGGCGTATGGCGGGATTTGGAGGCCGGAGACGCAGAAGGCGAATGAGTTTGGGATGGTTTGGGCAGGGGATCCGCCGCATGAGAGTCCGGGGTGGTATGATCTTTATGATGAGGATCATGCGATGGAGATTGTGCATGCGCAGCAGAAGATGATAAGCTTGTGGATTGAGAAGCAGGGAAAGAATGAGACGGGGTATTAGTTGGGGTAGGGAGATTGTTGCTCTTCGCTTCGTTTGGCATCTTACGGTTTTGTATATCTATTCAATCTCTTCCACTGCGGATGAAGATGAGCTTATTGAATACCACATTCCCATCATTCGTCTTGAAATATCAAACATACACATCAAATTTCCCTCTATCATACAACCCCCTGTCCCTCTTACAAAAACCTCGACGGACTACTCTTCTTCAACACCAACGGATGCCGATGCACACTCGGCATCAACCCCAAGCCAATCGCCCTCCGAATCGCCTTCGCAACCTTCCTCTGATTCTTCGGCCTAAGCCCCGTATCCTTGCTATGCTTAACCCTCCCCATCTCCGTCATATACTCGCTCATCATGGTAAAGTTCTTATACTCCAATATCGGATTTATGCCCAGCACATCAAACGCGTCTTGCTGCGGCTTCTTGCGCCCGTACTTCCACTTCTTTTGCTCGGTGCCGGAGAGGTCGTGGGGGGCGTACACGTCGCCGGGTTGCCATTTTCGGTAGATTTGCCGTTGGTATTGCGCCGCGCGGTCGGATTCGAGGACTTCGCGTGGCATGTTGGCGGAGAGGCCCATGGTTGAGGCCATGCCTGTGAGGGAGGGGCCGGTGCGCGGGCGCGCGGTGTTTGTGTTTGGGGGTGGGCGGGCGGCGGCGGTGCTGCTGGCGAGGATGTCGAGGATGCCGTCTTGGGGGCCTGGGCGTGGTTAGAGGGTGGGAGGTGTGGTGGAGGAGGGCCGTTGGAAGATGGGGTCGTGTTTATGGGAGGGGAATTGGGCGCACCTTGCTTATGGGACCCGGTGGAGAAGTAGCGCATGCATGTCGTGCTTATGGATGGCAGTGGCCGCAGTGGTAACCGTGTTATCGACATGTTGGTGGCTGTGGTGGTGTTGGCGTCGTCGTCGCTGCCGTCGTGACTTTTCGAGATGCGGCCTCGGCGGTCGGAAGTTGACTTTCTTAGCGCAATTGGATTTCACAGCAGGCAGGAGCTCCCGCAATTGCTCCCCTCACTCTCCGTCGCCGCCACTGGATCCCGCTTCCATCCCGTCTTTTTCGTGTATATACCGTTTGTGCGCCTTCCTCTGCCCCATGGACGCCTTCTTCGCCTAGATACCCTTCCCACCGTGCGCCAATTGCACGCCCAACCTACGTCACCACACTTTTGTCCTGCGCTTAGCGAACGTCGCCGCCGCCATGCCCTCGCATCTGACCCGCGTCGTCTTCCGCAACATCATCGCCAACGAGCCTCTGCTATACCGAGGATGCCGCTACCGAGCCGTCCGACCCCGCGTCATCACCCAGCATGGCGCCCGATTACTTCCCCAGACGCAACGGCGGACTTTCTTTGGGGAGCTGTTCAAGCAAAAGCGGAAGCTCAAGCCTGCAGAAGCGCCGCCGGGTCTGAATACAATGGCTGAGGTTTCGTATAAGCGGGCGAATGACCTCAGGCCGCCGGCACCGAAGGATGTTGCGGATGCGATCAAGGAATTCTTTGCGCAAAGAAAAGGGACGTTTGAGGACTGGCATGTGGGGACCGCGATTGAAGCTCTCAAATATCTGCTAGAGAACCCAAGAGAAGACGGGAAGCCATGTCTATATCGGCAAGACCTCGACAATATTCTGGAGAAACTACTGGACACCTCGAAGCGACCGGAAATTTTAGGGAAAGCGCATATGGTCTTTGGGCGGCTCCTGGTCGATGAGCTGGCAAAATCCGAGGAGCAAGAGCTCGAGAAAGCTGGAGAGAAGAAGACGAAGGAATTAAAGGTCCCCTTTAAGATGTACATCGACTCGAGGCGTATCCAACTTCTATCCGCGTTTGGTGCGGCTACTGAAGCAAGGGATATCGCGATCAACGCGTTCAAATACGACAAGACAGCGAATGCCTTGATACGTGGCGCCGTGGTCTCTAGCTGGAACACAGTGCTTGGAGGAAGCATCCGGGAGAACAGTCTGACCGAGGTCTCGAAAACGGTGGATGCTTTCACAGAAGCCTCAGTTCCATTGACCAGGCCTGCGCAAAATAAACTAGTAGCATTCTACGCTGAGCGTGGAGATCTGGAACGAGCCAAATCTTGGTACTCGCAACCCGTTCACACCAAAGTCGGCCACCAGGTTACGCAGCCATCAGGCGGCACCAGCTCTGCTCTGCTAAAGGCCTGCGCCGCAGCAGGCGATCTTACCTACGGCCAACAGGTGGTAGCGAGCATGCTCAAGGTTGACATGCCCTCGAAACCCGAGTGGGATGCAATCTTCCTCTGGTCTGCTGCTATCGGCAAAGGCCCCGATGAGATCGCTCGGATGATCAACGTACTGATTCGCAGAAATGACGAAGCACGACAAAAGGATCCTAAAGTCCCTGTAATCCGCCCAGATACCGAGACCATCAATGCGTTGGTAGAGCATTGCATGTCTAAGCAGGATCCGTACCTGGCGGAGCGCTATATTGTACTGGGAGAGAAGTTTGGCATTCATCCCGACGAGACAACTTATACGATGCAGATGCAATACCGCATCTCTGTCGGCGACCTCGATGGAGCCAGATCTGCCTACTTCAACCTGCAGGGTAGCTTTTCTGGGGACGAGCGCAGTGTCGCAGTCATCAACCAGCTGATCCAAGCACTCTGCGTATCCAAACAGCATCATTTCGATGAGCTGATGGCCATGGTGGACGACCTGCACGAGCGCAAGGCCAGCTTCACCCCGGAAACTGTCGCAGCCCTGACGCTGTTGCATCTTCGTAGGGGCGAGATCCACGACGCCATGGATCTTCTCCAAGTGCACGCTCATCAATACTCACCAGAACAGCGGACGATCATCCAGAAGGCGCTTTCCATGTTCATTCTGGATGGCGAGACTAGCACCGCAGATGCTTGGGATGGCTACCAAATTTTGCGCAACGTGTTTGTCGAGACGCCCAGAGAGGACCGGATACCAATTATGAACGGCTTCTTCGCCAGGAACCGTTCTGACATGGCCTGCCACGTCTTCTTCCACATGCGCAACCACGTTAGCCCGACTCACACCGCGACAAGAGACGTCTACGTCACAGCCTTCACTGGCTTCGCCCGCTGCCAAGATGCCGAGTCCCTCGAACTGGCACACAACCAACTGAAGCTCGACCTAAACGTGGAGATGGACACCAAACTCCGCAACTCACTCATGCTCGCGTACGCTGCCACTGGAGAAAACCGCAAAGCCCTTTCCTTCTGGCGCGAGATCTGCAATTCAAAAGAGGGTCCCACATACAACAGTCTCGCCATCGCCTTCCGATCAAGCGAAGGCATGCACTTTGGCTCCGAACACGCCAAATCCATCTGGAAGCGCTTGAAAGACCAGGATGTCGAGATTGACAAGAATATTTGGACAGCGTACATGTGCGCTATTGCGCGGAATCATAACCATGATGAGGCGTTGGCGCTTGTGGAATCTGTGGAGGAGGAGTATGGGTTTACTCCTGATTTGCAGATGTATGTTTGATTTCTCTTACATATTGTACCCGCCGACTTTACTAACGATCGATTAGTCTAGGTAGCTGGTTCAACTGCACGGCTAATATTGAGAGGCAAACTCGTGTCGAGGCTTGGATCAAGCAGCATTATCCCAAGGTGTGGGCTGAGATGGAGGCGCTGGGTCATTGGGTTACGATGGATGGGTTTGGGTATCGCCAGTATAACATTAATCGCGACCTTGACCCGTAGAGCGGCGCGGAATGGAGGAATATGGTAAGCACGCCACGACTCGGACATCGACATTGAGGGTACTATAGGATTACGGTCAACCGCCGTATTCCGATTGCAAAAGGTCTTAGGCCATGCGCTTTGCGCCTTGATCAAAACATTCCATTCGGCCAAGCACACCTCGTTTTCGTCTTCGTTCGTCAGGGTCTCGCCTCTCTTACTTTTCACTCGCTGGCGCTCCGTTTGTCGCCCGGAGCGCTATTCCACCGCTCTCTTGCGATACACAAAATCTCCCACCCCTCACCTCCTGCTTTCTCTCTCCCGCTCACCCCTCACTGACTGGGTATCCATTTGTCGCCCGCCTGGCCTTCGAGCGCCTTCCCACCGCTCTCTTACTAGGGATAAAATCCTCCACCCGTCACCTCCTGTCTCCTCTCTTCCACCCACCTACCTGCCCTATCAATCCAACTCTCTTCCTCTCTTTCTGGCCGCAAAAGCCGCCCCATCATCTGCGCGGAAGCTCTCCAATCGCTACTACATCTATCGACCTCACTAGCGACCGCGTCGGTCTGTCAAGAGCGATTGGCTGGACAAAGGTAAGTAATTTCATCGTCTGCGCTGGTAGAGTGAGATTTTTAACATCGTGTTAAGCAGTCATCATGCGCGCTCACTATCTCGTCGCTGGCTTGATCGGCCTCGCTGGTCTTGCCTTCGCCGCTCCTACTCCCGAGTCCACTGCCGTCTCCCTCATCCCGACCTCCCAACCCGCCGACGTCACCGACCTCGAGTATGTTGCTCCCGAATGCAATATGGGACAACAGCCAGACATGTGGCTCGCGGCTATCTGCGGCAACCACACCAACACGAGCACCAGGCCTAAGACCTGGCTCGGCGTCTGCGGACTACTTACCGCCGGCGTCGCGCATGAAGTCACAATTACGGTTCAAGACCCTGGTCTCATGTGCAGATTCTACGACGACAGCGACTACTGCAACAGCGACTACGTCGTCGCTACCCTTACCCACCATTTCCGGATCCCGTCGGCAATTGGCAAGCAGATCAAGTATGTCAGGTGTGATAAGGCGCCACCGCGTGAGGATTCTGGTGAGATCGAGGGTAGAGCTGATGATGCTCTTCTGGACGATGCTCCTTTTGTTCTTGGAGCGGAAGATATCAAGTACGCCGAGGACGATAGCGCTCTCCCCATCCACGACGCCCACGACGCGATCCCCACCAAACCCGAAGACACTTCATCTTGGTACCCATCCCCCTGTATGAACCCCGGGTCGGACAAGTACTTCTTGATCGTCTGCGGCGGTGGCAACGCCAACTGGATTCCCAACAATTGGATGAACGCGTGTGTGCGGCTGTCCGATACCGTTGGGCACCACGTCGGCACTGTTATTCAGAACGCGCACATCATGTGCAAGTATTATGACGACAGTAACGAGTGCAATAGCGACTTCAAAGCGTACTCTTCCAATACTTCAAGAGACATCGAGATCTTTTCGTATCCACCCCAGGTCGGAAACCGGCTCAAGTATGTCATGTGCAAGCAGGGTCAGTGGCGCAGGGGTGTTGCATCTTCCTCCGCCTGTATGAACCCCGATGCGAGCCACTACTTCCTGTCCATCTGCGGCGGTGGCAACGCCAACAACATCCCTAACAATTGGATGAACGCGTGTGTGTCGCTGACCGATAACGTTGGGTACCACGTCGAAACTGTGACTCAGAATGCGCGCATTCAGTGCAAGTACTACGACGACAGCAACGAGTGCAATGGCAACATCGAAGGGACCTCCATTACGTACGAGAAAGAGGAGAGCTTTACGATTCCACCCGATGCTGGAAACCGGATCAAGTATGTTATGTGCAAGATTGGTCAGTGGCGCAGGGACGTTGGTGGGATTGAAGCTCGAGAGGTCGATGTTCCTTCCTCTTCGGAAATCATGGTCGCTACAGACACCAACTTCTCACCAGACTGGGCCTGCATGAACCCGTCCCCGGACAACCAATACTTGGTTGTCTGCAGCCATGGCGTTGGCCAACTCATGCTCAACAAGCTCTTGGGTAACTGTCTGAAGCTCAACAGCGATATCGCGTATAACGTCGATTCTTTCATTCAAGATCCAGGTCTGAGGTGTAGGTTCTACAACGACCGCCACTCAGACTGCAAAGGCGAACCCATTTACACCGCTCAAACTCTGGATAAGCAACGCCTCTTCAAGATCGATGCGAAGTACGGGACTAGGTTCAAATATGTTTGGTGTCACAAGGGCGACCACCAGCTGGGCGATGTTCCTGCGCTCGAAGCTCGAGTAGCGGATACGTCTCTCGAGGCGCCATCTTTCGCGGTCGAGGAACCGTCCGGGCTCATCGCGCGACTCATCAGCGATACCGGCTACGCCTTTGAGTATCAAGAGAACTTCGCTGGGCTCTGCATCAAACTCCCGGACACGGTATCTCGTCATTTGACGCACGCAGCCTTGGTCGATCATACCCTCTGCAGGTTCTACGAGAGCGGCTGCTTTACTGTTATTAAGCCTCTCTTCACTGCAAAGAGCGAGGCCCCCTATACCAAAGTTCCTGTGCCATCGGATGTCAGCAAGAAAATCACCCACGCTGTCTGCGGGCCTTCGACTGCCCCACACAATGAGATCGATGCGCGAGCGGATGTTGTATCTCTCGAAGCGAGCCCGGCGGCCGCTTCCGAAACAACGACGTTGTGGGAGTACATAGCGAGGATCTTCAGCCACACAAGCGACTTTGCTATCATGAACGACCGCGACAGATCCTGCCTCAAGTTCAGCGACCCTTTCTCTCGTGATGTTATCAAGGTAAACATCGGGGCTAAAACTCTCTGCGTGTTCTACGACAACGATTGCAGTCTAGCTAAGTACCCCGTCTTCACCGTTTCGACCACCTGGGAGCCATTTGTCAGTCGCGACGTGCCATCGGAGATTGGCAAACAAATTACCCACGTCATCTGTGGGAAGAAAACCCATGCTGCGATCGAGACACGAGCGGATGCTACAACGGCATCTTCGGACCTCCTTGCGAGAATCTTCAGCAGCATAAGCTACACGGATCTCCACACGCAAGGCGACGACCGAGTCTGCGCTGGGTTAGGAGACTATATTTCCCGTGATGTTACCAAGGTAACTGTTGGAGCTCACACTCTCTGCATTTTCTACGACAACGATTGCACCCTAGCCAAATACCCCGTCTTCACCATTTCGACCGACAAGGAGCAGTCCACCACTCGAGACATGCCAGCGGATGCTAGATGGAAGATCACCCACGTCCTTTGCGGGAAGAAAGACGGTTGGGCCAACGTCGAAGCGCGAGCGGATGCTACAACGGCATATTCGGGAACCCTTGCGAGAATCTTCAGCAGCACGAGCCGTATGGCTATCCTCAGGGAAAACGGCCGAGCCTGCGTTATGTTAAGAGATCGTGTTTCCAACAGTGTTACTAGTGCGACTCTTGGAGCTCATACTCTCTGCGTATTCTACGACAACGAATGCACAGCCAAATACCCCGTCTTCACTATTTCGAGCGACAAGGAACAGTTCACCACTCGAGACGTGCCAGCGGACCTTGGCAAGAGGATTACCCACGTCCTTTGCGGGAAGAAAGACGGTTGGGCCAACGTCAAAGCGCGAGCGGATGATACATCCCTCCAAACCACAGCCCAGAAGACGAAGATGGCCCGAGTCTTCGGCGATACAGCCGACTTGTATATCTATGACGACAACGATGCGGATTGCGTTGCGCTCAGCAAGCATGTGGCTAATGACGTTGTCGGAGTACAGCTAGAAGCCGGCATTCTCTGCGTGTTTTACACCAATGCCTGCAATATAGCCAAGTTCCCGATTTTCCGCGCTTCGAATGTTGGGCCCGGTACCTTGCATGTGGATATCCCGGGGTATACTGGTCGCGACATCTCACACGTCGCTTGCGGAAAGAAGCACACTCTTGATGCTGAAATCGATGCGTGGGCGGCTACTACACCTATCATCGATGCGCGAGCGGATACATCACCGATTGTCGACAGCACGGCTCTGATGACTTTACAAAATGACGGTCCCTCCATCGCCTACGTATTCAGCAGTACTGCCATGTTTGGTATCTACGATACAGACGCCAACAGCTGCATCCCACTTGGCGACTCCATTGCGCATGATCTCATCGCCGTGGCTGTACACGAGAACGTCCTCTGCAGGTTCTGGGCGAACAGCTGCGATATGTCCAAGGGCCCTCTGTACCAGGTTCACTCGAACAAGGGCGACGCCGTTCCCAAAGTGCCGTCAGATATTGGCAAGCAGCTTACTAATTTCATGTGTATGCGTACCAAGCCTCAGGCTACGATCATTGCGCGAGAAGCACTAGACACTTCGATGGCCGACCCTGGAGCCATGGCCTTTCTATTCAGCACCGCCTCCCAGCTTGGTATCTACGATGAAGACGCCAAGAGGTGCGTTACGCTTGGCGACTCTGTTGCGCATGATCTGGTCGCTGTGGCTGTACCCCGCAATGTTTCCTGCTCGTTCTACAAGGACGGCTGTGATGTTTCTAAGGGTCCTACCTTCCTTGTTGCGTCGGGCCAGGGGCGTGGGAATGTCCATTACGTACCCTCGGAGATTGGCAAGAGCCTTACTCATGTCATTTGTATGCGTACTCAGCCTCCCGCTGAGATCATTGCGCGAGAGGAAGGTTCACGGTCCAATGTAGCTCTCATCACTTCCGCGACCTCTGCAGCCAACACACCGGATCTAGCTACCGACTTAACCAATACCCAGATCCAATACCCCAGGGACGGATATAGCCCCGTGGACCTCCCAGTCGGCGATCTATTCACCTGCTCTTATGAGCAAACCGATAGCTGCCGGATCATGGATGCACTCAACGATTGCTTAGAATTCCCTACGAACACCGCCCACAACGTCATGATCCTCGAGCAGGCCAAGGCGACGTATTGTTGGTACTACAACAAGCCTGGGTGCAAGGATAGTGATGAGGTTTTCCATCACACATCGGCGCCAGGAAATCCGACTGCATTTATTGGGACCTTCTTCAAGGATCTCGCGAGTGTGGTGTGCGGAGGTCCCGGTGTGACATCTGAGCTGGAAGTCATTCCCCACGACCATGCTATCGAAAAGGTCACCGCCGTGGACAGGCCCATCTACGCCGACGATATCACCAAGCGCGACTCTCCCTCCACGCAACCAACACCTGCATGGACACTTCCTAGAGCCATCCGAGTAGGCGAAGTTTTCGCCTGCTCCGAAGACCCGGCCTCCGGCTGCTGGTTCATCAACGCCCCGAACAAGTGCATGGATTTCCCGCCCCAGGTCGCCCACAAGTCCAACTTCATCATGCAAGGCAAGGGTACATGGTGCATGTATTACCTTGAGCCCGGCTGCTGGGACGGCGACGAAGCTTGGCAGCACGTATCGCCTCCCACGGAACACACTACCTTTGGAGTGAAGACCAATGTGGTCGCGAGCGTGGAGTGCCGGGCTGCTGGCGCGACTGAGAATGAGATCACTAAGCGCGACTGGCCCCCAGGCTCAACAACAGTCTGCCACCAAGCGCACTACCAGTTCTGCACCGACAACGCCATCAACGCTATTCAGCAATGCGCCAACTTTGCTCCTGCGGATCAGGGCCCACTCTCGATTATCCAGTATGGCGGCGCGTACTGTAAGTGGTACCGCGACTTTGGCTGTGGAGGTGGAGAGGACAAGTCGCCCATGAGCATTGATTCTAGGGGTGGAGAGCAGTGGGTTGATGACTTGAGCGTGGAGAACAGGTTCAAGAGCGTCAAATGTGAGACGAATCAGTGGTAGGCTTAAGGCTGACCGCGAGTCTTTTTGGACGTGATTCGGAGGCGAACGTAGCTTCTTTGGACACCAGGTAGTTGAATAAGTAGAGGAATGAAATAACGTTCCCTCCATCTTGTCATTGTGTGAGATAAGTCTGGAGCCTACATCGAAGTTGGGTCAACTACTTTGCATGTCTTCGTGTCAATTCAGGCTGCAAATCCATTTAGCTCTTCCCTACGTTGACGTGACTTGGAGGATTCTGGCCCGGTAAGCGTGTCAGTAAGGCGTACTTGACATGCGCGCTTTCCCTTCTTCGGTTAGCACGAACACGATCTAGCGCGTCCCAGTGAACCAACCCTCCTACCCCGCAAACTCTCTCTCCCTCCATGTTTCGCGACGTTTGTGTGACCATCGGAATGGATAGTCCAGCTGATCTCGATGCTTTCTTCGCGTTTCAGAACAGCCAGTTCGCCACAGACCACGCCCTAGACGATGGCAGCTTCGCCGGCTTGTCGGAAGCCCTGGGGGCCTCGAACGCAGCACCGAATCAGTACAATGAGACCTGGATGATGGATCCGTCACTTCTGGATCTTTCGAATAATTCCACCGCTTCGTCGTCGCCCTTCACGCCAAGCGCATCGATATCCAGACCTAAGCTTGGCAGTCGCTTCTCCAGAGAAGTCATCCGTACGCTCAAAGACTGGCTTACTGTTCATCAAAAGCACCCGTATCCTAGTGAGGGCGAGATGATGGCACTTCAAGATCGTACAGGATTGAACAAAGCGCAACTGACAAATTGGTTTGCGAATGCCCGTCGGCGTGGCAAGGTGCAAAGTGTGCGCCCAACTTCGCCGCAAGTCAAGAACCCGCCTTCTTCTCCGGTTGATATCATCCCAAGGCCTGGTACGCCTGCTGTCAGGATGGCGTCGAATCACAAGGACCCTATGCAGCGTTGGGTGGAATCGCCACCAGAGCATGAACCTGCTGCTGTTGGCGACATTGCGCGTGCGATGGCTTCGACGTCGCGTGAGTGACTAACTATCCAATGCAATGAGGTTCTTATGCTGACCGCTAGTAGATGAAGATGCTGGGGACTTCGCGTATCATCAACCCTGGCAATCACCTTACGCCATGTCCTCGGCAAGCAGTGCAAGAACGTCGCAATCGAGTGAATTCTCGGGTCATTGCTCATCAGGGTCGCAAACATCTCTCAAAGTACGCCGCGCACCGCGCAAGAAGCGGGCCACTCGACGCCGGCGTCTTGATACGGAGAGGACCGCACCCATCGGTATGCCGTATCAATGCACTTTCTGCACTGAGGTCTTCAAGACTAAGTACGATTGGCAGCGTCACGAGAAGTCGCTTCATCTACCGCTGGAGAGATGGATCTGCGCACTTCAAGGCTCTCGCACTACGAAGGAGTCCATCGGAGAGCAATGCTGCGTCTTCTGCGGCGAGGTGCGACCAGATGACAAGCATATCGAAGCGCACCACTACTCTGCATGTCAAGAGAGAAGCTTGCAAGAACGCACCTTCCACCGGAAAGATCATCTCGTCCAGCATCTGCGCTTAGTGCATGGTGTCGAATTCTCGGAGTGGTCGATGGCGCGCTGGATGCTGCCTATACCCGATGTCAGATCAAGATGCGGATTTTGCGGTACTACCATGAGCACCTGGCTGGAGAGAACTGATCATCTTGCCGATCATTTTAAGTCTGGTGTTACGATGGCTAGTTGGCAAGGTGATTGGGGTTTTGATGCATCTGTCTTACCGTTAGTCGAGACTGCTATTCCTCCTGGTATGATGACCTTGGCTCGAACATTAACGTTGTATGCATACTGACATCTGACAGATCTAATCGACTGGGAAAGAGGCACTCTCATTCCCATGAAAGGTAGCGACCCATCCTGGGGTACTCCACCAAACGCATACGAACTGCTCAAAGTGGAAATCGAGTTCTTCATCCAACGGTATTTCGACAAGCACGGGTACTTGCCGGATAACGACGCGATGCAGCTAGAAGCATGTCGCATCATTTTCGCAGCCGAAACCACTTCCGTCATGCACGGACCAGATACAAACTATATCCACGAGGTTTCGTGGCTACGAGACCTGATGATGTCATCACATGAGCTGACTGAACACGCAAGGTTTCAGCCAGTTCGATCATCCCGCGAGAGCAGACATTTCCCGCTACGCATCAATGCCAAGGATCATCTCTTCGAGCAATGTCCGCTAGAGGCGCAGCTTCGTGGTTTTGTGACCCAGCGCGTGGCGACGGGTGAAGCACTGGACGATGCGCAACTGCATCACGAAGCATGTCAGATCGTTCGGCGCATGGAGCAGGAGTCCAGTACGCCGTCTGATGTCTTCGCAAATTGGATTGTCAAAGGGATCTACTCGGGCACGAATTGGATATCGCTCTTCAAGCAACGCGCAGGTATCTCTGATGTCGTATGCACCAACATACCGGCAGATCATGGCTTGGGCGAATTACTAGACCTCTCCTGGCCAGCCTCGCCTCCCAAAGAAGCATCCACTTCCGCTCTCGGGACCGCAAGTCCATCCAAGCAAACCCACGACTACTTCACTACGCTTCCCACTTTCTCCGAAGAGCCCATACTCTCGCCTGAGTCTACCGCGCAAACGGACATGTACGGCCGGTTGCGATCGCTGCTACCGGACGACACCAACTTTTACCGAATCTTTGACAGCGACATGCGGAGATGGGCGGCGTCGACGCTTTCACCGAAGAATCCAAATTGCCATGTTCCATCCGATGAAGAGATCCAGCATCAAGCGCGATGGATAATGTATGATGGTGATGATCCGTGGAACCAGACACCTGCGGATTTCCCGAAATGGCTGTCACGGTTCAAGAGGGAGGTTGGGATTGTGGCGAATGACGAGGGAGTGAATCCTGGTGATTTGGTGATGTGATTGCAGTGAATCGCGCTGAAATCGGATATGTGCTGTCGCCTAGAAGTACGCCGACCTTTCCAGAGCTCGTGCACAGAAGAAGGCTTGGGTGCTTGCTACGGAGCACTCCCAGATATTCATAAGCCCTTACACTCAGCAAGACAAAGCATATTCTCTCTCAACGCACCACCTCAACGTCTGGCAGTCATGAGCTCTCTACTACTGCGTGCATTCCGGCCCGTGCTGACCTCATTGTTTGAGTATGCCGGCTATCCTTATTTCATGGGCTCTTCAGACCAATATATGCCCATCCAGTCGAATTGCGCAGTGTCATCAGCAACCAACACCGAAACTGCTTCATCAGGCCAACCCAAGAACTCCCAAGATGAGTTACTAGGACCCTTCCGGCTATTCTCGCTGCCAGGGGAGCTCCGCAACATTGTCTATGCCCACGTTCTCGAAACGGACGAAGCTATCCTCATGGCACCATATCTCAGGAACGGAGTTCTACATCAGCGTCTGATCCTCGACGACCCAACGACAAAACTACGGATAGACCTAAACCAAATGAAATTCGTCTGCAAACAACTCTACGAAGAAACATCCGCTTTACCACCGACCCGCTGTCCAGAACTAATCTTCCCCCTCCGCAAAGACACCTCCGACTCCGCTTCTAGCATATGCGCAAGCTACATCGCCAGCGAGTATCTCAACGACATCCGTCGCATCCACGTCCACGAGCGCATCGCATACAGACAGCGTCCATTCTCGCCGCACCTCTTCGACCCTTGCATGGCCCAGCTCGTAACATTCGCCACCCACCACCCCCATACCTCGATCCAAACCTTCCTCCATGCCGCAGACCCGAAGATATCCAACGGCACTTCCAAATTCCCCATCGCAGGCTTCTCCCACGAGATAGCTCGCAAACGGGTAGACTCCACCTCCGGATACTACAGCGCTTGGTACAATATCGACAGGGTTCTGGACGAGATGGCTGAGACGTGGTCGGACCATGCGTTTGAACCGCAGCCTTTTCCGCAGAATGTTGTGTTTAGGCTGGGGTGTGGGGTGAGGTGGTCGAATTGGCAGCAGTGGGTGGGATTGGAGTTTCCAAGACCGTTGCTTACGAGGACGAGACCGAATTATACGGGGAGGTATGATATTTGGTTTTTGGGGCGGACGTGAAAAGGGCGATGCGTGATAGCATGGATGATGGCTTTCGTGGTTGATGTCATATGATTGCAAACATTGGGACATTGCGCGTCCTAGAATTAATGTAGTGACGTTTACCATACTTTCGCACAGATTCCAGTAATCTATCATCTCCTCGACCTACTTTGCGAGATCAGCAGAAGTGAATCCTGGTAATTTTGGTGATGTATCCACCTCGTACAAGAGAAAAACCAAACACCCTAGAGCCTACATCAAGCTGAATGCATGCAAACTAGACGACCCAACGCCAAAGTAGCCTCTAGGGTGTTTAGTTCTAGCCTTGCATAAGGTGTAGATAAAGTTGCAAAGTCACGATCCGCATATACGTCACTCCCGCGGAGCATGACATTCTCGTATATATCCACCATAGCATGTAAAGCGCAGTCATGGACTTACAAGGCTATCCATGTCATCGGTATCTGCGTGCGCAGTGTATCAAAACTATGGAAGCAAGTCCTAGGATGTCGCTATCGAGAAGGAAGACTTTGCGACAACCTTGAACGACGAAACCGCGTTCTCCGTTTTCGTAGACGATGCCACAGCCGTAAGCTTCTGGACGCAGCTTTCTGCACATGTCGGGCAAATTTCTAGAGCTGGCAGGTAGCTACTAACTCTTTCTGCTGCGAACCGAAGACTACGGGCGATGTGAGCGTGTTGTTGTAGAAGATTGAGTCAATCCTAGTGGGTGCATGCATAGCTCGGCGCGAACCTGGAACGCGGGTCGATGTGCCAAGAATCCGGGCGACGTCAAACCTGCGCCGTCTGAACCTCATCCATCACCTAATCCACCCCCTACATACGAACCAACAAGACATCACCCACTATGCAAGCTTCACATGTGCTTGGAAAGAGCAGCAATGTTTCTCGAAACTCTTTACATTGATACTAACTACATGGCAGGAAAACCCTCTGCCCCCAACCGTCCGCCTCCGCCCTCAACCCGTTCCACCCACGTTCAGTCATTCCGCGGCGGCGGAGGAATATAGCCGTTGTTGGGACGCGAGTCGCCATCGGGCGGCTTGTAGGTGAAGACATTGACGCCCGTGGAGTCGAACATGCCCTCGAAGCCCCCCGAGAAACCTGGCAGTGCAGGACTAGGTGCTGGCTGCGACGACTCTTGGGGTAGCGGTACCTCTGCCGCTTCTTCAATATGAGCCTGCGTAAGAGGCTGTTGGGCAGGTTGAAACTGCGGTGGCGGCATTTGTGATTCCACATTAGCAGTAGTCTGCTGTTCCGGCAGCGGTTGCTGCGCTTGATGCAATGGCAGCGTTTGCTGCACAGCTGGAGCGTATTGGCTCATGAACAGGTTAGGGTACCTTGCACGCTGATCCGCCAGGAACAGCTCGCTGTCTGTCATGGTCTGATCAGCCATTGGCTTGATCGCCGTCTCGGGCACCGTCTCGGTCGCCATATTGGGTTTGCCTCCCAATACTTTCTTGAGCTCAGCTACCAGCATGTTGTGGTCATGCCTCAGCTCTGCATGCTGTTGCTGCAGCGTCGCGATAGCAGTCGCCTGTTGCTGCACTGTCGTCATATCAGCTTGATGGCGCTGCTCAAGCTCTTGGACCCTGCGTTCCAGATCTGGTTGTACTTGGCCCTGGGCATCTTGTGCCGGCGTGGGCGGTGTGGGTGGTTGCGTCTTTGGAGCAGACGGAGGACCAGATTCAGCTTTGCGCTGTGCGAGTATCTTGGCCAAGCGGTCGTTGACCGATTCTACGCTCGGCGCCTCACGGGTAGGGCGTGCCGTTGAAGGCGCTCGGTCACGGTAGCTGCCGTTGGATGGGAATAGTTCCCTGGGCGGACTCCGCTCACGAGGGTCGCGCCCGCGGACTGGGCCGGTTGGAGCTGGGTACCTACCATCGTACGCATGCCTAGGGTCAGCAAAGCCACCTTGAGGGCCGTATGTCTCATACTCAGCGCCGTAGCTGCTGTCTGGATAGCCGGCATAAGAGCCAGGCTGTTGCCAGTTACCAGAGGGCCGACCTTGAGCAGGCCTCTGGTTGCTGGTGTATCGAGGAGGTCCCATCGGAGCCTGCCAATTGCCATGAGGAGGGCCTGGCGGAGGAGCCTGCCACTGGCCTTGAGAACCGCCGTACTGCTGAGTCGGCCAGGGGGAACTGGGCTTGGGCGCGTTGGCCTTTTGCTCTCGTCGCTGTTCTGCGCGCTCCTTGTGATCCGGGTCACGAGCTGCGTCACGCTCATCATGCAGAGTTTCTCCGGCATGCTTGAAGCACCAGTCCTCGTTGGCAACCCGCATCAAGAGAGGGCAGGGTTTCCCGGGATGGTTATGGGTGGCGTCCAGAGGACAGCCACCTCGACAGTTGCGCCAACGGCTGCGGTGCGAAAGGTTCGCTACTTGGCCACATGCGATACAAGCCGTGTGGTACTTCTTCACGCCTGCGTCTTTGAAGACAGACAGCGCGTCAGTCGGGCGGAAACCCTCCGCGGTATGTCCACGTTGTGGATTGCCAGGTCGATTCTCAGTGGGCGAGCGATCGCCATTGTTACCAAGGCCGGAGCCGGATTGTTGCTGCGAAGCGTCTGCCATGTTCGTGTCGATCATGGTGTGTGCAGCGGTGTGAGATGTCGGTGCTCAGGTCAAAAAATTTGTTGTCGCTGACCTTCAGAGTCGCCTTTGTTTGGCCAAGGCGCTAGTGTGAAAATCACGTGCTCACCCTCATTCTTGACTACATGTCGCGACTGCGCACCATCGGTAGCGTTTCACTTCACCGATGAATTCTTTTTGTTGCTGTATTTCAGGTGCAAGTATCCTATTGCAAAGGACAGCTTCTGCGTGCGCCTGTTGCACAGTGAGTTGCGTCGGCTGCTACGAACTGAGTTTAGATGTTCCGTTCCCTCGACCACGCACTTGTTGGAGTCTTCTTGCGTTTCAACACGCATTCTCGTTCACACAGGCTTAGAACTTTCGAATAGAAGCTCGCACGACTGACATCAGTAATATAAACCATAAAGTAATCAGATGCGACTCCTGAACCCTGCTGCACTACTGTCTTTTGTCAAAACATGTAAAAAAGGAGTCGTACAGCATCTCTGAGCACACCCTACCTACATTCTATTTCGCAACAACAACGCAGCATGCATTTACATGCAGAGTGTTTTCACAGCACTTTGAGTGTTTGTAGAAACGTATCTGTGTAGTTAACAGAAGTAAAGTAGCTTTCCTACTTGCTGCACTATCCTAGAAAGCTATATTCTAAGTAAACATTATACTACCTAATGTGCAACAATAGTCTAGAAGTCTATCTTTAGTGCACATAAGAGATAAGTACTCTAGACGTATACATATCAAAATCTATTAGAATACTTAAAATGTTCTATACTTGTAGAAGTTGCACTATTGTTTGATCTAAATTACTTAGAAACACAGACATTATGCTATAGTGCAGAGCTTACTATGTTGTTGTATTCTATTTTGAATTTTTCCAACGCAAGGTACCAACTATATACGCAGTCTTGTGCAGTGTCGTGAGAATCTAAGCACTGCAAAACACTAAATACTTGTTAAACGCTGTCCAGACATCAAAGAACAGCGTATAAGCTGGTGCAACAGTTAATCAGCTATGTTTTTCATAGCAAACACTCGCAATCAGCCTATACGCACCCAAGAAAGAGAAATCGTATCAGGAGCTGTGTGGTGCATCAGAGTTGGGAGTTGCACCGATATATACAGTGTGGGCCATACGCAGGTACTAATGCAAGACTACTTTTCATTGCGGGTGCAGGCAAAGCGATACTGCAATCGCAATCAAATCACGGACACATCTACTCTACGGCATACACATCTCTAATGGAGTCTGGTCTCTACGTTGGAGCGGTCAACGTCACTGGCGATGCGCCCATGATTACCCACACATTCGCGATGTCCCCATAGTGCGACTGCATTCATGCGTGTGCACACCGAGCATATGATCTCTATGTAAAACAAGTATAATACTTCCACGCGGTCTGGAGGAATGCGAATCTCGTTGTTGTTGCACCACTGATAACAGTCGTTGCATTGCACTGTCGCACTGTATCCCGAGCGCCGCATTAGCTAATGTGATGGCGGACCCACCGAGGCCCCCACGCCCCGTAAGCGACGCGCCCCATCGCTAGCCCGTCCTCTTGACTGCCCAGGTGACCATCGCAACGACACCGCGACAACGCCAAACAGTTGCAAAACTCGGTGCGATAGCACACTGAACAGGCGTGCATATCATCACAGCAAATTGCGAATCGGGATTCGCACCCGATCGCAATCATGGCTGGGCAAGATTCTAGCTCGTTTCGCGACGACAATGAGACGCAGACGTACCGCGACGACTCGCAGACAGTGCGGGATGAATCCTCTCTGCCTGAACAAAGTTTAGGCCATGGCACTCAAGCCATGCTCGGTAGTGTAGCAAGCCCCCTCCCAGCTGGCGTGCGCGACAGAAGACAGGCTGTTCAATACAGCCCAAGCGCTCACATAGCTGCGCCGCGCAATGCGAAACCGAGTGGCCCCACTGGTCTCATAGCTGCTGACATCGACTCCTCTGAGCTGCCTGGAATGGCGCTTATTGACGTCGACCGCTATGTAGGACTCGCCCTGGATATCCCGACAAGCGGGTTCTTGCCGCTGATCTTAGCGGGCTTCGACGACGAGCGCACATCAGGTTCACCTCTGAGCGAAGTATTGGAGCAAGATCCGGGAATGAAGACCGTATGGCAATCCATCTGCGACTCGTACTTCTGCTCTATGAACGAGCAGGTCCTCATTGAGGCAATTGCTGGCAACATTGATCTTGCTTACCAAAAGAGTCAGAGCGATGGCACTGACGTCGCTTCGTACATTGACAAGCTGCGAGACCGCGCTTCATTTCATCCTTCTGTATATGTGCGGCCCCTCACAGATACTAATGGAAGCGCCATGTCGCTTGACCACTATGAGCAGATGTTAGATATCGCTGAGCGCTACTGCGGACGTGATGTGCTGCATGCCGAGGAAGCATACGATATTGATAGCGTAGCTGACGAAGACATTGACAACAGCTCCCAGACGATGAATTCCCAGGGCGACACTGGCTGGTCCCTCGAAGACAGCGAAAACGGCATCCGTCGCCACCTCCAGACAAGCGCCAACGAATTTTCCGAGAGCCGAGCGAAATGTCTTCGCGCCTGGATTGCAGCTGGTCGGGCTCGCATAAACCACTGTCGAAGCCAGGGAATCGGTCTAGCACCGCCAATGCAGTATGTCGGATACGCAATGAATGCTACGAACAGGCGAAAGGGCCACGAAAGCCGAAACTCGGCTAGCTGGCTCAGTCTGCTGGTAAGCGACATCTGCGCAGTGCAGTGGCCTGGCTTGTACAGCCTGAAGTTCTACGTCATCGCCTTGATCGTGGACCCGCAAATGGGACAGTTGTGCGAAATCATCTTCAGTCGCTTCTTGCGCGCATACACTGTGAATGGCGGCCTCAACATCGATTGGGCAGGCAAGAGCACATCGAGCCTTTTCCTGTCAACGAAATCAGATGCGGAGCGACAAGACTTTTGGGAGCGCAAGCGAGAGTGGGTTCGGATGAATCTCGACTATGAGGCAAACGGTGACGTCGAGCTGGAGCGCCGTAAGGCTCTCTATGAAGGTGAGTTCAAGAAGCAGATCGCTGCTGCGAACGAACGCACAGCGCAGGGCAATGAAAAAATTGCCAAGATTCGGGTTCTGGCCGACGAGGTCAAAGCAACTGTCGGCATCATCAAGGACAAAGGGGGTAAACTAGACCCTGAAGATGAAGCACAAATTGAGGAACGCCACAGACTAGGCAACGAGATTGCCAAACGCTGAACGACGAAGATTCAGCTTACAACGCCGGCAATGCCGCAACATTATGAGGGGACATGCTGTGTAGACAGCGGGTTCATAGGTTAATCAATAGAGACACCTCTTTCACACCTCGGCCTGATTCTAGTGACTCTCTCGTTTCTTATAGAATATCATTATGAACATGATGTAGATCCCTTGGGTGCTCACTTCAATCTTGCCAGACGAGAGTATTAAGACAACTTACAAAGAAGGCTAAGAGGCCTTCCAGTAGAGCTGAGAGCGTTATAGACTAGATCTCTAAGCTCGTCCCTAGGTTAGAATAACGATTGAGTGTTCGATCGAAGTATTTAACCAGTTCAGCGAGCAGCACTCTTGGCGCGTATGTGCAGCATATCTTTTGGCTACTGAAGAGCACGCAAGCGGGAAAGCGTCTTGATTATATACGTATGTAGCATGCTACAACTGTTGTGTATAATCAGAGGAAGCCGTACTAAGATAGCATGCTGTCCGGTCAAGATAGCCAGTATAGATGCAGAGGCTGCGTAGTTCCGCGGTGTAAGCAAAGAGCGTAAACAATCGCCATGATCGTCGAAACGTTACCATACCGAGTGCTAAACGCCCAGAAGGCCAAAATGACGCATGTCAAAATCGGCGATGATCGTGATTCGATAGCGTCTCGCACCTTGAAGGTAGGAGAACAGTATCGAGGTCATGTCGCGGCTACACAGGTACTGACAGCTCTACCGCTCAATGGTTCCACCTGCATGGGGCATGCATCGTTACAGTCATACTACACGACCCATCTGAGACTGTTCTAATTTGATGCATTCCCCTTCACTCTCGCAGTGAGGTCACTGATACAGCCGCTTTGTCCTCGAGATGTGTTCGCGAGCTGTAGGGTCTGCCTAGCCCCAGAGCGGACTAGTCCCTGTCCCTGCTAAACAACAACACTCCGACTTTACTCACCTCTCCGCTTCACCTTACCCTCACACTGCTGAGTGTTCCCGTCACAGACACTCATCATGCGCTCCACACCCCCACAGCCACTCGCCACGGGCGACTCAGCACCACTGTCAGCCCCAAACCGCCTACTCGCTCTACCGAGAGAACTCCGCGATAAAATCTACGAGTACGCACTCGCCGAAGATGAAGGCCTCCTTCTCATCGAGACTCACCCGAAGAGCTTCAGAGGCCATCGACTCTACGAACACTGGGTCGAATCCAACCGCCTCAAATACGTCTGTCGCCAGCTATATCACGAGACCAAGGGTCTGGGACTGGGACTCAACGATCTCGCTATGCGCTCCGAGCGGCAGGTCGAAAGCTTTGTTGCTTTCCTGGATACATGTTCGGCCAGTCAGCAGCAGTGTATTCGGAAAGTCACACTGACTGATCGAATGATGCGTCGCAAAAAATATACGAGCTCGTGGGACTGGGACGTAGAAGCATTAAGGCCATACGGCGCGTCAAATCCTTGCATGACGATTCACCTATACGTCAATTCACTCAGCTGTACCGAATCCGCCGTCCACTGGCTCGTCCTGGCCGACACCATCCTGTATGCGAGGTATCTGCACACGGACCATGCTTTTAAACCTCGGGCTCCAAGTCTGATCGCCGTCTTCAGCAATCCACGCAGTCCGCAAGATCCAATCCCCAGTCACATCCGCATATTTCCTGGTAAAGGGTCTTGCCACGTTACCTGTCCTGACTTCAGTGGGACATTCGTACTTATATATGGTGAAGAACGTCTCAAGATCTGCACCCGAGAGTTCGAGAAGTGGCAACGCGAGGGCATCTAGAGACATTGGGTCGCGCTGGTGAAGTGCGGGTTCTCGATCGGAGAGGGTAGACGCTGATGTCTTTGCGAAGGGTGCATCCACTACTACAGGTATGCCCTCGAGAAAGTTCTTGGAGTTACAAACTCGTTTGCTGACTACATAGACTCCGTTGTGTATCATAGCGGCCTGGAACTTGCGCTGTAGGGTGTAACCATCACTCGGATTCGGCTTTTGCAATATAACCGTCTGGATGGACTACCTGAGAAGGGAGAGGAGTGGCATCAAAGTGTCGGAGATATTTGCGGTATTAGGAAGGCGAACAGAACTCGACGAAGTAGTCGAAGGTCTGGGCTGAGATACGAGAACAACACGAAAAGCATTCATGCACCATGAGAAGACTGCAAGTGATTTGATGATAATGTATTGAGGGCATGCACTATATCGGCATCCCATTTCCTGTCCTACATACGGACACTCATACTGAATTACAACTGATAAAATTTTAGGCCGTCACAGTCCACTCCAAGCGTGAACACATCTTCTCCGTCGTAGCCTCATTCCCACAACCAGCCATCTAGACCTGGTTCTCGTTGCGCTCAGCCGGCTCCAAGATACCACCGTGGGTACCAGCCTGCTCGGCCTTGCTGAAGTTACGACCACCAGGACCCATGTGCAGCCTGTCGGTGTCGACAAGGCCGTCCTTAGCCAAGCTCGACGCATCCCACTTGGCGCTGGTAATAGGGTTGACGTGAATCATGTACATGGTGTCGATCTCCTCGAGGGAGCGGCCCTTAGTCTCAATCATGAAGAAGTAGACGACGAAGAAGAGCAGGACGAGGGAGACGGCGAAGACGAGACCGTAGAAGTAGTCGATGCGGTCGGTGATGAGGGTAGAGCAGAAGGAGATGATGAAGTTGAAGAGCCAGTTGGAGGCAGTGGCGAGACCCATGCAGGTAGCGCGGTAGCGGGCAGGGTACAACTCTCCGACGATGGCCCAGACGAGGGGGCCCCAGGTAGTGGCGAACGCGGCAATGAACAGGCAGGTGAAGACAATCATGACGTTTCCGGCAGCGGGCGTGCTCTGGGGAAGGTTCTGGTCGAGGGCGTAGTGACCGACGAAGGAGTAGATGAAGAGGCACATGGCCATCCAGGCAGCACCGACCATCATGGCCTTTCTGCGGCCGACATTCTCGACGACCCAGAGACCGAAGATGGTAGCGACGACGTTGACGGTTCCGAGGATGATGGAGGTGACGTATGAGTTGGAGAGGCCGGTGGCGGAGAAGATGGTTGTGCCGTAGTAGAAGAAGTAGTTGGCACCTGTCAACTGCTGACCGGCCTGGAGGACCATACCGAGCAGAGTGCGGTACAGCATGCGGGGGCCGGTGAAGATCTCGTGCCATGGGTGGTCGCCGCCAGCAGACTCAGCCTCGAGCTTCTCTTGGATCTCAGCAATCTCGGCGTCGATGAAGGCGCTGTGCGGGTCGACACCGTTGAGACGGGCCATGTTCATGCGAGCCTCGTCGACCTTGCCCTTGCGGTATGCGTAGCGGGGGGACTCGGGGAGAAGGAGGATGGTGCTACCGAGGATGATGGCCCAGAGTGCGGAAAGACCGTTGGGAATGCGCCATTGAGCGCTGTTGACGTAGTCCTTCTCCGTGCCGTAGTTGACCATGTATGCGGTCCAGATACCGAGTGTAATGAACAGTTGGTAAGAGGAGACAGTGGCACCACGGATGCGCTTGGGGATCGACTCGGATTGGTACATGGGGACAACGGTGGAAAGAGCCCCGATACCGAGACCGGCAGTGAAGCGACCCATAGCGAATTGAGCCCAGACGTCCTTGCTGGTAATTTCGATAATGACACCGATGATGTAGAAGAAGGCGGAACCGGAGATGGTAAGACGACGACCGAAGGTATCAGCGAGAGGAGCTGAGCCTAAGCATCCGAAGAGAGTACCGACACTGGGAGATTGTTAGACGCGTTCATCGCGTTGCGGAGGAAAGGACTTACGCAAGAAGACCGACAATGGCACCAGAGCGGACAGCAGAGAACTCGTTGTTCTCACCGCCGAAACGCGCCTTGAAGTCGTCCATCTCTAGGAAACCAGAGATCTGTCCAGACTCATATCCGAACATGAATCCACCGATACTGGCACAAGCACCGAGGATAACGGCAATGGCAGGCACGCGGCCCTTGGGCTCGAGATCCGCAGCCTGGACGGTCTCAGAGTTTCCCCTGGGAGGTGTGTCCGCAGGAGTGGCGGTGTTGGGTGTTCCCTTCTCGTGGATCTCCTCCTCGGTCGCCTTCTTCTTGAAGAAACGCGACATGACCGTCATGTTGGGCGCGTGGTAATTAGGAATCAATAGAGAAAAACAAAAGGGTATCGAGCAAAAGTCGAGCTGGTCTGCAGCGCGGGGTATACGTCTCAAACAAAGTGAGCTGGAGAGAAGCTGGAGAAGAGGAGACCAGTGTGGGCTGTGAGGAGAAGGCTGCACCGTATAAATAGCAGAAAATGCATGCGGAGACGGGTTCGTAGGGTCTATTGACAGTGGAGCCCCAGTGTCAGTCTCATCCGCATACCCATCCGACTAACATTTTCCAGAACGCCCTAGCCATGGAGGCGAAAGGAGATATGCTCGCACGAGCGCCCTGACAACGGAGGTATGATGACATCGCATCGTGGAGCTGGAGCTGGCAACGGGGCAGCCTGTCAAGAGCACGCTCGAGCCGGAGGGCTGCCGGTCATGAATTTTCTTCATCGCGTAGTATCGGAATGGTTGCTGGACACGCCGAGAAGCACAGACAGTTGATAGTGCAACGATCGGCCCACTGCAGCTGTTGCAAGTATACCACCCTTCTGGTTCTGGTGGATTACTCCTCGGGGTCGTATACGGGGTCGTATAGTTTGTGATCTTGCCCCAGTGACTCCAGTATCGCGTGCTCCAACGGTGTCCCCTTACATGGCCATTGTGGATGGTGATGATGGGGTGCGCTTCAGTATCGGCGAACTGCTCCATCTGAGTATCCAATGTTAGACTTCATCCAGCCGGCCTATGAGATAGCTTGGAGCTACCCGGGATGTTTCCTTATGCAGGGGCATAGACGCGTCTATAGTGCAGACGAGGCTGACAAGTGCCTCATATCGTTGGACAATATGCAAGCCGTGTACGCACGGACGTGACGGCACTCGCTAGCTTCCGCAGAGCCTCAAGTCGCGTTGGATCGTTCACACCGGTGACAAGTCCATCTGGTCGCCATTGGAGGGTAGCCGGAACGAAAAGGTTGTTCTCGAGCTAGGGCAGCACGTTTTTCGTCCTAGTAGCCGGTAACTGGTGCGCCAGAGCTTCTGCATTAGAAAACCGGGGGTGACAGTCCCTGCGGGATATCCAAATTCTTCGCGGAGCGCGGTAAATCGAGACTTGCGACGTCAGATGTCCACCTCTACGTCACCGTGATTTTTCATCGCTGGCAGCGCATCCTCGGTGTCGGCGGTACGAACTTGGCAGGTTTCCCAGCAAACGCCGGTCTTGGCCGACGCGCGATAAAAACCTCATCTCCGACTCCGAGGTTGCAGCGCTAGCGGCCCGCTACGTGCATCCAAGCGTGAAAATCCTGAGCCAAGAGTCCTGAAGTTTTTGAGAAATACGGGTCCGTGTGGATCAATGCGAGAGCATCGTGAGATGAGCAATGTGACAGGTGCCGACATCCAGGTCACGCTTTCGCGTCGAGATTGTGAGACCGGGTGATGTTCGGGAGACCGAGGGGTTACCGGATGTTGGGAACGGCAGTATGTGGGATGACGGTTGTGGTGCGCATGTGGGGAGACACGTTGATGGAGTCTCCAGACACGTCTACGATGGTTAGCCTTGACTCCGTGCTATAGTAGACAGGTACCCCGTGGGTGGTGTGAGTATGGGGGTGCCAACCGCAAACAGAAAGATGCGTGATGTGACCAAACAAGCAAAAATACGTACCAGTCTCAACCATTCGATTGAGCGCACCAATGCCAAAGAGCCATTTCTCTTAAGCTTGATAGCAACATGTCGCCGTCGTTCTGAAAAGAGCCAAACAGACGTTCCACCCCGTGGGGAGCGCGACCTCTTATACAAATTGCTTCGGACGGCTTTGCTCCGGCTGTGGAGATGCTTCGACCCCAGAGAGACGCCGATCCACCAATGAATGATGTAGTCCCGTGATGAACGAACCGACTGCCGTTTCTTTTGCCTAATGTACCGCCTCTTTTGAGCCTCCTTCCACCATCTGCCTGAGTCGAGAAGCGCGAAGGCTTCCCGCATGTCGGATGGCATCCTGCTTTGGGAAAGGTTCAGGCCACCTCCGCGAAGCGCGATGCTGCCGTGGTGAGTGTCGCTTTCAAAGCTGGGGATGGGGTGGTCGTTCGAAAAGGGACATCAGGAAGACCAGTGTGTAGCACCGTTTGTGTGACACTTGCGCGTATGTTTTGCTTCGCAACAATCGTGGGACAGCGTGTGCGTCTACTTGCCTCGGATGGGGCGGAATGGGGTGTGGAGAAAAGGACCTGGGGTACTGTGGATTAGTTGACCCCCTAGCGCCGCTAGTCGCAAGCAAAGGCATCCATGAATGGTCTCTTGTACTCATGCAACCGGTGTGCGCTTGACTGCAGTATACGACACTCTGCTTTTTTTACATCACGATACTGGCTTTAGTTGCACCAAAAGGCGAAGGAACAGAGTACGCCAGACCAACCAGATGACTTCCGTATCTACACCTATCTAATTGCGATGCGCTGATAGCAGGACTCGATATCTTTGGGCGAGTAATCTCAGCCTCTCCCGAAGCATGTGTGTCTGCTCTGTTTCCGAGGCCCATCGCGCCCGCATCCGATCCTGGAGCTCGAAGCTCGCGTTAGCATTATTGAGTGCTGCTTCCGTCTTCTCCTCTCCCAAGAGAAGTCGCTCCGAAACTTCGGATGTGCGGTCTGCCAACCAGCTTTCGAATGCGGATAGATCGCAATCCGCTACGAGCTTCACAGGGAAGCTCTTAGCTCCGGTGGCGAGGAGAGCGAAATGATGCAGACTTTTGAAGATCTTGCTTTCCCTTGCGATCTTGTCTCGCCTGACCGTCTGCGTGAAGGTATCGCCGCGACAAGCGAACCATGTCTTGATCGAAGTCAAGTCCTCCGAATTCAGTTCAGGCCATCGGTGAGAGATGCCTTGGGCGTCAAAGACAGCCTTTGCGAATGATTCTGCAGCCTCCAGGATACCGACCTGGAATGTGCGCTGGGCGTCATGCGCATGCTGGATCTCGCCATGCAGATGCGTGGATACATCCTTCCATAGCTCGGGCCACGAAGCGCTGTTGTGATCCGGTATGACAACGGAAAGATCGGCACCTAGTCTCAATACGAGCTTGATAGCCTCATCGTTGGCCGCATCAATCGCAGCGTCCATTTGCTGATGGTGGCTGTTGATGTCCAGAACGCGGTCTCCGAGCCACCGAGTGAGCGTCGCATAGTCGATAAGACCGACTGGCCTCTGAGGCTTGTTCAAAGCACTTGACGCGAAGATGTTATCGACCAGCTTGAAGAGGTTGTCCCTGTTGGCGGTCTGCAATTCCGCCATGCGAGACTCTGTCCAGTCAATGATATCCTGCTCAGTGAGCGCGATGCTCATCATCTCGTACTGTGGGGTATTCCCCGAGATGTCATGAAGAATGATATCGACAAGACACGAGAGCGGATCCATTACTGAGCGTGCTGCGCGTGCGGAATCCGCATGACTGATCATGAGTCGACAATCCAGCTCGTCCTGCAGCTCGTGTGACCGCAACGAGAACCACTTACTGATATGCTCAATGTCAGTCAACGTAGCGAGCTGTGTCCAGCTCGCTGTATCGATGCCGGCAACGCCGAGCATCTTTGCTACACCCTGGTGCACGCGGTTGAGAGCGTCATTGACGGCGTGATCATGTCTTAGCGCTTTGTCTACGCAAGCAATTTCCAGGCTTGCTTGGCAGCTCTTGAAGTGTTGCGCGAGTTCTTCGACAGATGAGGTTTCATCCAAGAGCGTTAGCGGCTGACTGGCGTCGGCTCTAGTGATAGCAGCTGCTGCGAACTCGCATGCTGATGCGCGCAGTGACGCGAACTTCCTCTGGCCTTCTTGAATCACTACCATTTGGGCGAGAAGGTTACTCTCTGCGCCTGTGGACAGCTCTGATAGGCGGCTACCAAGCCAGCCGTGTATAGCACTATCCTCGAGACAGTTCTTGGCTGTTAGAAGAGGCCACTCTGTATGAGTAAGCCCCATGTCGTCGAAACAAGCACTGGTGAACGCTACAAGCGCCTCGAGCAACTGCGACATGCGCATCTCAGTATCAGCATGGCTGCTGCTAAGCAGGTGTGTCACACGCTGCAAGACCGTACCCTTACATGGCGTGATCGCAAACTTCGGGGAGTCGAACTGCGCGACGATGCGCATCACTTCAGCTGCCTCGGTTCTCAGTGATTGGAAATTCTTCTTCCATAACGCGACTGAGTTGTCGGCGCTGATGAGGTGATTTTCGGCAAAATCAAGTCGTTCCTGTAGTATCACCAAGGTTTCCGCATGGCGTAAGGCTTGTGACAGCTTTTGACGGCGACCTTCAGCCAGTTCATGGGTAGTGCGACGGTCCAAATGTTGGTACCTAGACACCGAAGCTGTAAGATCAGCCCTCAAAGAGAGGATAGTGCCTTCATCTTTGGTAGCAGCAGCATCAAGTAATGCCACTTTGCCTTGTTCTATCGCAACAGCCTCTTGCGACTTGCCAAGCTCTTCTTTGTGCGTGTTGACTTGAGCATCTAGCTCTTCCCTTGACGATTGGCGAAGTTTCTCTAACTTGCCTTCTTCTGTTGTAAGGGCTTCTTGAGCCTTACTAAGCTTCTCTTTGTAGGTGCTAGCTTGAGTATCTAGCTCTCGATTCGATGATTGGCGAAGTTCCTCTAACTTGCCTTCTTCCGTTATAAGGACCTGTTGAGCCTTACTAAGCTTCTCTTCGTAGGTGCTAGCTTGAGTATCTAGCTCTCGCTTCGATGATTGGCGAAGTTCCTCTAACTTGCCTTCTTCCGTTATAAGGGCCTGTTGAGCCTTACTAAGCTCCTCTTTGTGGGTGCTTTCCTTCGCACTCAGAGATGACTCTAGAGTCGCGTATTTCTCGTCAGCGGCCTTCGATGCCTTTTTGGCCGCCTCTTCGTGAGCCTCTGTGTTCTGGCGCAGCGTCTTGTCATGCGTCTCTTTCTGGCTGTGCAAAACTTCATTGCAGTAAGTATCCTTAGCAGTGAGCTGCTTTTCATGTTCAGCTCTCTGTTCCTTCAAAGCCTCCTCGTGTTCAGTCTCCTTGGTAGCAAGAGCATTGGTTGCAGTCTCGTTTGCCATGATGAGCTCCCGCCGATGAGCTTGTTGCGATCTTGCAAGTTCGCCAGTCCGCTCCATGAAGCGACCATATAGGTCAGCGTTTTCGCGGTGTTTGTCCACGTTGTAGTCGAATTCGACAGCAAGCTCGGCTTCGAGGCCTTTGATCTCTACGATAGCAGCGTCGCGTTGTTGCCGAGTAGTGTTGAGCTTGCCAGAAGCTATTCGCAGCTCTTCTAGCAGAGCATCCTCGAGAAGATCCTTCTCATCTAACGCTTCGGCGGTGGCGTCCTGGGCCGCGTCAATTTTGCGCTGAGCGTTCTTCAGCTGCTGCGCAAGATCTCTTGCTCGTTCGGTGGCTGAATCTAGCGCTAATCCCATTTCTTGTAGACTATGGCCGGCATCGAGTGCGTTGTCACCGTTCAGCTGCTTGTAGTCAGTCTCGAGCCTCTCATGGGCGGTCTTCAGCTGGGTGTGATCAGCCTTTTCAGCGTCAAGCGACGCTTGGAGCTTAGCCAATGCTTTTTCATGCAACTTGGCCTGTTGTTCTTTGTGACCCGCCAGCCATGTTTTCATTTCTTGTCGATATTTCTCCCCCCAAACCTTCTTGGACGCAGATTCTTGAGATTTGAGCAGCTTCTCCTGAGCATCAAGTGCTATTTTCTTGTCGTTGGCGGCCAAGGTATCGAGCCGCTCTTGCTGGCTTTCAAGACTGCGTCTTTGCTGCCGGTCACGAAAATCGGTCAGTTTGGTTTTCTGATCCTTGAGCGCCGAGTTCTGAGCCTTAGCAGCTTCATCGTCACTAGCCAGCTTTTGCGCCTTGAGTGCAGCATCCTGGGCCGACTTGGCTTTGGATTCAAGATCCTTCTTCTGGGCCGCAAGTGCGGTGTTTACAGCAGCATCAAGTGCAGACTTAGCCTTGGCCTCAAGATCTGATTTCTGGGTGGCCAGTTTTGCCTTGAAGATTGGATTAATCTTTGATTCTAGATCCTTCTTTTGATCAGCAAGAGCCTTTTCAAGCTCAGTCTTGTGCGCTGACGCAGCCGTGGAGGCAAGCTCCTTCTGTTGAGCTGCAAGAGCCTTTTGTACAGCAGTATCCTGCGTCGACTTACCCTCGTCTTTAAGCTTTCGTTTTTGTGCTGCGAGAGCCTCTTCGACGGCATCTTTCTGCGCTGAACGAGCCTCAGACTCAAGGTGTTTCTTCTGGGCTTCCAGAGCCTTTTCAATGGCAGTGTCCTGCGCAGATTGAGCCTTGGAATTAAGGTCACTCTTCTGGGCTGCCAGAGCCTGTCTGATGGCAGTGTCCTGCGCCGATTGAGCCTTGGAATCAAGGTCATCTTTCTGGGTTGCCAGAGCAATCTTAATGGCAGCTTGCTGCAATAGGTCGGCGTTGGATTCGAGACCATCCTTCTGGGCCGCAAGAGCAATCTGAATGGCAGTCACCTGGGCTGATCCAGCTTTGCCTTCAAGCTCTTGCTTCTGGGTTGCAAGAGCAGCGTCGACAGCAGTCTTCTGCGCCGTCACGGCAGCCTCATTTGCAGTGTTCTGCACTGAGGTGATACCATCACTCAATTCATTAGCGCGTTCAGTGAACCAGCTTTTGGCATCTTGCACGTCGGTCTCTGCAGAGACGAGAGGCCACTCTTCGTGATATATGCCAGCATGGCGGAAAGCCGCTTCAGCAAACCTTACCGACTCCTCCCATAGCGGGTCTATGTAGCCGCGAAAGCGATCTATCTCGCTCATAAAAGGTTTTCGCTCTGGGTTTATGTTAGCAACACGCCAGAGGAGTACGAAGAGGGGACGGACCAGTGAGCCGTTTTGCCTCGGCTTGTAGTGCAGGCAGGCATTGCGCGTCCTCATCGGCCAGCGGCTCAAGGCGCTCAAGGCGCATTTCTACCGCGTCGGCGCGCGCTGTCGCGTCGGCAAGCTGAGCTGCCAGACCAGAGTGCAGATGCTCGGGGGGTACCGATAGCAAAGCCATGGGATTTGCAAGATTGTATAGTAAGAGCCCTGGGAGGGCCGGATTGATACTCATGTTGGCGGTATGAGTGGCGGCATGAGGGTGAAGCGATGGCGAGACAGCGGGGTGACATCTAAGGGCGGTCGGCGCTAGTCCCGGTTCCCCGACACGTGGGAGCATACACAAGGAAGGTGCGCCCGCGCAGCCTGCCAACATCGGAACTAGCCAACAACTACTCCAGTATGGATAGCAGACTACCATCTTGCACAAAGTAAACAGATCAGAAAATCCAAAGTTCACGCGGGCGTTCTAGTTGATTGAGTGAAGACGGTGTGCGCGCGTGATCATGAAAGGTTCATATAATCCACCAGCTTCTCTTTTTTTCCAGATACCGCAATGATGTACATGCGGTATGTGCATAACGGGAAGGCTGGCACGCTGGCTTCTGATGTTTGACGTTGCGTGATCGGCGAGGCTCGTGCTCAGTTTAGTACATAGGTAGCATAGCGGGACCAAGACATCCTTCGTTAACGAGGGATCTGGATGATACATCATAGATCCTCACGACGAGAACAATGAGCAGTATGTACGACTATATTTATTGCAGCCCTAACTAATACAGCGATCGCAAACCGCCTGGAGATGCGCCTCGTCAGCCTCCTGGCGCCAGCGCAGATCATTCAGCTGCTTCAGCTGCTCGCCCTCGCCGCGTACGCGCAGGCGTCTCGGGGGGCTTCGCTTTATCCTTCGCCTTTGTGGACATGCCACCAGGCGTACGCTTGAATCGCTTCGTGTATGAAGCATCGTACGGCCGAATCCAAAAAGCTAAATCGGTCCAGGCAACGCCGGCCCTGAAAGGCACCGGCAGTGGCACATATCCGATAGCGTACTCATCATCATCGGAAGGATGGTCGATCAGGCGCCCACAGGGCTGCTCTGCAGTGTCTAGACACTTGTCGCACACTTGGAACGACTGGTCGTTCGTGTTGCAATGCCAGCGATTGCGGGCGGTGATGATGCACTCCATGCACGCTGGGCGCAAGTCATCTCCTGCGCCATTGATCTCCTTGTAGGAGTTCTTTTGCATTGTCCGATAACGAGAATCGTTCTTGAGCACTAAATGCTGTGCCTTGATAGTGTCAGCGACTGCGCCGGTCAGCTCATCAATGAGCACCCAGCTCTGGTTGGTTGCGTCGCGGACGAAGACGGGCAGATCTGCCATGCCGGGCTCCGCAGCCACCTTCTTCTTGGCACGTCGTCCTGGTTTACGTCGAGGCTTGGGCACATCGGGTGTAGTCGCCTCATCGGAAGGCGCTCCTACTTCCAACACGCTGTCATCGGCGGGTTCAAGTGGACGCTGCGCGTGGTCGTCATGGACGACGACTTCATCGATACCAGAGTCTGGCTTCTCCGCCAGTTCGGCGTTCTCAATGGGTGCGTCTGCCTCTGCCGGCGAAGCCTGACTCGCGATATGTTCATCTGGGCTATCGGGATGATACGGCACGAAACCACCTTGGGCAGCGTCGTCGTCTTCTAACATCTCCAGGAAAGTTGCAGAGATACTGCGTTCAAGACGTTGAACGTCATCTTGGACCAGGTCCAGTGGCGCTTCGGCGCTGTCTTTGGCGGATACGCCGGACTCGATAGACTGGAGGACAGTGTCCTCATTGGCATCTCCATGCCCATCTCTTAGAGCTCCATGTTTGGCGCCACACTTCGCGGTTGCCGCCATAGTGACGTCTTCTGGTAGTTCTTCTACGTTGGAAAGTGTCGGATGCGGTGAAGTTCTCCTGCATTTGGCAGAGGGCAGCTCGAATTCTGCCAGTGGGCTGCGCTTGTGCTGCAATGTTCGCGACTTGAGAGCCTGAGCTATGTCTAGCACTGTTGCCAGAGCCACAGTTTCGGAGCCAGGAGCTGCTCCGGATCCAGGAATCGGTGCGGAGCCAGCACGTTCAGTCTGAGTGAGCGGTCCGTCTCGATTCTCACATGGGTGCGGCATTGAAGTCGCGCGTTCCGGATTGCGCGCAGAGCTCTCCGCGCTCGCTTGAAACATGATCTCTCCGTACTCTTGTTCTGTATCTGACAGTAAGGCATCCACTTCCGCGAGGAGATCATCAGTCTCCTTACTCTCGTTGTACGATGAGTCGATAGCGCGCTCGCCAGATTCCATGTAGAACTTGGTCATTTCCTCGTTCATGTGCCAATTGCTGGCCTTATGGCCCGGGTGGGCGTCGCCTCGGCGCGGATGCGTGCGCTCAGGGTGCCAAACGGCAGTTTCAGATTTCTTCAAATACTGAAGCTTGTGATACCACGTTGAGGGTGGCGTCGTGAAGGTCGCCATTTCGATTGCGTTGATGTGAGGGTGTTAGAGAGGTGAAGTCGTGCGTACACACGAAGCTGCCTACGCCATGGCCACTAGGCCCAAGATTCCCGAAACGGCAGTCGCGACTACCACACAATTCACTCATCATCGCAGTGGCCTTCACATGCCTTCACATTAGCAGAGTCATGCAGGCGAGGCTTGTCACGTATACCAGACTCACACAGCGGTAGCACCCCATTTAAGGAAAACACTGAACACCCTGGGGCCTACATCAAAATAAAAACGTGCAAAGTGGGTGGCCCAACGGCGACATAGGCTCCAGGGTGTGCAGTCTTTCCCTTGTATGAGGTGGTAGCGTTTGGTAGATCATGGATCGAATTATCTATCTACTACATAGGTATGCTTTCCTTGCCAGCCTCCTGTCAACCCACGGGAGCCATGCGTTCGCAGATGAGCGCGTCTTATGCACCATCTCTGGTAGCTTTATGCTGTTTGGTAGTCCAGTACCATCTTGTGGCGCTCAGAGAGCGAGCCGTAGTCGTCATGCGATACAATTGTACCGCCTGGGAGGATGACATCTCCGTTGTTGTAGTATCGCGGTATGCCCGCATACTGTTTCCGGCAAGAGAAGTGGTCTGGTGGGTACTCATGCTTGTATCCCTTCTTAGCCTTGATGCGCCCCAGCCAGGCTTGGTCGACCCAATTCTCCTTCCCGTCTGGTCCGGCTTCGATGCTCCAGTGACGCCAGAAGCAGTCAGCGGCACCCTTCCTGCACTTGACGTGCGGATCGTCGCTGAAGTGATATGCGCACAGATTCAAGTCCATCCGTGCTGTGCCATTGTATTTGGTAAAGTCCAATCTACCTGATCTGCGGACGCCGCAGTTGTACTCCATGTGCTTTGGTGGCATCTTGCCCTGTGGAAGGGCATACCATCTAGAGAAGTCCTCTTCGACTTCTGTGGGATGAGCAGGGTTGTTGGTCCTGCGAGCCCTTCGTGAAGCGTTCATTTGAGCGTCCTTTTTGGTCCTTTGGATGACGCTCTTCGACTGCACCGTGGTGAAACCCTCACCTGATACAGATCCAGATTGGGCAGATACTGCCGCGCTGGCGTAGGTCGCCGTGGGGTTTGTGCCGCTCTTGGGCTGTTGGCTCAAGCGATTCCGATCGCCTTGTGCGGATGTCTTGGGGGAAGCACCGCCAGAGATGGACAGACCAGCTAGATTGGCAGCTATGTCCTTATCACCAGGAGGCGTATCGCCCAACACTGCCTTGCGACGGGCTTCTTGGGCAAGATATATATCCCACATGCCACGGTATAATGGCAGGAATGCCAGCGCGGTTTCTGGCAGAGGGCCGACGTTGATGAAGTCAGCACCACGAAGTCGGCGAGATCCTTGCTGCTCAATGTCGGCAGCCCGAAGGTCTAGCTGCTCTTGAACCCAGCCCCAAGCATTTCGTTCACGCTCGTCGTTCAACGCGGCCGGATCGACATGACCAGGGTATCCAGCGGTATCATAAACCGCTCTAAAGTCAAACGGTGACCACCGAGCTCGCAGCCCTGGGACCGATGCCGGTGTCGGCTCCGCTAGCTTTGGCTGACTGGCAGGCTTGCTGCTTGGGAGTGGCATGTCAGCCACTGCTCGTTTCATTGGTGGGCTAGCACGAGTGCTGCCGTGACATGGCGTCCAGTTCTTCGAGGCATTTGAAGCCATTCGACCATACTCAAATCCGTCAGCGGAGGCATTCGAAGATGAAGCGGAGGCTTGGGCAGTCCGTGGAGCTTCGAGGTGGGCGAACAACGATCGTCCCAGTGGTTCATCATTTGTATAGCTACGTGGACTCATAGCTGGCTCTTGGCTGTTCGAAAACACGCCATATCGGGCGATCGATGGCGCTGGGCTATTGACAAAAGGATTTGATCCTTGTCGTGGGTCATTGCCAGACATTCCGCTCATGGAGAGGACACTACCCTGCTCACGTCTATAGCTGTGTGGACGTACAGCTGAATCTAGGCTGTTCAAAGACATGCCTGGTCGTTGCGACATGTGTGAAGCGTCGTCATATGCCATCGTTGGGTTTTGGCCTCCCATCAAGCCGTAGGATCGGCGATCGTATCCTCCAGATGCGCCCAACGCGAAATCGTCAGAGTCACTGAGATCGTCTTCGGACCCGCATGATAAGCGAGAAAAGTACTGTGCCATGGTGCTATACTCGTCAGTTTCTGCAAAAAATATAGATTTAGATACTCACAATGCGTGTACTTGTTAGTGACGCGCCTGGTGAGAGCGAGAGTTGTTATTATCTCTTCACGCCAAGACTCTAAACGTAGCGCGCTAGCCCGATCGGGAAATGCATGCTAGATTGATACTCCAACTCAAACGCGGCCGCAGGATTTTTTCACAACATTCACATCACCACAAGCAAAGTATGGCGCCAACATCGCCAAAGCACGAGCAAAGTTCTCCTTCGGGCAGTGAGCCTTTGGCATCCGGCCGCTGGGCAGATAGCGAACCTGATGACGTCCCACAGACACGGGAACGCCTTGTCGATCGCTGGGCCGGAATCCGCGGCGACCAGAGTGATGATTTGGCAGATGTCTTGCCACTCTTGAGCGAATTGAGCATTCGCACCACGCGCGATTTATCGCCAGAAGAGGTCACGAATTCGTCATCCCCCGGCTTACTGCGAGAGCATCGCCTACTCCGAGTGATTGACTCTCTTCACCGGAAGAGTCAGGCAGACAAGGACAGTTTCGCCGCACACATTGAGCGGCTCAAGAATGACCACGCAGACGCGCTTGTGCACGCTACATCAGTAGTGCCAGACCTGACGAAACAGCTGAAACAGCTGAAGAAGGCGAGCAGTGAGCCCGCTATCAGTCTTTCTGAAGAACGCATGAAGCATGCTGATGAGCTGACCAAACAACGAGCCGCTCACGAAGTAGCGCTCAAGGCCGCTCGAAAAGACGCGACAGACAAGGTCGCCTCCGCAGAAGCCAGAGCAAGGCGAGACTTGCTCAACGACATCACCGCTGTCCGAGCACGCGAACGCGCCACGTTTAACGAGATGGGCATACTGGAAAGCGAGAAGGCAAAGCTCGCTGTTGAACTCAGCTCGCTCGCGGAGCGGAAGGCGGAGGTTCAAGCGATGGTTGATCGCATTGCGGAGGGAGAAGCAGCTCCCAATGACTTTGGTCGATTCGCCAAACGCCAGTATGAGCAGGGCACCAAGTCCGTGGTCGATAAGGATCACGCAGAGGCCGAGAAGACGCGCCGGGACTACACGCGCCGCGTCCAAAAGCTCAAGGGCGAAGAGGAGCATCTTGCTCAGCTCGTCAAGGTTGTCGAAAGCATCTCCAGCGCCTCCGCGGCTACCGAGTATGTGAAGAACAAAGAGGGCGTCGCAGCACGCAAGAACAAGGCACAAGGTGCAGAGAAAAAGGGAAATGGCTCCGCTGCCACTGTATCCAAGGACACGTCAGCACCAGTCACGGAGACCATCACCATGTCCAGGCAGGCTTTCGACGCCGCCAAAGCAGAGGCTGCAAAAGCAGCTCTCGGTCCTAGACTGCTTTCTGTGATGCGCTCCATGGCTGCATACATCCTCATGTACGAGGGTAAGCTTCTCAAAACAGAGGAAGAGAAATTCTTCCCTGGTCTACGTGACGGCTCGTTCCCAACGATGGCTCACGACGCTGCTTACGCGCTCAAGATGCAGCACCTGAGGAGCGCGCATACTGCTACTCCCAAGGATCGTGCGAACATCAAGGCTCAAGAGGTCTTGTTCCAGCAGCCAACCGGCAAGTTGTCACCTGCGATGTACAACTGGTTCAAGGGTGTAGTAGATGGCGCAGCACTAGCCGAGCGCGACTTCAAGTTTGCGGCTGGAGAAGGCCAAGTTGTCTCACAGTAGAGCAGCTTCTCGGCGCTCATAGCAGTGATAGCCTGCTAATCGTATGTAGCGGACGTTGCGATATGGTGCATTGTCAATTCATAGTTCATAGTGTTATATTCTCACACATATCATGTGATGTTTCGTGATACAGATGATCAGTACACGCGTAAGCCAGTCAAATTGATGGAATGATACTTGAAATTTCTCAGAACTCGTGTTGCGTTGACAAGTGTGCTGATCAGTGTTATTGAGGCAATCGCCAACCAGTAGTCACACGAACACCCCATCTGCACTCGTGCTCCTTCTTCCTTGTGCTTTTTCTCTTGACGTTTCCTACTTTGACCCCCACCACCCATCAGCTCCTCCTCAAACTCCTCAAAAGCCTCCACAACACCGTTCTTCCCAGCCTCTCTTGGTCATGTTTTTTATGACCCTATTACTGAGAACTTCCTGGAGCATGCGTGGCTCTTGTTGAGAGACTGTGCGTTCGATGATGTGCTGTGCTGTTGCCTTTAGGTTGGTGATGGTCAACATTGGTTTCAGCAAGCGGTGATCACCGGTGTCAATGATAAACGTTACTGGCCATATATCGTTGCGCGGAAAGAAGCCGACCGGTGACCTTCGGTGTAAGAAGCTAATTGTTTGCGTCAGCAGCTCTGGATCTCCGGTGCAGATCGCGTGCTGTAACATCATCATAAGATCGCTTTTCTCTAGGAGCTTACTCTTTTCATCGTGAGCGGCGAAAATCGACTTTGCTAGCTCTGCATTGGGAGATGTCGCAAACGCACAATGAAAGTACTCGGTGGGCTTGCGGCTGGCAACAAGTATCTTGGCCATGTTGGTGTGACCATGCAGAATGGCGAGATCAAGTGGTTCTAGTCCCTCGGCGTCTTCAGTCATGATGTTGTCCGCAATAAGGGATGACCGGCCAGTTGCGCGCAAAAGCTCCGAAAGACCGAAAAGCGCGAAGACATGGAGTGGTGTGGTGTTGTGTTTGTCAAGATCGAAATACTCCGAAATATCGTAATTCCAGGTCATGAACATGATCCACCATTTTTTTATGGTGTCGGAGTCAGGCTTCAAGGTCTCCAGAATCAGGTCGATGAGTTCTACCGAGGTGTCTGTAGAGAGCTTGACATGATCAGCCCAGTGGTTCACTGCATATTTCAGATCCGCGGGGATATGTGACATCCAGATAGACTGGTCATCGCCTTCCAGGTCTTCCATGTCGATGCCAGGCAGAACAGCGCAGATGATCTTCAGATAATGCCGAGCCAGCCTTGCATGGATAGTCGCGGAATTCTTCGACCGGGAATTCCGCAGCCATACGTCTGAATCTGTGAATTCGAGGCAGTCAGTATGAACTAGTGTCGGGATGGGATAGGACTTGAGAAGTGCCAGGATGTCAGATTGTTCATCCTCGGGAAAAACAGAGACAAACTGTTCGACTCTCGGCGGATAGACATGCGCAGCGAGCATTTCCAGTAGTTCATAAAACTTGTCTTCATCTTCGACACTGAGATTTAGCAAGTTCATCTGGAAGCGTATTCGAATGTTCGATAGGCGCTCCTAAGAGTCCTAACGCGTCCTCGGTACGCTTGCTCAGGTCAATGATACCAAATCTCTGGTCGTCAAGTGGATCGCGAGTGGTGACGAGAATCTTGAGACTGGGCTCCGTATCTGGGCAGCCCTCGTATGGAAGTGGGCGATTTAGCAGATTAGTTATGAGAGTTCTGCTCTCTTGGTCGCATTCGTCTAAGCCATCCAGTACACAGTACGTCAAACCTGCATCAACTCTCTTTGTAGCGCGTCGTAGGTAGTTCCACATGAGGATTGCTTGGTGGAGATTAGCATGCAGGCCAAAGGTGTCTTCGAAAAGATATTCGTGGAAACCTTTCATCATGTCAGGTCGCTGGTGGAGGAGCTGATACATCCACCCCTTCAACACTGCGCTCGCAGTGCTACGTTTGGGGTCAGAACGATAGCAGAAGAAGTAAAGAACCTGCGCCTTGTTGAAACCGCTTGATGACTGGCGATCAAGAAGTTGATCGACAGCAAACAGGGCTGCCGACATCCTGCTGGTTTTGGGCCCTTCGACGATCTGGAGTCGTAGCTGATCCCGAGTGGGCGCAAGCCACTGGGTCAAGATTGGGTCTTCTTTCATCCATTCGTGGATGAGGTCATCCCACGGGGAGGCTTTGGAACGATCCAAGGCGCGAGATGGATCGAAAGGTCTAAGGACTCTTGCAGTCGTCTCTATTGAAATGGGCTTGGACTGAATCATGTAGGGACTTTTGAGACGTAAGCAGTTCTTGGGTATGAGCTCCGGCTTCCTGACTCCGTCTTCTGACTCCACGCCCTCGGGCAGCACATCTTGTGGTGGCATAGTGATTACAAGGCAGTTTCTCACTATCTATCGATCCCCAAGAGCAAGGACAGACGGATAAATATACACTCCATCTTACTGTTTGGGTGTGTATCATCTCGTGTAGCAATTGCGCTTTGCCATGCGCACGCGTTCCTGACAATGGCGTGTGCAGGTGGGCAGCAAACACCGAGTCCCAGGAGATGTCGTCAACTCCTATAGTCAATGAAGATAACACAATGATGCCTGCGGTGTCGACCCATCTCGCGCTGGGTTGATGTATGGTGTTGGGTGGTAGTCAGGATGTTGTTGTGGCAGTCGCGATCACACCACGACCCGGACAGGAAGGTCCGCGGAAGTCTCACGTGACGGCGCGACAAGCGATTTGTGGCTTCGGCGCGCAAAGCCGTCGCAATTGGCCGGGAATCATCTGCGCAAAGCAGGATCTGACGCAGTGTGATCCAGTCTAATGAGGGACACATGCGAGGAAGAAACAAGTATGGGCGGGCAGAGTTGGTCAACTGGGAGGAGCAAGGTTCCAGGTACGAGGTTGAGATGAGGTCAAATTGGGCATTCAGGCGTTGCGCCTCCCGCGGAGCGTTGCGGATGGCTTTTGGCGGCATCGCGATGCTGAACAGGAAATGCGATGCATCGCGACAACATTGATCAGAAAAAGAGCCATGCGGAGAGATCGGCCGAATATTGAGTGTCGTGATGTTGCGCGGTGCGGGCGGTGGTGTTGAGGTTCAGCCTCCTATTATTGGGCCCCAGCCCCCATAACAAGATGAATAATTGCATCATGGCGTCGTAGTCAACCAGCGCACTACTGTGTCAAATCCCCAAGCGCGCCCTGCTTTTCCCACTTCTCTTACCTGGGACGGATTTTCGGCATCTTACAATTGCTTAACTGTCTTGTGCCTTCTCGAGCATTGTGTTGCGTGTTGCTGCACACCAAATTGATCTACCTCCCCCACAACTAGCGCCGGCATCGTCGGTTCCAGGCCAGGAACTGCTGTTCCCCCAGACGACGGCCCCCCAAACACGCCAAATACCAACACCACCACTTTGCTGCCAGCGCGCATTCTCGCGGCCAGTGTCGCATACTGCTCGACTTCATCATGCCGGCCGTACGCGATCCCCTCAGCTTCCTCGCCAACATGGCGCCCCGCGACTCCAGCCTCGGCGCCCGACAGCCTGCCTTCGACGTGCCAGCGATTGTCTTCGATGCGCCCAAGACAGCCCCCATTGCCAAGCGACAGAACGTTATATATGCCCAGCAGGGTATAATACCCACCTACTACAACACCGACGGTCCCGAGCCCGGCACCGTTGTCGGTATCGTCCTAGGCAGCGTTGCCGGCTTTCTCCTGATCTGCTGGCTCATCCAGTCCCTGATGAACACCAACAACAAGACCGGTACAACCACAGCCATGGCCGGAGAGGAAGAGATCGTGGTGCGCAGGCCACGCCGCAATTCACACGGCGGACGCTCGTCGCGACGCCGCTCGGAAGTCCGCGAGATTAGCAGGAGCCCGAGGCGGAACAGTGGGCGCTCGCAGATCATCGTTGAGGAAAGGAGGGGCGCGCCACCGAGAGCGAGGAGCATCATTGTGGAGGGACGGCAACGCGTTCCAGGCGATGATGTCGTTGAAGTCATCGAGGAACACGATGAGTACCGCGAGAGGAGAGGCGCCCGGAGAGGCCCGGGATACCGGTGAGTGCTTGAAATGGTTTCTTCTGAAGATGTAGATTTACTAATGCATCCAGGTGAACAGATACTGAACAGTAACTGCATCGCGCCTCATACCCTGCACCCAACAACCCACAACCTACCAACATCCTTACGTGCGACCACTTCCCACCGTCGCACCACAGATACCCCCAGAATACCCCTTTGCTTCTTTCGCGTTCTTGTTTTGCAGTAGTTCCACCGATCTTTCTTCTTCTCTGTACCATAATACGGGCTCTTCCTTTGCACTTGGCGTTCAAGCGGCGGCATTGAAGGCGACGACATCCAGTTTGAAAGTGAAAGAATGAGAAAGGGGAGATATGACGCATGACGCATCATGTATAGCGAGACGCGCATCTGATTTGGACGTATGGGAAACGATTCAAGGAAACTTTACCTGCAGATGAATAGTCAATATATGATCCGTGAGATCGAATTATCAGTAGCCGGCTGGACCTTGCCGTGACGTCGCAGTCGCTCTTTCCTCGTGAGGTCGCTCACCTGGACTAGCCCCACTTTTTGCTGGACTACTGCAAACAAACCGCGACACTCACTCCACTACCATACTCTACACCAACAGCTCCACGGTTTTTCTACAAGCGCAAACGGCCCATTCAATACCGCGCGCTCAACTAACTAAGATCTGTCGATCTCAGCAAAGGTATGTAGTGACTACTACTTCAGCTAGAAAGGCTTGGCTAATGCATACGTAGATGGCCAAATCGCTACTCGACCTACCTCGTGAGCTCCGCAACATCATCTACGAGTACGCACTCACGGAAGAGGATGGGCTTCTCGTCCAAGAATGGCCTACGATGCATCCCAAGGCGGCCGGCGCCAAGTACGGGACCGATGCGAACCAGCTGAAGTTCACCTGTCGACAACTCTACACCGAAACGACTGGCCTGGGATTGCGATACAACAAGGTGACCTTCGGTGGTCCCTGTGGCTTCGAATCCTTCGAAGGGTTCATTGGGGTCGACTGCACGCCTGCTCACTTCGGACGAGTCAAGAGAGTAGTCATCGTTCAGGAAAGACGGGACAAGATGTACCAAGAGCTGAAGAGAGCGCATGCCATCGGCGAAGCCTATCCAGCCTTGTCAATTGATATACGCTGTGAGTGGCTCACGGAGGCTACTAATTTTTTTGCATGGTTTGCTGGAGGCACTGAGATTCACTATGCACTTTGCGACTCCTGACATTACGCGCGCTGCTCCTGGGCTTACTTCTTTGTTCATGATTGTGGCACGATCAAGGCGTGAAATACTTGGGATTGTCAACTCGAGGAACTTCCAAATGTATCCTGCAAGCTTCGACGAGGAACGGCTTAGGCTCTCTGCTGAGGAGATGCATTTCGGCGACATTGAAGGAGGTCTTGACGGGTGGGTTGCGCAGTGCAAGACGTGGTTCCAGGAAGGTTTTTGAGTCGCTACCAACAATGCTTAGGTATAACGGCGCATCTAGCAGCGAGAAAGCAAAAAGGTCATACTTGGGTTCAACTATCGGAACATTACACAGGGTAACCACAGCTGCGGAAGTGAATGAGTACCCATCTCCAAATTCTATTGTCTTCGTGACGATGAGTGCCAAGCCTACGAATTGGTCAGCGCTCATACTATACAATGAACCTGGTACTCCTGCCCGATTGAGTGTCCTCACTTCCCTTGACCGTGACCATGCGCAATCACTCCTTCTCTATGAGGAGTGTCGGTGCCTCGCCAAGCAAACGGACTAGCGCTTCAACCTAGGCATTCATGATCAATTCAGATACGACGTATGTCCTTCCTCTTGATAGTTCCAGAGCACATCACTTCCAACCTGTGTCCTATGTCCTTCCTGAACGGTATCACCTCATCGACCGTGCCAAAACCAGCTCTTCGCACCACAGAAACGCTGTCCTCGTACCGGCGGATATCATTTAGCCTCTTTTTGCCCTCACTATGGTAGTGACGCCGAGGAGACGAGCGCTAATTATACCTACACGACGAACCCCTCTCAAACAAGCTATGGTACCGCGACGACCCCTAGACGACGAGCCACTCGCGACTCGCTCGGTACAAACGATATGCGCGATGTCTGAACCCCGCATCACGTTGTGGCGAATTATTCACAACCGTGATGGTCTCTTGCATGAAATCATGGCCGGCGACACGATGTTCGGAGCCTGGACCGTGTGTAAACCTCACCCACTTACGGTTCCTATGTCTCCAACCATACGCATACATAAGCTGCGCAACCTCATTCTTTCTTCCGACATTCCATGGCGCGTACAGCAACCCCTCTCCGTCTTTTTCATATTCCGCATCCGCACCAGCCCACAATAGCCTCTCAACCGAATCCAGCCGCCCATTCGCCACGATCAGGAACAACGAGTTTGACGATTTGATGTGCTTGTTGTGTATAGAAAAGCGGTCGACGGCATCATCGGAACAACCGGGGTATGCATAAACTATCCCTCTACTTTTGCGTGGTGGGGTAGGGTGACTTGAACTCCTCCAAAGGCGATGATCGCAAACCTCTGTGAACTTACTTCGGAGACGCTGTTGGTATGATGCACCAAAGTGGTGCGTGGGGCTCATGGCCAAGAGTCCCGGCATCTTCTCACTCCTTGTTGCCAGGGTCGCAAAAATGGGGAGCAACGCGCATAGAGTCTGATCGGGAAGAGCTCGGGCGAAGATTGCTTTGAACATGTCGAGTTTGCCGTGAAAGTTTGGAATGCTGTCCATCCATTTGCATATGGCGTCGACTACTAACAGATCCCATCTTGCCAAGGCTGCGAGAAGGAGATTTTGGGTGAGGAGGCGTCTTGCTACGTCTGTCCTTGTGAAGACGTTGCCCTTTGCATCTCTGAAGTGCCGGGCAAGGTGGTTAAGGAAGACGTCGATAATAGCATGCGGGTTTCCGGCCTCTGTGATGGCGATATACAAGTACTTGTACAACTGTTTGTAAGTCAAGCGTTTGACTGAACGGAGTAGCAGTGTAAGCATCTCGTGGCTTCCATGTTTGGCTGAAAAAGCGAGGATCGTGGTACCGAAGCAGTAATTTAAATCGTCCACTCCGCTGTGGAAGCCGGCGAATGCTTCGAGCACTGCACCTCTATCGTCCGCGTCGATAGCGCAAAGTATTTCCAGGAACTTGCGATCGTTCTCGATGCGCTTCTCGGGGCGATCGTTGATGGTGTAGTCATCGTAGTGCGGCAATACCTTGGCTGGCGCTGCAGAGGACCAGTGCGCGACTAACCAGGTCTCCTCCCAGTACTCGTGCATGCAATAGCTGGTCCACCGGTTCAACTTCTCATGTCTAGCCGCGCGGTCTCTTTCCGATATCTCCAGCTTGTTGAACTGAGACTCTTACACAGGGATGAAAAGGTGTGCGAACAAACTGCGCTTGGCACCTTGCTTCTTAACGCGATGTTGGAGGTATGCATAGCGAAGACCAGCTGGGACCTCACCCCAGAGACGTTTCCGATAATCGTAGGGACCTCTGCCGCCGCCGCCATCGATGAGATAATTTCGCAGTGACTTGAAAACGTCGTCTGTGATGGATAGTGAACGCACTTCTTCGTTGAATAGATCTATTGGATGTTAGTTACAGGACAAGATGAACTGGGGTTGAGCAGCGTACAGCTAGTTAGTCTCAACTGCCAAAATTCGGCGCGGGTGTAGGAAGCGCAAGCTAGCTCCAAAATACATTGGAGTATTTCGAGTGGTACCTTCATTCTCGCAGTCAACCGGTTGAGATGAAGAGAGGATATCGAATGCGAATGTCGGTGGTTTTGACGGACGAATATCTTTGTGTGTGGGTCTAGGTAATGTTCCGTGAGTCAAGGTGAACCGTACCTTGGTTGACCTCTTGAATTCAATGCGCACAAGCTCTGGAAGCACAACAAGACCAGGATCCGTAACGTTGGAGTGGCGCGCAAAGTTCTGGATGGCCTACATGCAATGCTGGTCTGTTCCGGTCGGGTGAAGAGATACATCTCGCGTCACGAATGGCCATGAGCTTCCTTCTTGCATCTGATGTGCTGGATTAGTCGTGCTAGCTGTTGCTCGCGTATCGCAATCGCGATCACGTTAATACAAGCATGCGCTCCAGAAGTATCATGGCGTCGAGAATATCTGTAAGGTCGTGGTTAGTTGCGCGGTCCATCGTCGTTAGAAATTGGGTGTGTGATTTGACATGCGATGATTTTGTTAATGCGCGAGGTGGCTGGTTAGAGGGCGCTAGTATGACGCAATCGTGACTCGCGCTATCATGCTGACTATGCAGGGGCATCACAACATTCGCGATCACTGGAAGGTTGTTCTTGCATTCACATTGCTTTCCAGATTAACTGACTTTTTGTTGATACATATACAAAGAATTCCGAATCGGCGATGGCCGGCCATGACCTCTGGTATTTCCTAGAATCACCACTACCTACACACAAGCGCCTCGCCTCCAGCATCGCGTACTACACCAATACCGCACTTGTCAAAACCCGCGACTTCTGATCGGGAAACCAGCCTCCAGCGCGCCTGAAAGGTTGCGATCTTCCAGTTAATCTCAGGTCCTCGCTCTAGCTATTTGTGAATACGATCCCGCCGACGCGACTGTTGAATTCTCTCTTCCACAGTGGCATCATGGACCTTGGGAGTAGGTTGTCACCATCGGCGCCGAATACTTCCAAAATGACATCATGGCTCTCGGCAATCTTTCCCGCACTGGATGACCCGTACTGTCGGATGATCGCTGTATGTAAGTTGATGAGCTTGTCTTTACGTCGCACCACAATGTTCTTGAACAGAGCCCTGAGAGACTCTTCCGACGGCTCTGGGAAGTTTGTGTTGACATGCAGCTCTCTCATACTCTCCGGAAGCATGTCGCCCATGCAGGGAATGTCGACATGCCCCCACGTCCTCGCGCCAGCTGGGATATGCGCATCACGACCCTGGCGCTGTCCGCTCTCCAGTGGCGGTCCACAGAAGCATTCAACGTCCACCTCCAGCTTTTGCAATCTCGTAAAGCGCAGAAACGAGGAAAGACCGTTTACAATCTCGCCATGCAGCTCGTCAATGGTGATGGCGAGGTCAACAATAGTATCGCTGTTGTAGTTCGCCAGGGCCTCGATCATTTCGCCCGCGTTCCAGTCGTGTTCAAGACCATCCCATTTTGTTTGGTGTGAGTACTTGAAGACTTGGAGAGCTGGTGTGTTTGTGAGGAAGGCCGAGAGTCCCGTAGCGTCCATGCAACAGTAGGCGAATTCGACACGGGTCAAAGGAGATTTGACATTTGGGTTGAGCCAGTTGAAGGGAACACCTCCCCAATCCTCGTCAACCGCAACGCAGCTGACAGCGTAGATGTTTCGTATACTATTGAGGGTCATGAAAGGCGCAAGACATTGCAAGCCAACTCTGACGTCATACCCTTCCTCCACGAACGGCAACAAAGTCTCAAGTCGAGCCAGGGGCTTCTGCCGGTGCCCACTTGCATTGGACATGGCGACAAGCGACTGCACATTGGAAACAAGAGCCTCGGCGCCCTCACCTTCCCTGACCTCATGCCACCTATCAGGTAGTTGCAACGTTTTGAGGTTGGGTAGAAGACTTAACAACGCGACGGTCGCGTACAACTTGTCCATATTCGACTGGTCACCCGCTCTGTCTTCTTCCAGAATACGACCCCACCACTCTTCCTCGTCAGCATCGGCGTAATATTCGGCGCGCCGCAGCAGATCTCTGATATTTTCCATCTCCTGCTCATCTTCGCGGAAACTGTGCGGGGTGGTATCATCCGGCATTTCATCGTCTTGCCGGTGATCCCAGAGAGAAAGAGTCTCAATGTACTCAGCAATGATCGGATCGCGAGAGATGTCGTGCAGGATAGCCAATGTGTCACCGCGACGAGTCCGGCTCATGTTAGTCGTGTGGCTCCAAGTCTTGCGCATGTCATTGTGCTGTCGGATCTGGGACGCAGCGCGTCCATACACAGTCTTACATGAGAGCACGAAGCTTTCAAGACCATCAGGTGCGGTACGGTCAATGATCAGGTCAAGAAGTTCTGGTGGAAGATCGAGGAGTCCCATGGTAGCCTTCGAGGTGGCGCTGCCGGCGTCAATGCCGCCAAAAAGTAAAGAGCAGGCGGAAGTCCTGGTAGACAGATGAGTGGCGAAGTTGTGGCTTTAAGTGTCAAACGTGTAGTAAAGGTATAATCCCACGGTTCCGATGCGAGCTAGGTGAAGCTACTGGTGGCGGCTCTCACCTTTGCATGAACGGATTCTAGAATCGCAAAAGCGCAGGGTCCAGAGATGTTGGGCAGCGGGCGAGAAGGTCCGAAACTGGCAAATAAGCGAAAAGATAAAGGTCGTTCATTGGTTTCGGTATAAATCTCCTTGCTGCTCTCGTCTGAATCCTGTGGTGGGGTAAGCTAGCGGCGCTTTAGGCCTAGCCTGTGCAAAAAAAGAAGGCTCTCATAGCTTCGATCTCCGACCACATGGGCCTCGCTTAATGTCTACCAGCATCGTCCTACATTTAACATGTCGATACATATATCTGCGATATCTGTGGCATCGTTACTCCACGGAGCTCTCCCAAAGGTGGCCGCCATATCTGTTTCGAAGCGCCCGGTCTGATGAGGTCTTCCACCGGTTTATGGACAGTCGCAACGACCACACAAAGATCAATCCCATGCCAGTTTTGACGCAGATTCCTTGATATATTCTTTCAAGGGCTGCGATGTGGGCGTTGCTTTAGTGCTTTATGGGTGATGTACCCGTCTTACAATGCTGCAGGGTCATAGCACTCGATCTGTCCACTTCCTTGTCGAAGATAGCCATTCTCTGTCTCGAGAACTACATACACATCGGAACAACCTTCCCAAAGAGATATGCTGCATACACTCGTTTGAATGGCTGTTTTGTATACGTGGAGTCAATCTGTAGCACAGACTTGTGGTTGCGAGAATTATCTGGGCAGAAAACCTGGTTGTGCACTGGCGATGATACTGTGACCAATTACAAACAAAGCCTTTTGCTCAGAACCAGGCTGAACACACCAATTGGTTGTATCCATGACCCGAATTACCGGACGTGCTTCTTTTCTGCATATCTCATATCACAAGACTTGATTCAGTTCCACATCTTGATCAGATGGTCGAGTATCTAGGTATTCCTCTCCTGATGCGGAGCCCACTGTCATGTAAAACCCGATATCTCTTAGTTCATGCGGTCGAGCCCGGATGAGTCGCACTACTGGGACCGTGAAGCGAAACCTTGGGCCGGAGAATGGGTTAGCTCGTTTCTGGTCGACCCAGTCAAGGGTCCGGCAATTCTCCCCATTGAAGAAGCAAGGATACATGCGGTCTACACCCCCAACGCTAAGCGATATGTCCTCAAGTACAGGACGTGTGGTCCTCCCAGTGCTATCTGCTCGCATGGGAGAAGCAAACCTACATACGGTCTATACCCCCATCGCCAAGCGATTCATACTCATGTACAGGACGTGTAGTCCACCCGGTGCTATCTGTAGTTAAAGTAACGTCGATGGAAGGATCGATGAACAGTGATAGTCTAAGTTCGGTGCATCGTCGAGCGGGATGACCCTGAGTGAAAGTGACTGACTTGCATAAGCAGGTTTGTGCCAGACTTCTTGTACGGAATAGTGCTGGTGCAGGAGTAGTGTCGTTGGTACGGATGGGTCCTCCGACCCAATCATGGTGCTTCTGAACGCGACGTCACGTGGGCTGAGGAAATGTGTTTGATACCGCTCTTGATACCAGAGCGCTACCGAGGTATTTCGACGACGACCACAGATATCTTACTCTTTTCACGCTCAAACCTCTTCACATACATCATCAAGAGGCCCTTTCGAATTCTTTAGTCGTCTTTCCAAGTGTCAAAATGTTGCGCGCCTAAAACGTCCAATGTTCCCCGGCACCGTTTCAGCCCAACTGTCAACAAGTTGTTCCCAGTAAGGCTGCTACACTTCAGCACACCAAGTCGGGTATCATGATTACCGGCGTCTGTATGCAGTCTTGTCACGACCGTCTAGCCACCGGGGCTGTGGGCCACGAAGCAAGGATACAATGTGTCATCATCGGAGCATTGCGCAATACGGGAATCCTCTTCGACGACCGCTAAGGTTATCGCGTAACGCGGAGAAACATTATGGAATGCAGCACATTTGGTGCGATCTGGCGCAGATCGCGATCTTGTCCAAAGCAAGTACCACCTCTCTCCGAAAGTCTTCCTCTGAGATGCCATTCTGCTCCATCCCGGTTCGTTCATTCCTCAAAATGGCACTGTATGGCCTTGTGTTGCTAGTCACATATCGCGTTCCCAGCTCTGGGTGCATGAACAAATTGCAGACTCCATTTATGCAACATACTATTGGGTAATAAGACCGAGCCTTCTAACCCTACAAGTATACGGCGACGTGGCCTCGCCCCGCCTCTTGCAACCTCACAACCTTTGGGTTCTGTTGCACTGTTTCTCAATCCCAGCGCTGCTCGAAATCCTCCAACGGCTGCGGGTCTAACGTACGAAGTGAAACGGTATCAGGCGCCGGTGGCACTTCATCCTCCCAGGCATTACCTTCGGCTACTTCCGTCAGGGGCCCGTGATGCGGGTAGGCATCACGACGACCATCTACATCTGAATGACTGGGCCGGCGGTGATGCTGCAAAGTCTTCTCAATCTGTTCGCCAACCGATAGAGGCGTGTAGTACACAGATGAGTCTCTTAAGTCGATCGGAGATGGCGATGCCGCTGGAGGTTCGTCAAGCGACATTGCATCAAGGTTGGACTGAGTGAGTGGTGACGGCGCGGTCACGCGTGGGTCAAGATTGGGCATAGTCATCTCTTCAATCTGGTTTGCACGTAGCCTGTGTACGTGCGACGAATGCCGTGTATCAGTAAAAAAATCCTTGAGCTCCTGGCACGCATGAGCAACACTGTCGGCTAGACGGTCCTCCCAAACTTGTTGACCTCGTCTCGGATGATAATCGCCGTATGCCAAAGCATCGTCTTCAAACTTGTGACTGCTATGAGTTATGTGCAGCTGCTCAACCACGTACTTCCTTCGCCGTGCTGCAGAGGGCGACTTCGTTGATGATGTATGGGACGATTCAGGGTTCAGTTGTTTGACGTCTTCGGCAGACTCATCAGTACTACTCGGAGTGTCCTGACCCTCACCGCTGGAGTCATCGTCCCGTACGTCTTCCTTCTGAAACGTGGGTTGCGGGGCACGTCGGTGGATGTCGTACTGGAAGTTCGTCTTTCCCGTTCGCTTTTCGTCGATGAACTGGGGAAACTCGTTGAGTGCCTTTTGTGGCTGACCACGTCTGTTCATGCAGAATTTCTGAATCTCAGCGGGAGTAAAGAAGTCGGAGGGTATCATGCGCCCAAAGCGGCGGCCCATGCGGTTGAGCTCTTTCCGCGGCACAGTCACCTGCTTATCGCTGCCAAAGATGCGTGTGAATGTGATGCCAGCAGTGATATCATCAGCGAAACCGAGATACACTTGGGTGTCTACACGACCTGGGCGATACAAAGCTTCGTCCAGTGAATCTGGAGCGTTTGTTGTCAGGATGACGATGTGGCCTTCTCGCGATCCAGGTCCATCTAGAGTGTTCAGCAAACCACTTAGAGTGACCTTTGTCCTCGATGGGGGAGGCGGGGGAGGCGGTAACTTCTTCTTTCTAGATCCACGTTCCTACGCTTCTTTTTCTTCGGCCTTGCATTCCATGAGCTTATGGACTCTGAACTACTCTCCTCCTCCTCTTCTTCCTCCTCCTCCTCCTCATCACTATCGTCATCGTTCTCTAAAGGCGGCGGCGCCATGGTGCGTTCACGGACAATGCCCGCGGCATCAATGTCTTCAAAAAGGATGACGCAGCGAGCGGGCAGGTTTTTCACCTGCCTCTGCAGCGTCGTATCATCCATGCCGGCAAGGTCGATGACACAAAGCGGCAGATTGTAGTGGCTCGCAATGGCTGTAGACAAGCTTGTCTTGCCTGTACCAGCTGGCCCGTAGAACAAATAGCCTCTTCGGTATGGCGTTCCATTCTGATAGTAATAGTCCTCCGTCCCATCGGCAAGGAAAACCTGGAGATCAGTCAGAAGCTCTTATTTCTTGAGTGGATTCATGTCAATCGTCTCAAGACTACGTTTCCTCGAAGTATGGTGTATAGTGTTATGGGAAGAGACGTAACGGACAGCCAGGGACGTCATCTGGCCGCTGACAGTCTTATGAACGGCTTTCAGCAAGGCTTCAATGGGCTTTTTACTGCCCCACATGCAGCGTAACGTGAGTTTGTTAACGTAGCCTCGGCCATCCGGTTTGTACAGCAGGAATGGTACGCCTTCGTGGAAGAAAGGAGTGTAGCCAGCAGAAGCTATGAGGTGGTGAGAGTTGCTCTCATCATTGTTGGCGGTCTTTTGCTCATGCGACAAATCTTTCCACTCCAAATGTTCGAAAGTCGGAAGCCAGGCAAACAGCTGGTTGGATGGTTGCTTGCTGATCCACATCAAAAGGTCGGTGACCAGCGCATCGCTACTGTCGAGCTCGAGTGAGTTTGTGAGGTTCGAACTGAGCCAGTCATATGTTGCCTTGCCGTATGTGCGAGCGGGAATGCATAAAGCAATAGCCCAAACCAGATAGGTGAGGTCTATACCTATGTTGCAATCGATCCAGACCTTGATAGCTTGGAACAGTGGCTTGTTCATGCTGTTCTCGATTGATGAGTCCATCAACGTCTCGAGGAAGTTCTTTTCATTCTTCACTCTTCGATCTTTCGTCTTTCGGCGAGAGTCGTGACGGCGGTCATCGTCGTCCCAGCTATCATCGCTCATTGTTGGGACCCTTTCAACTGAGACTATGGTAAGGCCGATAGATGACTATTAGAAAGATAAGAGTGCGTATTGCGCTTGGTGTATGGAAGTGTTGAAGGTTGAACGGCCGTTGAAAGTTGCAGAACGGCTGTAGTTGATATAAGACCAAGAGAGCGGTACGTTGTATAGACAGATACGTTCCCAGCGGGAAGAGTCGTGAAGGATCGATTGGTTCGCGCTCTGCTTCGGCGCCTGTCGAGTATGGAGTGAAAACACATCCGGTTGGAAACCATGGTCGGTATAGAACAACTTTCACCCGCTCCACAAAGTGAAGGATACTCATTACCAGATCTGTTTCCATTATTGTATTGTTAGCAGACTTTCGAACCAGACAGATCAAGGTATGTGTTCTTCTGTCAGCCTTCTCAAGTATGTGCGGTCAGCTCCGCAGATCAGTGTATCAATCCCAATCATGTATAGGAAATAAGTAGGTAGTGACTTTGGACATGTAGCAGTTTCTGGACGCGTCGAAGCGGAACGCGCGTGTGGCGACGTTGTAAATGTGGACGCGATCATGGCTGGAGTCTGGCGATGTTCGCGTGAACAACAGTCTGCTTCGCGATACGCTTGTTGGGTGATTGTTATTTGCGATGAAAGTGTTGGGATGGTGGAAGAAGGAAATACTGCTAAGACGCGTGGCAGGGCCTGAGAGTGGGAAGCGCGCTAGCGCGCTCGGTCACCCAGCCATCTTGTGATTCATGAGATCCCACCAGGAACAACCCACAGCAGCCTGACTGAGCCGAGACCGCCACGCAACCTGAGATGAAGCTGCTCTTTCGAGTCGCGCATATTCTACTCGTACTTTTTCTCTCTTCTCTACTTATTTACAGTGTCTATTACGCGTTCGCGCTTCTAGCGGAAGACCAGCAGCACAGCTGGCCGCAGTCAGTGCAAGCCGATTCCGAATTGGACACCGACGACGTATCTCGCAAGCCATCACCACAAGAAATAGTATGTATCTTCCAATGGCCGCATCAAGATGGTCGTATACTGACGTTACACAGGCTGCATCGATGAACACATTGTGGGACTACCTGGACGACTGGGATGAAGAGCATTGCAAGAATGTCTGCGAGGCTTCGTGGGTTGCCTGCCGACTGAGGAATTGCTATCACCTGCCGGATGTCAGGAAGCAAGAACTTTGAAGGTGGAAGCACGAGAACTCAGCTTGTCGGCGTGTATGTAAGCTCGTCGCAACCCCATTTTGAAGTTTCTCCGACATGTTTTGGCGCAACGCATCCAAACCCACCACATCCTAGGAACAGTCGTGTGGGGTTGCGCGGTACTGGGAGATGAATGTCCAATGCCGGAGTGCCCCACACTCTTCATCAATATCCGAGACCGAGACTCTGTAACCCCAAAGTACCAGGAGCACATGCGTCGCTATCATTCGCCCGTGGAATCGAGGAACGCGGGCATCTATTTCGCGAGAACATCTGCGACCTGCGACGATACTGGTCCTCAAATGGTTTAAAAAGCTAAAGGACTCTCGCTGTGGTCAAAACGCGACCATTACAATCATCATGGCTCACCTCATCCTTGCCCTGGCCACAATGGTGTTCTCCGCGGTGGCCTTCGACTGCACTCGCGAATACCTACAGAACACAGCCGACTCCTACGTGGACCTCATGGCAACCGGCCAACACGACCGTTTCGAAAACATCGCTTACACCATGAAATACTTCGAAAACAACCAAATCGCCTCACTCCTCAACGGCGTACCCGCCTTCGGTCTAATCATTGACACCCATCGCTCCATCCTCGATACCACACAATGCAAGACAATGACCGAGCTCATCGTGACCGACACTAAACATCCATACGTCATACACACGCAGATGACCCTAGACCCTGAAGGCAACGTAAACCTCATCGACAGCATCGTAACCGACGCAGGCGACTGGGCGTTCAACGCAACCGGCACCTCCTACTGGAACAACCAAGAGACCTGGAGCTCCATCCCAGAATCCACCCGCGACACCCGCGACACCATCAAAGCAGCCGGCGAAGCTTACGCCGACCGTTGCAACGACGTCTCCGTCCACGTTCCCTTCGGCACGCCCTGCGCCCGTCTCGAAGGCGGCGCGTATACTGGTCGTGGAAATCTCTCGGCGAATACGTGTGATATCGGTGGACTACCGGAACATGTCCCCATGACTAATCGCAGGTATGTTGTTGATGAGGTGATGGGTATTGTGGACATCTTTATGGGGTTTACGGGGTTGGATCGCACGAGGAATACGGAGGGGACGCCGGATAGTCATATGTTTCGGGTTGAAGGGGGGAGGATTAGGTATATTCATACGGCGAGTGCGTGTTTTGTTGATGGGTGTGGGATGAATGGTACTGGTATGTTCTTCCAGAGGCTATGTTGTCGATGGGAATGCTAATCGTTTGATAGGTATTCCGCCGGGTGTTGGAGGTTTGGCGTTGCGTTCGCGGGCGCTCAAACTTGACTAGCCGATCATCTCAAGCTTCTTGATGAAAGCCTGAACGTGGCTGATAACGGGGTCGAGGTTGGCAAGTTGATTAGAGACTATCAAGTGATGTCACAGTACCGAAGCCTGATGTACACTCACTAACTGTTTATTCCGTCTTTCGTCCCAGTAGTCTCATGACCTCATAAACTTCGTCGAGCACCTCACAACCCCATCTTCAGTCCCAGTTAACCCTCGCTTTAACCTCAGGATGATCCTCCAACCACTCCTCCACATCACCCTCATCAACCACCAACCCAGGATGCATCTTCATCGCGTCGACAAGCACATCCCTCATCCCCTTGTCGTCATCCAGAGTAGACGTAAACGCTTCCTCCAGCGCATCAGCCAAATCTAGACCCTCATACTGCCAGTACACATGCAAGACATCTATGACGCCCTGGCGTGCAAAGGCTTTGAGGTCGTGCATATCGAAGTAGTCGGCAACCGTATAGATGCGTACGTGCAGGAGGAGGTGCGAAGCCGATAGCATCTTGCCGGCACATGGGCATTTGCGCTTGAAGATCTGGGGAGCGGTCGGGGGACCGTGTAGCAGGGCGTAGGTGCTGTGGTTACAGTAGGCTGTGGGGTGGACAGTCTCGCCGCCGGGTAACTGGTACGTTGATGTGTACATGTAGTCTAGAATGTGCTTCATGGTGATGGTATCGACGTCAGGGATTTGTACTTCTCGGCTGTTAGTTTCCTGCATTCGGTCAGTATGGCATGTAGGTCGATATAGTTGACGTTACTTACACTACCGTTGAAGCGAAACATGCGCGCAAAGTACGGCGATGAGGCTTCCAGGATGCTCTTATGGGTGATGAAGTGTCGACCTTCGCAGATGATGGTGAAGTCTGAGGTCTCGTCATTGAGTGCAACCTTTGTCTCTTTGGTCTTGGGCTTGAATGGTGTTGGAGGAGCGTGGTTCTCTTTATCGAAGACCTGAGATGCTTTGATCTGCGGCGTCTTGGGGACGACCTTGCGGATGGTGCTCGCTCCAGTTGAGAGATCCATGGTTTTGATGTGGTCTGGGGTCAGAACGGTTGTTGATCAACACGGGTGTTGACAGCGAGTAACATGTGATCATGCGTATCACGAGAGTGACAAGCGCATACGGAAAGGAATTCTTAGTAGCAGATTGTTTGATACCGTTGTTTATTGTCGCCTAGAGCGGGTGGGGAGTTGCTCGCGCAGCCGGTCTCATCCCAGCTTCACGCGTTGAACCGATGTCGTTACCACGGCGATAATCAAATTGCCTGCGGAGCGCAGGCAGCGATCACTTTCCGCTCATTGATCTGTACTGGTAATGGTGAGCGTGAAGATGACACAAGGCAAACATGTGGCGCTGAAGAGATCAGCCCGCCTCTAGTAAGCTTTACAGGGATGGAGAGCGCGGCGATGTGCGCACCCGCGTCGATGACGCGCATGCACGTGTTGTGAGTTCAGGCTATTGTACTTCTCTTAGACCTATTAAAGTAAAGACCGGCCGTCGATTGCGAGCAAAGTAGTAGTCTTAAGACAGCTACTTGCTTGAATGCTGAAGGGCTTTTAGGGCTGAGAATGAAGTCACACAATTTGAGTACAAAGATATGTGTTATATCTTCTCGCTGATACAACTTCACTAGTTCCAGCAGGACCGTGAATGTCAGAAGGTCAGTCTTAACAGCGAAAGACATCGCCGCGTTTAGATACCATTGTGACGTCATCGCGACTACCTCAAGTACGCCTGCGGAAACTCGCCGATGGATATCGTCAGTCTGCCGATGGAAATTATGCGAAGCCCATTCGTCAAATAGATCAGCACCGCCGTGACCAACAACCCCCAGGCACACCTGAACATCTTCCCTCCTCGCCTCAACCCATACGAAACAAGCATCGCGACGACGCCAGTCATTACGACAAACTCCAAAGTCTTCGACAGGAGCAAGCCTCTGCCAATAAAGAGACAAGCGCCCCAATCGAAGATTACCATAGCCTCCCTAAGCCACGCGGCCGCCCTCATGAGCACGAGCTTGTTCACAAGCTCTGGATGTCGTCTCATAGCGACCTGCCCACTAATGTCGATCGCGATGCATAGAGCCTGGACGACCATACGCATTGCGGTCTTGGACAGATGAGCCCTGCAATCCGTACCCATTAGAGCGGAGAGAAATGCCATCTCAATGGGAGCGCCATAGAAGTCATCCAGCCCGATCAGAAGCCCTTTCGAGAAAAAAAGCAAGCTCAACCCCAACAAAGACACGAACACCAGCTTCATGTAGTACAGCCAGAAGGAGAATCCGTCTGTCCATGTCAGTTCTCGTGCGAAGAAGGCATACGAAAGTATAGCCATCTTCTCTTCGTCATTTCGTGTATGTAACCGTCCTAGCAGGGGTACGTTGGCGACTTGCGGGCTTGCGAGTACCGAACCCACAAGCAGTGCGTGGTCGACTAGTGCTTGGGTGTAGGAATTCGACAAGACACGGCATATGATGTAGTTCATCGGGCTTCCATATGTTATGGCGAGAGGGGACGAGCAGAGAGAGCAGGTCGTCATGTTGAGCTTCAGAGTCGTGATCTTAAGACACTCGCTGCCGATGAGGTGACCGCAGGGTAAGAGTCTTATGGCCTTGCATGGGAACTCGTTCGGGTCGTCTTTGTTGTCGACGGCGTTGAATGGCCGCATGCATACGTAGCATTCGTCTTCTGGGTCGGGTGATGCGACGTCTTCTGTTTTGTAGGTTTTTAGTGAGGCTGTGATGCCGTAGATCGGCTGAGAGGATGCCATTGCGACTGAAGTGATACTGAAGGATAGCTGGTTGTGAAGTGGTTTGATAAGTTGTGATCTGATGCCAGTAGTTGTATCGAAGGCTTCGTGTTATAGTGGCATTCACGTGCAGTGTACTGGTAGGCAAGAGTTAGTGAACTGAGTGAAACCGGTAACGAATAGTCACAACGTTTTCTATCCACGGTCTGCATCCTTTTAATGCTAAGCAGTAAGATACTTGCGACCAGCATGATCCAAACCATCATGTTTGCTGCTTTGCAGGACGCAACATAAGCTACCACATCGTTAGCCCCGCTTCTGAACAAAGTCAGACAAAACAACTTACAATAAACTCCATCTTGTCCTCTCCACTCCACCTCCTCAGATCCAATTCCACCGTCTTCACAGCTTGGAATCCATGTCTCGCATACATGGGCGCACCCATGGGACTCGCTTCAAGGAACGCCTCAACACCAGCCTCGTCCGCCTTCTCGCAACCCCATCGCACTAGCATACTTCCCGCTCCCCTCCTTCCATGTTGCGGCAATGTAACCAGTGTATCTAGCACATAGTACGGTCTCCTCCCCAGGATCTCCCGCTTGTTCGAGTTGAACAATTTGAAGAGTTCGGCGAACATATCCGGGTCACTCTCTTCGTATGGCGGTGGGACGGTGAGACCACCGTCGACTTCTTCCCAGGTACGGTCTTTGGCACCCTCTTCCTTGGGTTTAACGTAGCGCCAACGTGCGCCTGCAATCATCTCACCGGTTGAGGTGTCGACGCACTTGACGTAGAGTATGCCCTTGTTGGTTATGCCATCGCGGATGTCTTCTGTCACTTTATCGAGGGTTTCTTGAGATGGCTCGCGGCGGGCGTAAAGGATCTTGTTGACGGTTGGGCGAAAGACTTCGTGACGTATGCGCATGTATTGCTCTGCTTCTTCGGGCTTGAGAAGCAAGACTGTGAGGTTCGGGTCTGGCATGTTGGTGGTAGGAAGACTGCGTAGGACAGGGACGAAAGACACTACTCGACAGTGGAACGTGGGTAGTGGTCCTGAGAAGTAGATCAAGAAACCTGCGTGTACTTATGTACTGATGTGTCTGCCTAGGACAGAGTCATACCTTCCGCGTTTGGCGTCGCCCGGCATGCCTGTCGGAATCGGAGTAGTCAACCAGTAGAAGTCCGAAGCGAAGGGAGTTGGAAATAGAATATGATATTCATCACCCACCAAAGAACGGTGTACTTGTCATTCTACAGCCTGCACGCAAAAGAGTTGGCATGGTGGCCTTGTCACTTGGCCACCAATGGATGATGCAGCCCTGGAGGTGGTTTCCTGCGGGGGAGCCGCTCATGATCTAGAGCTCAATTACTCGCTTGCAGCGGCGTGTGTGTTTAGCGTTCCGCGTACCAAGATATATGACTCGTTACCATTCCCTCACGCTGTTGTGATCAAGTTGAGACATAATACTATGGTGTTGTTGTGTTACACGCTGAGTACTGCGAGTGATGGTGTTGCGAGGTGCTGACTGCGGAGACTCGCCTAACGCTACCGCGTACTGGGGTTATCCCTGCAACAATTTCTCCCTCAGTTTTGCGATCGCGCGCCTGCAGCTCTCACTGCAAATTCACGATAAACCGCAATGGCGCCCGCAAAGACTATTCCACACAAGTCTGGTGGTCACCAGCGCTACGCACCCGAGAAGGCGAAAGATCCTGCGCGATTCCAGTCCGAACTCGAGGGCTCAGACGACGATGCAAATGCAGGCGCACTGCAGCCGGTGAAGGAACCTCAGGACGATGACTTTGAGGGGTTTGGCACGGATGAGGAGGCTGGAAATGAGGCAGTTCAAGATGAGGAAAGCGATGACGAGAGCATAGACATCCAGACGGAGAAGAAGCAGGAAAAGCCTGTCCTGCCAAAAGATGCTGAGGAGGAAGAATTGGAGCGCATGATCTTTGGCGACTCTGAAGGCTTCCGCCAGGGTTTGGAGAACTTTTCGCTCGACCCGACCGCAAACGCATACGGCGACTCATCGGACGAATCCGGAGCAGAAGAGGCCGACCTTGACGCTGTGGCAGACCAGGACCTCTTCTTCTTCGATGCTGGCCCAGTCGCTGCGCCCGCGGGATCCGTTGCTGCAAAGGCAGAAGAATCAGACGAGGACGATGGCAAGCCCGCCTGGGAAGACAGCGACGACGAGAGGCTTGTAGTCAGCTTGGCGTCGGTGCCGCAATTGAGGAAGCTGCGAGAGACGGCAGATGACGACATGGTCAACGGCAAGGAATATGCGCGGCGGTTACGCAAGCAGTACCAGAGGTTATACCCTACGCCAAAGTGGGCGGCTCATGCGACAGGCAAGGCCAACAAGAAGCGCCGACGGGATATGGATGACGATGAGAGTGGCGACGATTCTGCGAGCGACATGGACGTGGACGAAGAGGATTTGTCTACGCAGCCATTGGCTAGGCTACTCAAGGATGCGGATATCCTGTCACAAACCTCACGAAGCGTGGCCAAGCGGAGGAAGGTGCAAGCAGGCACCATTGACATTCAGCGACTGAAAGACGTCGCTAAGGCTGGCCCGGTGAGTACCGCGATGCCATTGCATACGACCCTCATACTAATTGCTATTCTAGTCTGCCATCACCTCCCTCTCTTTCCATCCCGCATACCCGCTGCTCCTCTCCTCCGGTCCTAGCTCAACACTATACCTTCACCACGTCAACCCCAACCCGCCGAACCCGAACCCTCTCCTCACATCTCTGCACATCAAGAAAACTCCTCTCGTCACAACAGCGTTCCATCCTTCACCCTCGGACTCACGCATCTTCCTCAGCGCGCGACGACGCTACTTCCACGTTTGGAACATCGCGACCGGCCGAGTGGAGAAGGTGTCGCGTGTATACGGCCACCAGCACGAACAACGGACAATGGAGAACTTCTCCCTCTCACCCAATGGCAAATACATGGCTCTTCGGGGTTCCTCGAGAAAAGGCGGCGGTGTTATCAACATTCTGGATGCAAGGACACTGCAGTGGGCGACACAGGTGCGCGTCGAGTCAAGAGGTGGTGTTGCTGACTTCGCATGGTGGGGCAACGGCACTGGTATGAGCATTGCGGGCAAGAACGGAGAGATAACGGAGTGGAGCGTTGAAGGAGGCGTCATAGGAAGATGGAACGACGAGGGTGCTGTGGGTACCACAGTCATCGCACTCGGTGGTAAGAGCGGACGTGAAAGCTGGATAGGTGGCGATCGATGGGTGGCCATTGGCAGTTCAAGTGGCGTTGTCAACATCTACGACCGGCGAGCATGGAGCGAGAACGACCCTTCAGTCAAGCCTGCCAAAGACGATTCGAATGGCGGTATCCCGAAGGCACCGAAGCCGGTACGCGACTTGCAGAACCTGACGACGCCGATTTCGCATCTCACGTTCACCGCGGACGGTCAAGTACTTGCCATGGCGAGTCAATGGAAGAACAACGCAATGAGGCTGGTGCACCTTCCATCGGCAACCGTCTTCAAGAATTGGCCTACCGAGAAGACACCGCTTGGCAGAATCACAGCAGTCGCATGGGGAAGGCCGAGCGAAGAGGAGGAGAGAGAAGGCAGCCTCGCACAGCTAGCAGTCGCTAACGAAGCTGGACATATCAGAATGTGGGAGATAAGAGCTTAATTTTGGAAGCGTCGACGTTAGAGGACGCCAAATCACTAGTGTTTCTGGACCAATCTGGTGGCTGCGAGTTTTGACCGAGAGTACTGCACATATCGCACGCAAGAAGTTTAACATGTCTTCGAAGAAGCAGCGCAAATGGTTGCCTCACCTCTTCCCTCCATGACGAGCAAGCCGCGTCTACTGCGAGGGATCAGTCAAGCGCGGGTTCTTACATGCTAGATCGCAACTGCTGCGAACTCCCGAGCTGAGAACGGTCAACAAATATTCATCTCGCTTTCCAACTATTCTGCAAACATGTCGCATCGTCCTCACTCTGGCCATCGACCTACCGTCTATGCTTACTCTGTTTCCACCGCAATCATGGCAGGTACACTCCCCACGCACCTGGACTTATTACACGCGTCTCTCATGACTGTCCTCCATCACCACAACAGCACTTTTGGATACCTCTTGCACCACAATCATTGCACAACAGCCTATCAGCAAAATCTTCGCAAGTGCATCATAGCAACAACATTTCCTCTCTCATCATGGGCAAGAACAAGATCCGCAGCAAGGACAAGTCAAGGAAAGACAAGACCTCCATAAGCGACACGGATGGCTCAAGCACCCCTTCGACATGGACATCTTCTCACGGGGCGGTTATAACCAGATCCACTAGCAATACATCTGATCGTCGCCAGCTTCCAACAGAACCCCCAGGGAAAACGCTCTGTGTTCCTACCATCACCTCGCTCAAAGATACAACTCCATCCAGCTCTTCCCCCGGTTCATCGCCCGCTCCTCCGGTAATACGCGGAAAGGGCGCAAAAGACAAACGAGACTCGGTCATCTCAAGCACATGGGAAGGTCCAAAGCAGCAGTCCGAACCTAAAGCTACCACCGCAGCCCGACCTCGATGGGGCTTCAGGCCTCGCAACTGGTGGCCATGTCGCATAATACAATGGATATACCACTTCTTCGTCGCTCTGATGCGGATACGCTGGACCGACAAGCAGATCTCCAAGGACCTCATATTAACACTAGCCTTCGTCGGTATAGTCGTGGCCGGTGGCTACGTTGCCCTGGACATACTGCTCAGCGCAATACCCGGTGTCTCGGCTCAAACAGTGGATGGCAACTGCAGCATCGTCTACGTCACTGTCCCTGGACCGATAATTACCATCTCGCTCGTTGGCGCGTCGCCGACTAATCCGGCGAAAGGCACGTACTACTTTTCTGTGGTTAATAGTACGACGGAGTGGCTGGACAGCATTGCCCCGCCGAGTCTATTCAGTACTTTGCCTACCAGGACGGCGGATGTTAGGCCGATTCTCTCTTCAATGGGGCTGTCGAGTATGCCCTCTTCCGGTGTTGCTGTTGGGTCTTCGACGTTGGGATCGACTACGTCTGCGCTGTCTCTGTCGGATCCTTTCGTCTCGTCGTCTGTAAGTTCACCTTTATCGGGCCCAGCATCGTCTGAGATATCGAGCTTACCTCGGCCTATCAATCAACCACAGAGACCTTATCCATCGTATCCTGCGTCAACGAGCGTTGTCACAATCAGTAGTGTACTGTCTACTTCCGTCGCTACATTGTCTACAGTTCTTTCGCCGTCTTCAGTCTCTACCCTTTCGAATACTATCACAACATCAGTCGTCTCACCGAGCAGTCTGTCGGGTCTGAGCTCAAGCATACTCCCAAGCACGCCTGGTGGAAAGTCTTCGGCGCTTCTGACTGGTTCGAACGTACCGACGACTTCTAGTGCACCTACAACGTCTATAAGTCCAACCGGTAGCCCCGCTACTCTGAGCCGTGTTACATCAACAACTACAGGGGGTTCCTTCGTTTTCCCATCCACGCAGAGCGATGGCTTTACCGTGTCTCTACCTAGTCCCGTTTCAGGACCAACTCTTTCTGCCGACATATCGTCAAGTACCTTCACGAGCCTTACGAGCAGTATCGGCAGTCCTGCGATACCATCGTCAACGGGTCTTACTCAATCGCTATCTACATCAACTCCCCTCTCGCCAAGCAGCTTCGGTTCATCTACTCTTCCCACCAGTGTAGGTAGCTCCTCCGTTGTGCCATCGACAGGTTCCACTTCGTCGCCCTCCTTGACGTCCTTGACCGGGAGTTCCATTGCGGCACCGACGACGTTATCGAGCTTGACTACATCATCCATTCAGAGCTCTACATCCAGTCTTACATCGTCGTTGAGCTCGTCGAGTCAGCCTTTGACTAGTATACCCGGTCCAAATACCTCCACCGGCTTTGCCACGCTGTTTCCTATCACCAATTCGTCATCAAGTCTGAGCTTTAACTTGACGTCTACCTCTTCTACGCTGTTGACTTCGGCTACCTTGACAAGTTCTTCTGTTAGCTCTAGGTCTTTGGCCGATAGCTCTACGTCGTCTGGTAGTAGCATAAGCCTTCCTCCCGCTACTACCTCGTCCAGTTCACGATCGATCTCAGTTTCAATTTCACAAAGCACTGTGACTTCGAGTCTGACCGCCACCACCTCGTCTGGGTTACCATCGAGTTCTGTGCCACTTTCGCAAGGCACTTCGGCTTCTATTCCGACCGCCACCAGTGTGTCCAGGTCACCGTCAAGCTCTATTTTCATTTCGCAAAGCACCTTGACTTCCAGTCCGACCGCCAGCACCGCGTCCAGTTCACTATCAAGCTCTATCCCAGTTTCGCAAAGCACTCTGACTTCTACATTGACGTTGACGACAACTACCTCCCCGCTAGCGACGTCGTCTGCCGCTCCAGGCTTCAACGCCACGTCTTTGTTCAGCGCTCGGGCTATGACGAAGGTGATATCGTATGGGGATGTTGCGATCAGTTTTGTCTTCCCGTCACCCAACATCTCAACGACCGTATCGTACTGGACTGGAATGTACCCCATGGTGACTGGACCCGAGCCATCAGATCTGCAAACGATACCTTTGACAACACGGACTGAGCGCCAGACACCGATCTCTGCTCTGCCATCTTTTGAGATCTTCTCATCTCGATCTAGACGTTTCAAGACGGTAGTGACGACAGTGTTTGAAGACGAGGATGAAGGCACGACATCACTTGTGAAGCGGCAGGATGTTCCAATCACTGTTGTTGTGCCCACCCCGACGCTAGAGACAACAATACTTGCGACAACGACCGTGGCTATCCCGGACGCACCAGGGCCTTCATCGTGCGGCGAGTCGGGCAACTTCACGCTGACCTTTGATGACACGGTCACCGGCGATGATGACAACACTATACTGCTTGTCGCCAGCGGTATGAAGAATCCATACCACCACCTCTTCTATGGCAACGGATACACATACGTACCCGACATGTGGGAGCCATACCCCGCAATTTCCCAGCCAAACATCGCCATGTTCCTGCCTCTGACCGGGCGGCTCCTTCCCAACACGCCATTCGCAGGCACGATGCTTCCTGGCGAACTCGGCGCCGGACCACGAGCTTCAGTCAACGCCTACTGGTTCAACGCGTACTCCGCTTACTTTGGCTGCGCTCTCAACGGCCTCACACCCTGTACGTTGCGCATATCGGGATACCGCTTCGACACCACTCTCCAACAAGAAGTGCTCGTCGCAGAACAAAACGCGACTATCCCGGCATGCTGGGGCTACATCAACTGCCGCCTCACTCAGATCTTCTTCAACGACGACTTCCGCGCACTGTCTGGTATCCAGTTCAATGCCTACACATACAACCTGGGTATACCACAGGTGCACATGATGGATGATCTGCAGATGGAATGGTACAACAACACCTGTTCGGCGGGTATACTACGGATAGGACACAGCTAGTATGGATCTAGGGTGTGGCGAGGCTGAAGTTATCTCATCGGGTATACAATATGTTGTTGGAGATGGCGATGACAAGATTAGCATAGTATGTTTTGGTAAACAGTATATCTAGACAAGAGTTGAATGAAGTTAGCCTACATTGAATGCGCCACTTCCTTCGCAGATGACCGTGATGAAGCCTCAGGTGACGGCTAGACCCTCGCGCTGCAACGAGGCGTGAGCTCTCCATCCGCGTCGATTGGCCGGTCACGCCGTGCACGGCAATGGTCGTCCGAGATGTGTTCCAAGGTGTTTCAGACGGGGGGTGCCATGTGAGCTGGAGGGCATCCGAAGACGCGTCGGCAGCCAGCCACGGAAGGAACGACGCGTAGCGTGGGTGCAAGCTCTCCACGGCGACTTCCCTCGTCGACGTCCAGGGTCCTGTTATGGCGTCACGCGGCGCCGTCGGATTTCCATGTCACGCGCGAACCGCTGAGGCTGCAGCTCCACGCGGTGCGCGCATATCGATATAGCCGGCGTATCATTCTCCAGCATAGCTCTGGATTTCCTTTTTCTTCCTTCTCCAAACCTCGCTGCAGCTCTCATTCGTCTTCCCGTCTTCGATTGTCGCATGTCCTGTTCCCGCCTCAAGCGACGTGCCGCATCTGCCTTTACCGCGTAGATACTAGCGTTTGCGCGGCAAGCTCGACCTCTTCACGGGTGCAGGTGATAGCAGTCTCTTTCTCGGCTTTCGCTGCTCAGAGGGAAATTCTCTCACTGCTCCGCCGAAGGTAGACCGCCGACCCAGGCCCGAGGCCCGCTACCACAATTTGCAGAGCTATGGCTACCTTTGCGCCGACCAATTTTCCCTCAGACGTCCGAGACAAGCCACCCCACCAAGAGCCCCCACCACAGCATCTCCAACACCACGGACCCTTCTCCCATCAGCTCAACCCGCCCACCGCGCCTCAGTCTCAGTCGTCGAACCCCCCGCCGCAGATAGCCAGACGTGCCTCGCGCGACCTCAGGCCCCAGCACTCCAACGGCGCAATGGCGGGCGCGAATGGCCATGGGCCCATGGCGGTGCCGGGCGGGCGCGCCAACGGCCACGAGCATAGGGCAAACTTGCGCGAGATGGGCTTTGCCGGCCCGCGCAGCCCCCCAAACAACAAGAACACCTCACACGTCCCCTGCAAGTTCTACCGGCAAGGCGCATGTCAGGCTGGCAAGGCGTGTCCCTTCCTGCACTCGGACGAGCCGCTGACGGAGCGGGCGCCCTGCAAGTACTTCACCAAGGTAAGACATGTGCGGGAGGAGGTGAATCATCGCTAATCAGTACCCAGGGAAACTGCAAGTTCGGCCAGAAATGCGCCCTCGCCCACATCCTCCCCAACGGCCATGTCGTGAACCGCGGAAACGCCGGTAATCACTTCAGCCGCATGAACATTCCACACCACCAGGAGATGCCCATGAACAGCTCGCTGCTTACCATGCAGGCACACATGGGTGGTATGCAGCCAGGCTACCCGTACGCCATGCCCGACGAGTACGCGAACCAGAAGAACCAGTACGACATGATCCCGACCATCGACACCACCTTCTCTTCCCACCCAGGCTCCAACTATGGCTCGCCGCCTAACGAGAACGGCCGACTTCCGATATCGCCGACACAGAAGGGGTTGAGTGTGATGGATGTAGGACTTCCTGCGTCTTTCGATAGCCAGGGTGTATCGACCATGGCGCGATACGGCCCCATTGCGTCTTCAGTGCCTGCCAAGTTCCTCGCAAACTCCCCGCCGTCCTCGTACCAAGCCGACTCGCCCGCGCTACGGAACCTACATGACTCTGCGTTTGGAGATGGTCTGCGGAGGGGCATTGCAGGATTGGGGTCGTCTCCGCCAGAATCGGTAGAGCAGCCAGTTGGACGGAGGATGCTGCATTCTGAACTCGCTGCGAACCGCTCCCGGGGTATCATGTCGTCGAGTGTAGGCGCGCGACCGACATACAAGGACGAGGAATGGGATGAGACGGACATGATTGGCAAATTCGAGGAGGACCTGCTGCCCAATTCGTTGAGCGATCTTCTGACACCACAGGAGAAGATGCGCCGCTTCTCGCGCGACCAGGGCGAGAGCGACAACCGCACTTCACAGTCTAGGTTCGGAGTCTCGCCAACAGCGTCAGACCTCAAGTACGGATCGCCATCAGCAGCCACAGCTTCTCCCTCGCGATTCCAGTCCATGTGGGCCAAGCCTCGAGGGCCGACTTACGACGGAGGATTCGAATCAGGCTCGCTACCCGGCCAGTCAGCCTTTGGACACGTCGGCTCGCCTCTACGCAACTCAAGCCTCCACCCGGGAGCCAGCCCTTCCCTACGCGCCATGAATCGACCGACTACAGGAGACATGAGCCCATACCTCGCATCACCTCCCCGCCAAGCGTCGATGTCCATGATCAGTCAGCAACTCTCGCGCACCCGCATATCAGCCCGGGACGAAAGCGGCATCACCAGCAACCCCGTCCACCCCGGCATCAACCGCGTCACCTCCGCATCCAGCATCGGCAGCTCCAGCGGCCGTCTCGGTATCGATCGCGCTGTAAGCAGCAGCAGTATCAACCGCGAGAGGATCGAGGAGGAGCAGGGTCTATTCAGCATGGAAGAGGAGGATGATCTGAACAAGAGCAGGGACGGCGCTTCGACCACGTCTAGTAACAGCAACAAGCGTTTGAGCGGTCTGTCATGGGGTAGTGGCGGAAAGGGAAGCCCGAACCTCGCTCCTGTTGGCGGTCATCGGACTGCTGGTAGTTCTGCGCTCGGCAAGGAGACGGGTGCGGGTGCTTGGGGTGGGAATGCTTGAATTTGCGGACGACACCAAGACTACTACGACGATAGCGAAGACCTACGCGGAACGCCCAGAGCCAATCTAGCACAACCAGCCACCCACCTCCCCCCGCGAGCCACATCTCTACGACATTCTTCCCCTGCATCACTCACTTCAAAAGAAATCAGGTTGGAAAATTCTCAGCGTTCTGGCGCAACTTGCATACAGGGTCCATGTTTCTCCACGACATCGACCCTAATCCCTCCCATCTTTCAAACGGCATATACATAAAAGTCTCTCAGCTTCGGCTTGACATGATCACCACGGGCGTACACAGCACATTACGGCACGGGCATGTGTCATCATTTCCTTTCTTATCATATCATTTCTTTCTTTATGAGTGGGCGTTCGTGCGTTATTACTTCTTCTTTCCACATGAATGGTGCGTCATGGGTTATGGAGTTTCAAATCAAGATGAACAGTTAGTAGGGGTTTCATGGCAGCGGCTAGGCTTTTATGCTGTATGGGGGTAATGTAGTGGATGTGATGAAGGGTCAAGGGAAACGAGTATTTACGATGGCATATGACTGAGCATGGATGGGCGGATGAATGGGGAAATGGATGGATAGGTAGCTTTAGCTGGAATGTATATATACATATTCTTGATCAACTGTAATCAAACATGCCGACGACCAGCAGCTGCATCACTTGACCATATTCTCGCGTTGGCCGCCACAAGACCCGATATGTGCTTCTTGACAGGTGCCACCTGCCCAATCTCAGCTACCCAGTAACTAGTCTTGAAAGTACCGCTCGAGGATGACAGCTTGGAGCGCTTCATCCGTTCCAAGCAAGCAGAGTATATTCCTAATCTTAGCCTGTAGTCGGAATGGAGAGTCAGCTCAATTTCCTATCCACGAAGTCCATTCAGTGTACTGACCGCATTTAACTCCCGTTCTTGCCGCTTCCACGTTTCAAACTCTGCTCCGCCGTGTCGAAAAGCATCAGCGGCGTTCGCGGCAGCTATCATTTGAGCGGCTCCGTGGCTATGGTATTCCAGATTCTTCAATATTCCTTCAAACTGAGATTCGAAGCCCGCCCACATAGAACCGAAAAATGTAGCCCACGCTATGGCCAGTAAGCACAATACCTAGGTTTAATTTGAGGCTGCAGGTGTATAATACGTACAGGGTCGTTTCACATATTTATATACTCGCCGATGGAACTCTATGATGTCAGAGTATACCAGAGCTAACGCGTGCTGAAAGTTGTGATCGCCAACAAGTGCAACGCCGAGACGATCCAGGCGAGGAAGCATGTCCCCAATCTTTCCGTATGCCTCTATCAACTTTTCCAATGCACTAATCGAATCGGACGTGATCTATACTTCTCAATAAGCATCACGATAGCTATCAAGACGTGCCACTCACCATGAGATTCAGCTTTACTGGTGCCCAAATCCATGGCAGAAAAGGCGTCCCATTGCAAAAGACCTCAACTGCCTTGGAGTAATGCTCCATGCCACGAAGGAAGCGTTCCAGCCCAGCCATATTCCTTTGCATCCGGCGACTGCGAAGCAGTCGCTCGATACGAATCGCTTCATCTCGGACATCTTTGAGATGGGTGTTGTTGAAGAGTCGTTGGTCGTCTGGTGCGACGGTGGATGCAAACCGCTCAAACGCGTCTTGAAGCGTGACGCGGGCTTCGGCCGAAGGGGTATAAGGGGCAGTAGTCGTAGTGGCAATAGTACGTGTGCTATTGAGACCCGCTGTATTATAGGTCTTATCCAAGATGGCGTGTGCGATGCGAGTCTGCGAGCAAGTAACAGCCAGTTGAAAAGCTGTCTGCTTCGACCCGTTACGTAGGTCGCAACAGGCGCCTTCCGCCAGCAGATCTTCAACAATACTCAACTGGCCCGAAAGAACGGCCCAGTGTAATGGTGATTGTTTGAATACATCCTGTCTCTCCAGCTTTTCTGTGATACCACGTAACTTGTAGAACTGTAGAAGCTGTTTTGTGAGAGATCTAAGGCCAAGTCTACAGGAAAGCGAAAGGCCAGTAGTGCAACTTGGAAGGAGAGGATCAATAGCCATATCCGCCTGATACAAATCATCTCTGAGTGCCAACACAGAAGCACGAAATTCATTTGTTGGCGTCGCTGTCGATTGCGAGGTATGTCCATGAAGATCATGGAACAGCGAGATTTGAACCACAGATTCGACCTTCGAATCGTCCTTCAGGAATTCCATTGCAAGTTGATGGAATGGCTCGCCTTCCAAGGATACTGGTAGTTCAGCTCTCTGGCTCTCAACCATGCTCATATGAACTGACCAATGGTTTGCAGCGTAGCTCAGCAAGGGCCATCTTTTCGTGCGCGCGATCAATGATTGCTGGTCTGTACAGATTCCTCCTTCGCATGATCCCATGTTGATATAGGCAAGACATCTCATACCTAATTTCAGGTTGTGGTCTGGAATATATTCTTTGCCTTCGTCGGATCTCAGATACTCCAGAAGTGATTGATGGATAAGAGAGACGTTTTGCGACTCGTTAACTTCCACCAGACCTTGGCATGAGCGTGCTATGGTATTCCAATCGAGCGGGGTCATCTTCGAGGGTAGCGCGCCGTTCAATATCCCGATACTATGGAGTTCCCTAAGCTCCATAGTAGTTAATGGCCGAGCAGCGTCTCTGATGGCTCCAAGCGTCATTGTTGCTCGTTCGCACTGTCGACTAGTCGTGTTTTTGGTGATTCTTCGTAAGTTTCGACTATATGGTCCAGCGAAAGCTGCCAGATATTGGTCAACCCCATCGGATTCCGACCGTTCAGTTGTTTTGATGGTTTCCAAGTCTCGCTCAAAAGTGTCGAAGCCTCCGTCTGGGTCGACAGAACCGAGGTGGAGTTTTGCAAGCAGAAACCTTTACGCGTTAGCACTTGTCAGTCTTGGGGGGAAGAATGCACACATCTTGTTCGACTCTGCGATTATCGTGTCTATCAACCTCTGCCGGCAAGATGTGTCTTGTGCCCATTGTGCCACATATGTATTGAGACGTCGTCGAAGATATGTTCTGATGTCGGCTTCAAGTGCGCATAGTTCAATTGTCTCGAGGTTGTGTCTGAAGTATACTTCCCAATGACAGAGCTTGGTTCTGCTTGTCATGACAAGCCCAATGCGGCTCTTCAATTGTATCTCGCACATGCCTTTAAGCACATCGTCTCTGACATCCTCCCGACACTCATCCAAAGCATCGAGGAAGATACAGACCCATTTCTCTGGAGTACCTTGCTCCAGATGATCTGAAGCTCGAGTCTTCTCTTCTTTGTCACATGCGATTCCGTCCAATATTGCGACTATGGTTGTGATAACATCTTCGGTATAGGGCTCCCGGCCTGGACGCCGTTTCATGAGTCTGTCGACTTCAGAATTAGCTTCGGGAAACCTACAAGTTATATCCGCAAGGACTTTGACGAACACACTCGCAGCTTTGATCTGTGACGGTTCGTCGAGCGTGAAATATACGGATGCGATAGCGATCTCTTTGTCGATGGCGTCCTCACCGGGGTGAATCATGCTTTCCTTGGTAGCAAGCGTTTCGTCCTTCAGACACATCTTTTTGGAACGGGTAGCATCTCCATCGCGTTCTTTCCGAAACCAAGCGTCCTCCAATATTCGTTGGAGATAGTGCATCGTGGCCGTCTTGCCTACGCCCGGCCTCCCTTCAATCACGAGCGCATGACCTCGCGCCTCTAGACAGTTCCTGAAATGGGCATTATGAAGGATCCCACGGGCGCACTCAGGCCCGAAAGTGTCATTGAGCGGCTCGTGAACTGGTTCTGCGCATTTATATCTTTCCAAGAAGGCCTCTCGTTGGACGTCGTCCTGGTCTGTCCACGATGAGAATTTATCAATTCCTTCGTTTAAAGAGCTTCAACTTGCCTAGTCCAGTAAAGAGACCAATCTTCCCGTAGGGTGCTTGAAGGCTCGAATCTTTGATTGTCTGAGTTATATCGCCCCGGTGCATGATCTGCTAACTTCCGACTGTTACACGCAGTTAACGGCGAGGGGAAGCTTGATGATCCGTGAAGAATTGGGTGCTTGCATATGGTGAAAGGTGTGCTACTGACTGAAACCGCGCGTCTTGGTCCAAGCTGACGCTGCACGGCTCTGGTCAATCTGCAATCAGTAGAATCATCAATCCCAAATAGCAGCATGGCATGCCTTGCTTCCTTGTTCGCATCTGTCATTTGATATACCGATGAACAATTCAGCCGCAAACGATATGAACGTGGTATCATCGCAGCCTACCGTTGAGCTGCACAGTCAGGAAAAGGATGCATATTCGGGAGCTGAGCCCATCTCAATACATCAGCTGCAAGCCAAAATAGCGAAAGGTGTATGGTGACGGTAGATAATTGGTAGGCTTTGGGAGTACGAGGTATACCCCGCCTCCTCTGGACAGGGAAGGCGCAATTCCGGTGAACATCATCACGGCAGACAATAGCAGTCGCTTCGCACATGTAGCCCGCATCCCGTCAACTTAAGAAAGAGGGCTATATCGAGCGCGATGGCTGGGCCAGAATTCATAGGCGCTATCTTTGGGCTCGCCGACGTCTCCTTCCGAACCTTCATTTCAATTCAAGAAACAGCGAGCCAATGGAAGCACGCCCCCACAAAGGTCGACAACATCAACGAAGAGGCTTCTTTGCTCATGAAAACAGTTTCTCAGTTATCTGAACTGCTGAAAGACAACGAAAATACATCTCATCTCGCAGAAAGCATAGGTCTCTCGAAAACAGTACAACAGTGCGAAGCCAACTGTGCAACACTGGTGCCATACGTGTCGAAGTGGGCAACCTCGGTGTCGAGCTTGTTTTTCCGGGCCAGGGTCCATTACTTGTTTCATCAAAGCCTTTTCGCAGAAATCCTTGCGGATATTCAGGTTGTTAAACAAAATCTCATCCTGTTTAGCTTACTAGCACAACTGTAAGCTTTGGAGCTCTACCCATAGATCGGTCTGTACTAACATCATCATCAAGATCGATGAGTATGACTGGCGAACCGTCTCAGCCAAACGAGAAGCGGGTCAGAGTCACCCCCAAATCAGTCAAAAAGGATATCAGCAGCATGGATATACCCAACACCACGAAGGAAAAGGCATGCGCCGAAGTGGAGCAGATTGCTGCCGCAGGGCAGTCGGGAGGGAAATTGAAACAAAGCTGGGATAACGTTTCTTATGGACAGTACAGCTCTGTTGGTATAGGGGGTAAGCTGCCGCAACAGATCAGTGATGTCGAGCAGGACTGGAAGACTGTGAAGCCAGGAGAGGGCGGGAAGGTGCGGCCTGCCCCGGACACGCAAAGTAAACTTGGGATCCATTTTGAGTAGCTGTTAGCTAGAAAGACGTCCGGCGAGGCCTGATTGATGTACCATTAGATTAAACTTCTACGGAGTCGATGGCGAAAGTCAGCTTTATCTCACTGTGCTGCCCGTGTGTGCAGGAGGCTACAGGTGCCCACGTGCCCAGGTGGGTGCGCAGGCGCCGTATGCAGCTAAGAGACTTTTGTCTTAGCGCATCTGCCCCGCACACCTACCTGCAACCTAGCACGACGCCACGCAAGCAATTACCCTCAGCTCAATGATCTCAATACACAATGTCAGACGATGTTCAACTCGTACTCCCGCGCCGCAATCCGACAATTGAATGATGGTATCAACGGAGGAGAGCTGTGCGTGCCATGCCAGATAGCTCTAGAAGAAGACGAGCGTGCGGGCTTCGCTAGTATTGGTACTCCAGCCTGGTTGAACAATGGCTTCAGAGAATACGAGGAATACCAGCATCTTACTGAGCCTGTTCTCTATTGCGATTGTTGCCGTCATGTTCTCCGCGCCCGAGAGTTCCAGAGACGACAAGGAAGAGGTCAAAGTCCATCGGTTGATGCGCAGAAGTATCCTGGGGATTTCAACGGGCTGACAACGTGTGTGTTTCTGCATGATGATGACCTGGATTTGCAGGGGTATGAGGCGGCATTGAACGACTTCAAGGTCAAGGAATCAGAGTATAGTCGGACAGTAAGACATCACTGGGCAGATGTGGAATTGATCAAGAGTTGGCTTGTTGACTGCGAAAAACATCACGGCCATGCCTGCAATGAACACCTGACATCAGTTACCGATACTGGGCCGCTTTTGCTTCTGGATGTTATCGATGATTGTCTCGCGGTTGGGAACTTCAAGGATCGGTATTTCGCCTTGAGTTACGTTTGGGGCGCTTCGAAACAGTTCCTGACCCTGATGGAGAATTACGACCAGTTGCGCCAGCCCGGAACTCTCTCCAAGCAGCCTTTGACCCGAACCATCAGGGACGCGTTGACTTTTGTCAAGAGCCTGGGTGAGCGATACTTATGGGTTGATACGATGGTAGGCGAATTCAGCATGACAGATTGGGGTCCCCACTTACGAAATCCAGTGCATCATCCAAGATGACGCTGCCAATAAAGCGAGTGCCCTCGCCCAGATGTGCGCAATCTACAGTTGCGCCATGGCCACGATAGTGGCCCTAAACGGAGACTCCGCCGACGCCGGCCTACCTGGCATTCCGCCTACGGCCCGCAACACCACCGCAACCTTCGTCACCCCTGGAATACACATGGTGGAGCGATCATCCTTGGAGAACATGTTGGCAAACCACACCTACGATGGTGTAGACGTCGATTGTATCTACAACACACGCGCCTGGACATTCCAGGAACGATTACTATCGAACCGGAGCATCTACTTCCTCGGCGAACAGGTGTACTTTCATTGCAAGAAGCAGCTGTTGTGCGAAGACAGATACATTAGCGATGACACCAGCTTCTATACCCTGGACAAGATGCGCACGACAAGCGCAGAACTGAAGTCCAAGACTACTCGAGCTGGCACATATACTCCACTGGACGAGTTTCGTTGGTACGAAGAGATCATCGCAGAATATACGGCAAAGAAAATGGGATATCCGGATGATATTCTCAATGCTTTTACTGGCATTCAGACTATGCTAACTCGCATGTTTGATTGGCCTTTTTTCGGCGGCCTTCCGACTTCTCTTCTGGATATTGCATTACTTTGGACCCCTGTCACTACCACCGAGCGGAGGTTGACTACCTCACAACAGCCAAGCTGGAGTTGGTCGGGCTGGATTGGGCGAGTCCGATACGCAGACCTGGTGCGCCCAGGGCATAGGCCGATAAGCTCGTTGTTCAGGCCGCTCGCCAAACATCAGCTCGCCATGCCAGCTACGATTGTCTTCGAATGTATGAGCGTCCCTCTGAAAGCGTTCGAACTCGCCAAGGCTCCAAAAGGGGTTTTTGACCCATTTCAAAGCACATCTAGCCCCATCACCGAAGACTCATACTACGTCTTCGACAGCAATAAACGTCGCTGCGGCATGCTCATAGGCCTTTCTCAAGAAAATGCGTCTGATATAGCCAGTGACAAACTGAAGCTCCTCGCGCTTTCGGCTTGGAAGTCGAACAACAGTCTCACGAAGAACGGGCCAGTCATCTCTCATCTCTCGGATAATGGATATTTCTCAGACGAAGAGGTGTACGATCAAGCTTTCCGCGATGCAGAGTGGTGTACCTACAACGTCATGCTCGTTCGCTCAGTCGGCGATGCGTATGAGAGGGTTGCAGTGGGACAGATGCACGTAGACGCGTGGCATGGAGCGTGTGAGACGCGTGGAAGGTTCATGGTGAATTGATCATATGGCGATACAGTTACAACGCACAGCTATAACTCAGAGCATGAACAGTGGCAACATGATACACATCCCTCGAAAAGCTCAAGAAGCGTATACTTTCCCAGTGGCTATGTACTGTTCGATCATTGAGTAGGCACGTCGCGCGTTGTGCAATTGTGCAATTGTCTTGCGACATCTCGCCAAACCAGCTCGCTTTTTGGGGTGTTGCCAAAGCCTTCCGCATAACAAGGTCCGCCATCAACAAGGCAGTACCCTGTTCAGTCGGTGGACGCCACCCTCCTAAGAACGGCACCTTCCTCAGACGGATCCTCGAGTATGCCGTGTCGCAGTCTGGTTGCATAAGTATGCTAGGCATTATCTGACTTGGCCTCGACGTCGCATGTCCTCTTTTTGATATTAAGCGGGTTGATATCACCGTTGTCTCTCCAGCACTTCGATTTGCGCGAGGATCACATCCTTGCACCATGGGAGCGGATTTGTCCTGGCGCTGTGCACATTCTCAAGGTACTGCTCTGTTGAGAGCCCGTCGGTGCATATAGCAGGGATCATGCCATGTCTGGCGACGTGTGTAGCGAACAAGAGGCGTGATGTTCGGCCGTTGCCATCTGGGAATGGATGGACGCTGACGTAGTACAGAGTGTCCCATACACCCTTTATCAGAGGATGTATGTCCTCTTGGTCGTGCGCAGCGAACTTTGACCACCGCTCCAGATTCGCTTCGACTTCGCGTGGATAGGGGAATATGGCCTTTGGGTTCGAGCGAACGCTGACTGGCATGTGGCGGATTAAGCCAGCCTTGAATGGCATTTGCATGCCTCGAAACAGTATCCTTGATATGATCCTTATGTCCTCTAGGAGGTTCTCCGGGGTTGATGCTCGCTCGATATAGGTACTCGATAGTACAGCCTGCAGTGCAACAATGTTGTTGCGCAGTTCGAGATACTCTATCTCCTTGGACTCCTCGCCGTTGTCGAGTTTTATCAACTCGCTCGAGGATGGAAGCCGCAAATTCATCGCGTTGAGCAACGCGCTTCCACCGTCTTTTTGCAATGGTATGGCCGCTTCGACCTTCTTTGCGGTCGCTAACGATAGACTGTTGTGTTCTATGGCGCAGCTTCTCCAAGAAAAATTAGCAAGTACGTTACTACAAAACATTGTAGTATCTTGCATGATCTTTGATGCTGATGTGCCCTTAGCTCTTAGCTGGAAATCTTTTCGCAGCGTATCCAAGTATGCAAGTTCTCGACGCATTTGGTGTTGCGCATCTCTCCAGGGTGCTGCATGTCGTATCTGGTAGACCTTGTCCCATACTGTTCCGGAACGGGCGAGCGTATTCCACTCCGGTCCATATTCAAGAAGACCGTCGAATTGCGCATAATGCTTTCTGAGGAGGGTGTTTCGCGCGCGGATGATTTCTTTCGTCCACTTCATGTTGTTTGCGTTGCTGATTTTCTGTTTGTGTCGACGTTCTGAAGTTTGGTGCAGGTTAACAGAATCTTTTCGGAGGTTTAGGGTTGATAGTAGCTGCACTTCTATGGTACTTGCCCCTACTTCCATGGTACTCTCTCTCTGACTTCCATAGTACTTGCACCTACTCAACCATAGCATAGCAGCGGCGAAGGTCCCGAATCCAGCATCACTCGCACTCGCCATACCATTGTAGTATCTTACCATATCGTTGATGGTGATTAGTCCTCAGCACTTAGCTGGAAATTTCTCCGGAGTGTATCCAAATGTGGGAGCTCTCGATGCATTTCATGTTGTGCACGTCATCCTAGGAAAAAGCTAAACAGGTCTGCAGCCTACATTAACGTAGAAACCTACAAAGTAGGTGGCCTAACGTTGATGTAGGCTCTAGGCCTGTTCAGTCTTTTCCTTGTATAGGGTGTGTGCATCTTTCCTGGGTGATGCATTTCTCCCACAGCCTGCATTGGAGGAGATCATCCGAGCCAGCCCACCCGCACAGGTTGTGTGAGGCCAGTACAAGACGCCGACCTTCCTTGTACATGGCACGAGCGATGACTTGGTCCCCTGGGAGCAGTCGCAAGGCACGTACGAAGCGCTCGTGATGAAAGGTGTGTTATCTGGCCTTGCTATCGTCGAAGGTGCGCCGCATATCTGCCACCTCAGTAGCAATCCTGAGTCAGAAGGGTGGAAGGCTATGCTGAAAGGCTATCATTTACTTTCTGCTGCGCTGAACCATTCCAGTTCTGCTGCTGCCGGGTGTTCCATCTGATCGGGTTCTTTCGGTTGCGATAGCCCTCGTTCGAGAGGCCTTCAACGTAGAGGGTGTAGTGTGGATTCGGAACTCATGGGTGGCTCATTCGCGATGGGATAATTCGGTATCAAGGATAATGCTGACTTTGAGAGAGTGCGCCAGCGGCAACTGTGGCTGCTGGTAGTATGGTCATATGCGAGGCTGTTGGAGTGTGGGCAGGCCATCTCCAAGACGCCTGGAAAAGCGCGGGGCTGGGCAGAGTCCAATCATGCGCTAACGACATGTGCTCGACCCCCACGTCATTGTTCCCTGCCACCCTGGTTCATACACCTGCATGGCGCAAAAGCACTGCGCCCACCAGAACTCGAATAACCTAATTAATCTGAAGTAGCCGGCGACAACATGGGGCACTCTACATGTTGCCACGTTCGCTTGCGTGCTGCTCTCTCTCTTTGCGCATCGAAATCGCTGCCAGCCGACTCTTTTCCATTGCGCGGTGTTGCGAAAACTTCCCGAACTCAATAAAACCATCTCCTTCCTTCTGCCTTCACCGTTCGCTCATATACTCAATTGAAAGCCAGGGCTCGAAGATTCTGCCATGGCACATTCAAGGAACTCTGGCCTGTTGTAGGGTTCTGGCGCGACGTGCACGTATCGCATTTGAAGGGTACCCACTCAAGCAGGTCCGCGTTTCGCAATACTTCTCGTCAACAGCACCTCATGCAAGAGAAAACCTGGACAGGTCTGCAGACTACATCAAGACAAAAACTTGCAAAGTAGGTGACCCAACGTCAACGTAGACTCCAGGGTGTTCAAGCTTTTGCTAGTTTGGGGTGACAGCGATGCATGTCCTTACGGTTTCTAAATTCGGAAATAGCGGAGTGAAGCCAACGATACCGTCGCGATGGAGAGTACAATCGCAGCGCTGACATCATCTCACTCACAGGAATGGTGGGGCCGAATCGTTGTCAGGGCCCCAAATCAGCCGGATTACCTGCTGCGCCGCTCGACCTGATGCCAGGTTCAGCATTGAGAGAACCGCTGCGATCCATCCTGAATTTTTTCTTCGCACCTCAGCAGCTATCTTCGAAGCGACTGGAGATAGCGAGATCAATCTACCGTAAACAATGCACCAGTATACGGACTCCTCGCCCCATGAGACCGCCGTGAGCGGACACCAACTCGAACGAAATGAGCCTCATGAACGAAGCGAGGCTGCGGCGAGATTGCGAACTGAGTCCATCTGCTCAGGCGTCAACGTCAACCCAGTGCTTCGATCAAGTTTCGACCCAGTCTCGGCTCCCACTCCATCTTCATTTTCAGACGCAACGTTGAAATCGTCGGAGACACCAGCTTCTTCCGAGCAAACTGGAAGTTCCATCGAGCACTCGCCTGGCTCTCTGCTCGGTAGACGCCCCAGGTGGAAACGGACATGGATAACGCCTGTCACGATACTAGGCTTCTACTTTTTATGTAAGTATGATAAGTAGCGTTGTAAATCTGCTTGTCTGCGATACTAACAGCATTTAATCAGCGTTCATTTGTGCAGCAACGCACTACAGCTTCTTCGCGTATCTCGACGGTCGCATCATATTCTCAGGCCTTATGCCCTCCGCGAAGACCACGACAGTCCCACAAGCCTACGCTACTACGGTATCGCTAGTGCTAGTTACCGCGTTTCGTGCTGCACTTGTAGCAAGCATTACAACATGCTATACACAATACCTTTGGGCGACTTTCAGGAAGCGTGCTCTCAAGGTACTATGCTTCTCATTCTAGCTAGCGGAACGGAAGCTCATGATATGCAGATCAGCCTAATCGAAGATCTTTTCCAAATGCAAACAAACCCGCTCCGGCTTCTCAACTACCACTTGTACTTCAGAACGCCAATGCTTGTCGCCGTAGCTATGTTTTGCTGGCTTGTACCCATTGCAACGCTATATCCTCCGGGTACTCTAGTCGTCGGACTACAACTTTCCTCAATCGATCAAAGCTTCAATGTGTCCGTCTTCCATCACAGAACCCTCCAAGACATTGTGGACGACAATGTTATAGCCAGGATTGGTTGCGAGTATGGTTGTTCAACTCACGACTGCCAGAAGTCTTTTTCCCCGGACCTTGCAGAGAATGCGTCGCTGCGAGCAACTTGTACTACATTCGCTGACCGAATCAACCCTGACTTGGCTTATATCATACGCTCAAACCTGATTGTAGGCGAAATTTCAAGGTTGAAGCAGTCAAGTAAAGAGAACAGCTCATATGGACTGGATTTCTGGGGAACTACCTTAGATTGCGAGACTACGAACCGCTCCATTGTAAGTACAATCTTGCAATTGAATGAGCAAGACCCCACTTATCGGATAGAATATAATGAACCCGACTGCGAGTTGAAGAACATCGTGGGGGAAGGCCCCTTCCCTGGAAACACATCGATCGCTTTACGCGTGGTTCACCGCCAGGATACGCCGCAGTATTGGCCGTGCTTAGACAAAAACAAATGGCACCCCAATATCAATGGCTCGCCATCAGAACTTGGCCAGGACGTCGACTTTCCCGGCTCTGGGATGCACATCATTGTCCCTATCACCGAAACTGTATGTCGTCCAAAAATACGGAAATACTACGTCACCATCTCACACTCTGGGGGAACACAACATGTCTCTTGGGCTTTCAAAGACGAGGAATTCATCCCAGATTACACTAGCGATTTTGGAAGCTTTAACGGAACTTTTGAGCGATGGTTACAGCTTTCCGACGCTGTGTTGATATATCAGAACTTTGCGAAAGAATTTAACCAGTCTGGAAACAATAATCAAGTCCTCCGATTTGATTACCCCAGCAAGTCGAGTGATACGAAACCATATACAATTGGAAATGGTAGTGTGGTGGAAACGTGTGTGCTCGAAGCGGTGCCCATGCGGATGACGGAGAGTCCCAATTTATGGCATGAATTCTGGCCCTTCGGTGTCTTTGAGCAACGGCTCCATGACATCGGTTATGTTTATGACTGCCCAGCATTTGATCCCGACATGGCCAACGAGCTCCTCATCAACACCACAATCTCCGCACTGGCCCTAAACCAGCGCTTCGACATCGTCAATGGAACAGAGACCCGCACCTTCAATATCTATCGCTATGAGAACAAGCTCGCCTTCTTCCTCCCATACGGTCTCTCACTTGCACTCGCCATACCGATCATAGTACTAGGACTCGTAGCTCTCTACGTCCAGAACCGAGGCGTTTCGGCTATCAGTGGAGGTTTCATGCAGCTTCTGATGACGACTACTGGACGCGGTTCACTTGAAGCGGTGGTTACGAGGGGCTCGGGTACGCTGGGCGGATACGAGAATGTTTCGGAAGAGCTGCGTGGGATGGAGGTTAGGTTTGGAGAACTCGTTGACGTTGGTGGGGATGAAGTTAAGGAGACTGACACGCTTCTGAGCGGGCGTGATGGGCTTGTCGATGTGCAGAACGATGATAGCTCGCAGTCAGGTGTACGAATTTCGTCCAGAACAGAGCGGTTCGAGAACAGCGATTCTGTAGCGCGAAGAGCCGGCTTCGGCACGGTCGACGAAGTGATACCATTTAGGAAGAACGCAGAACAGTAGTTGGGAGCATTTGTGCTCTAGGAAGCTACGGAGGGAAGAAAAGTGACGGGTTTGCACTGATTAAGGTTATCTGGACACTTGCAATGCTGATGGTTTAGCTCTGACGGTGACGGTGACGTACACAGAAGTCACTTCGGTTAAAATCGAATCGCGTTACCCTCCGTAAAGCGGCATGTTGTGTAGCGCATCGCATTCGTGAGAACTCCGAAGGTGTTGTGATGATGAGCAAAAAGAGAGAAACAAGAAGCAAAAGCAAAACATACAATAGCGCCCTCAGGGCAATGCTTGTATAGGGCTGAGCGGACGCAGATTCGAGCCTCAAAATCGAACAATACATACCATGTTCGGCCCATCTCTCTTTCGTGGTTTTCTATTCGTATCAGCCAATACGAATGATGGCGTCACGGCGCTAATCTCGGTGTTATGTCGACCGTGCTCACCGGCGGTAAGATTAAGTCTCTCTTCGGTATTGTCTACGGACCGTTTCCAAGCTTACACACCGAGCCAGGGGGGAGGTTGTACTACTTCCTCCTCCCGTTCGCTCGCTCTTCTTCGTAAAGTTTGTTTTACACATTACATTGTAAACCCCAGAATCATCGCCAGACCCAACAATGCAGACGCGCAAAAACCAACAGGTAGCTTTTGCGGCAGTCGCATTCCTTTCTGCCTTGGCGTACAGCTCGCCAGCACACCCGCTATCGCATCGCGATGTAGCTGCTCTATCCGATCGTCATTCTCTAGCACTCCAAGAGCGTGGTATACCGGTCGTCGACTCAACCATTCCCCTCAAGCTGCGTTCCGGCGCTGGCAGACAACTCGCGAAACGCCAAAGCGGTGGGCCATTACGCACCATCTATGACGGAGCGCAATACGCGATTGACGTGACCATTGGCACGGAGACGCTCCAAGTTTTGATCGACACTGGAAGCAGCAGTTTTTGGGTACCAAAGGCCGATTTCGTATGTGTAGACGTAAACGGCACGCAACAGTAAGTCCAACGCATTACCCAACTCTCGTCTGGTACCTTGAATCTGATATTGAACGTTCCTCATTGTAGATCTCAGCCCACTTGCGGATTTCCAAAATTCGGCCCCAAAAGCTTTACTGGTGGCCAAATCGCGGACCAGAACTTCAACGTGACATATGGTGGAGGGGAATTTGCGACTGGCATTGTGGGTCTTGAAGACGTTGGCTTTGGAGGTGTGACCGTCAAGAATCAGAAGATGTCGTTCGTTAGCAGGACCTACTGGCTGAGCGCAGGCAATCTGACTAGTGGACTTATGGGTACGTGAGGCATGTTGTCTGCTTTGAGTGTTTGCTAACGAGAGTGACTAGGCTGGGGACTCGGTGCCACCACCGCCATCTTTGAGGGTGCAGACCCGTCCCAAGACGGCGGAAAAAAGCCCATATTCGTCAAACCATGGCTGGAGACCGCCTATGACCAAGGCTTGGTGGCAAAGCCCATCTTCTCGGTCGTACTCGGCAAGAGGGGCAAAGACGACGCGGACTTGTCAGCTACGGGCTTCCTTACGATAGGAGGAGCGCCATCGTCATCGTCGTTGCCGCTCACGGGTGCCTACGCTACCACGCCTATCCTCAAAGAGACTTTTGATCATTACCAGCTGGAGAACGAGTATGTCCACTATGTCATCCGACCTGACGGGTTTGTGGTCAACGGGAAGTTCATCGCCTGGGCACCAGGTACCTCCGCGGGCACCCATTACGGCGACAGCCAAGAACGATTCACGATCCTGGACACCGGCACCGCTTACACCATGATCCCGAAGGCCCTTGTAGAGACAATCGCTGCAGCCTTCGACCCCCCAGCTTCCTTCAGTGAGGATGACGGGCTCTGGGTGGCTTCGTGCAATGCGAAACCACCTTCTGTCGCCATTCGCATCAACGGAACGGACCTTCCCTACGCCTCATCAGACGTTCTCGTCGACGGCACTCTAGGCGTAATCGACGAGGAGAAGCAGACATGCATAGTCGGTTTCATGGAACCATCTACTCCGCCCTGGGGTGGCGACCTGCCGTATATCCTCGGAGCCAACTTTCACAGGAATGTGCTAGCGGTACACGATATTGGAAACAAGGTAATGACGTTTGGTGCGCTGAAGTGGAACTGATCTCGGCTTCATTGCGGCTCTCATAGCATACACTAGATTACATGACGATAGAAAATACCTTCACATCTGTTATGCACGGCAATATACCGTAGCTCTCTAGAGATCTGTCATGTTCGTTCGCGTAGTGTTCTTCCCCTTTGCGTGTTAGCATCATGGCCAGCCGTTCCAACATGACCGTCAATCCACGGAGTGGTGGTTGACTCCTTCCCTTCATGTCGGTCCGAGGTCGCGATATACACTCAGGCTAGAAGAGTACTCAGACAAAAAGATGCTGAACTGTGCTAGCTTGGTCCTCGTAATGTAGCAGTGTACCTCACAGATAAGCACATAACACAGCTAGACGTATCACTTAATTTATTGAGTCTTAGACTTGTTGATAGGCATAGCTTGGGGAAGATCGCCTACGCAAAGACTACCGCAGCAAGACACAGAGCTCCAGGGAGACCCTGGATAAAGAAAATCTTGGTATTTGCCGTCCACCCTCCATAAACACCGGCCACAAATACACAACCCGCGAAGAACAGAGCGATCTGAGCCGCAAACACGGCGCTGGGGTGGACCAGAGACCACAAGAGGCCAGCTGCCAGAAATCCATTGTAGAGGCCTTGGTTGGCGGCCATGGTCTTGGTTTTGGCCGCAAAGTCAGGCTTGAGTGCAAACGCTTTCAACCCTGCTGGTGAGGTCCAGAGGAACATCTCCAAGGCCATGATGTAGATATGGAGCGCGGCTAGTAGAAAGACGGTAATAGAGGCGAGGAGCGGCATTGTAGGCGCAGATCGAGGATTGGATGCGGTATCGATTCTAAGAGATGATGATTTTTAGGTATGGACGAGTCTGGTGATGAAGGGGAATCAAGGTGAATAAATAGCTGGAGGCCACTTCGGCTTTACTTGAGAAACGCTAGTCTAGATGCGTTGCAGGTATGCTAGCGATACGGGCGAATTCCTTCCTGTGCTGCCGAAGGTTCTCACATTCCAGCGGGAATTCGAGATGAAGCTATGAAAGTGTCTCGCTCCTTTATATATCCCGCTTCTCAACACGATCTTACCCCAGCGTACTACATGTCGGATTTGACTATCATTGCGTAGCAGGGCCTGCGAATTGGCATCATTGCGCAATAATTGACAGGATTGACGATGAGGCTGATAGGTGGAGCGGTGGAGCGGTGGAAGCTACGGTTAAAGGGCGGAGCTGTGGTAAAAGACCGAGACGGCAGCACGTGAAAACGACAACACCTTGGCGTCAGCCTTGAAGCTCTTACTACCATTGCGACCCAAAAATGGTGACTCAAATTCGCCGCTAACCAAGTATCATAGCAAAGTTGATATATTCATACAGCTTGAAAGGTTGAGCTAAGGGTGCACGAGGCTAACGCAGACGGGTCAGGCGCAGACGGGTCAGGCGCAGACGGTTCAGGCGGGGCAGCTGTGAGCGCCGGTCGTTGCTTAGCCTCGCGCCCTGTATGGCCCTGGCTGACAGCGACCATGAAGCAACAACCACATCAACAAGAAGAGATTGAACAGTGTAGAGTCTCAATCGACGTCGACGCATCTACTTTGCATATTCTATCGTTATGTAGTCTGCGGAGCTGTTCAACATCTTTCTTGTATGCCCAGGTGCGGTGCAACCACGTCAGCTATCTCCGTTTTCTTGTGGCACGCTGTCAGTTCCACTTCAGATCTTCCATTCATGGCCCAATATAGCTGTGACTGAGTACAGCAGCATGAACGAGTACGTAGGTTAAACTAAGCCTAGCATAGGTATAGAGAAGTTGTCGGAGAGACCTGAGTAGCACTCGGCCGTAACAACACTCGTGCCGAACACGGACGGGGTAATAGTTTTCCGAGAAAAACGCGTCGCCAACATGATACCAATCTATCAACAGTAGTAACAGTCCTTGCGCACCAACTTGAGGCTCATATAAGCTGGTTGCTTTTGTAGAAACGTTACTTACCAACACTCGGTTCCGCCACGACAACGCTTTCCAGAATCAGACACAGCTTCTATCATCTCGACTACGTCTATGATTTCTGCTCTAAAAGTTCTTCTCCTGATGAGCAGCCTGACACTCGCGTCCGGGGCGATAGCAGAGGTACGGGTTCAAAGCAATGCGTTGTTGGAAGAATAATGCTCACATCTGATCAGAACTCGACATGCCAGTTCAACATAGGTCTTGATACCGTAGGTTTATCGGAGTCGAGCTTCCTCAAATGGTACTAAGACGCTGATTTGCACCAGTCGGATGTCGCAAACACCAGCTATGTGCGCATGATGAAGAACGTCAAACTCCCCGTTTCGGGAACGACATACCGCTACGCCATAAACCCCCCGTTCGACAAGGAAAAACCGTACCTCTTGTTCCTTCATGGCTTCCCAGAGACTTCGTACAGTTGGGTCAACCAGATCGAATACTTTACAAGGCGCGGCTACGGCATCATAGCCCCAGACCTTCTCGGCACCGGTGGTACAGACAAGCCCGTCGAACTGGAAGCTTATAGTCTGAAGAAAATGGCATCTGAGATTGCTGAACTGCTCGACTGCGAAGGTCTCGACAAGGTGGTCGCAGTCTCGCATGACCTGTAAGTCCAATAGCCACATGTTGTCTCGTTTCTAGACCGCTAGACTAACGTGCCTTAGTGGATCTTTTCTACTTTCCCGCTTTCACGCGTACCATCCTCACTACCTCTCAGCTCTTGCATTCTTAGATATCGGCTACTACGGCCCCGGCACAGACTTCAACCAAACCTTCGTGGAGGCATACAACAACATGTCACAGGCAACATTCGGATACCCCATTCTCGGGTACTGGTACTACTTTGATCAACCAGACGCGCACGTTCTCTTGGATGCACATGTAAGCTCAACAATATGAATGAGCATGGACATAAGCTTACAACAGTACAGTTGGATTCTGCATACTCCCTCATGTTCTCGTCCGACACACCAAAAGTAATGGTGGAGAACTTCAACACGATTGGTGCCCTTCAGAAATGGCTATCAGCTGATAGAAGAGCGGAATTTGGCAATGACTTCATCACCAACTCGACTCGAGAGCAATGGAAAACCATCACTCGCGCACAGGGAGGTCTTGAGGCAGGTCTGAGATGGTACAAATCTTTCTTGCGGGGTATCAACTCCGCTGATGAGGACGGTATGACGCATCCCAAATGCTCACTTTGTTTGACATGATCTAATGCAGCGTAGAGATTCGATCGATGTCCGGAGTCATTGAGCAGCCTAGTCTGTTCATCGCGGCGGAGAGGGATGCAGTCGGTATTCCGGCGGAGCAGCTACGTTCTATGCTGCCATACACTCCGAGAATGCAGATTAAAACTGTTGATGCTGGCCATTTTGTTCATATTGAGCAGGCTGATGAAGTCAATGAGCTACTCTACGACTTCGTTCAGGGTCTTCAATAGATGGATACCAAGGTAGCAACGGGATCTGCGAAAGGCTGGGGTGATTTGCTCCTCTTCTCCTTCTTTTTCGAGATGTTGTAGCCATATTGCTTGTTGTAATGGAAAGAGATTGTTTGGTGATCACTCTTTTCCTCTCTACGAGCACATATACCTGCGGTCTTCATCATACGAGAGACTCTTTGCGTTCGGGTTGCTATGAGTTTTACAAGATTGGCAGCTCAGTCGCTGTGCGTCATCGCCGTATTCACAAACTCAATAGCCCCCATATGGCACCGCACTTCAATTCGTGTCAAAGGGATTGATGGCGAGAGTAGCATGTTTGCAGAATAACTTATGTACTGGAGCAGTCCTACTGCGATGATTACCATGTTCAAACCGTTGCTGACAAGATGGAAAGATTGCGACTATAGATTACCCTAATGTTAAAACAGCATGTGATCTGTCCATCATGAAGAGACGCGATGCGAAAGGAGTCAGCCCGTAAGGTATCAACTGTACCCACAGGTGTCGACTTATGAAGACAATTTAATCCAGCAACAAGGGTAGGTTATGATTACGGTTCATTCACGACTATATGGACCGACAGTGACTGATTACCACGAGGCTACGCGGCGATGCAAGCCAAGACATAGGTACAGCGAAGCGTTTCGATAGGATAGATTGATTTCGAACACGGATGCGTAACTAATTCCAAAAACAGATCGATCCACAAGAAGAATTGCCTCAAAGAGGATTCTGAACCACAACTAGGCTACAGCTACACTTGCGGCATCATTCTTGGCCATCACTTCCAAGTGATCACAGAGACCCCTCACCCGCTGCTCAATACCAGCATTGAAAGCTGCGGCCTTCTCGGGATCCCTCGGCGGTATACCCATGATGGGAAAGTCAAGACGAGACTTTTCACACCATTCACTCACCTTGGGCTCCGCCATCCACTTGAGTCTGTTCCTCATAGAAGCCAGAAGGGTCGTGGCATATTCCGCCGGTATGCGAGTGTACGGAAAAGGGTCGCAAAGATAGTTCTTGAATTTTTCGTCGTCGTAGCTGCCTTCGACGTGTCCAACGAGAGCGGCGCTGAACGTGGGCTGGAAGAACTTGATGTTCTGGATCGTGATGTTTCTGCCATTGAAGACGGGAATAGGTGGCACGTTTCCTAAAGCAGCCGCAGCGCAGTCGATGAAGAGAGTGTCAGGCACAGGAGTGTATGTGCCCTTCTCTAAAGTGACCTTGTCTGGGTCAATGCGTTTGACTCGTCCCTGGCGTATGATGTTCGTGACTTTCTTCACCTCGTCAAACTCCGCCTTGGTGACAATCGCGTGCCTAAACATGGTAGGCTCGATGCTCTTGTCCAGACGGTGAGCATGCCCGAATTCCTCCATGCGGTGGAACATCTCTTGAGATGTTTTGGACCCCATGATGGCAGCGCCCTTTTCTTCCAGCAGTTGTTCGGGGTTGGGCGTGGTCTCCGGAGGTTGAAGTGTAGCGCGTTCCAAGAACCAGGAGTCGCGCGGCATGATCCAAGAAATGTTCTTCGGGTCAATGCCTTGAGTTAAGAGAAACGAGCATGCGTCCATTCCAGTCTTCCCGGCCCCGACGATTGTATAGGCGCCGTACGGTCGGTTCAGTGTTGCTAGAGTGTTGGGCGTGACAAGATTGACTTTGTCTGAAACTTCATACGAAGGTGGAGCCATAGAGGGGACTGTGATCTTCACGTATGTGGCGTTTACAATACGAGTGTTCGGTCCAACCCGGATGGTTTTTCCCGTGACAATCGATTGAAACTCTCCATCGCCAGTGTAGTTGTGCAGTGGGTAATAGGTAACGCGACCGGAAGGAAGGAGAGTATTGTTCAGGACCTTGGTGTAATAGGCAACAACCTCGTCGCCCGATGCCACCTCGGTAAGGCCTTTGTTGAATCCAACTTGATCGATTTTGCCATCTCCGAGATGTCGAGAGTTGACACCGTAGACGAAGGATGGTTGGTGAAGGGTGACAAAGGGGTAGGCAACTGTCCAATGACCTCCCGGGCGCGAATAGCGATCGACAATGGCCACCGTGATCTCCTTCTTAGCGGCAATCAGGGAATCAACGAAGGCCATTCCCGTAGCGCCCGCGCCGATGACGAGGTAGTCGGCGGATATAGTCTCGGTCATGTTGATCGGTTCTGAGGTAGGTATGCAGGTTGAGGGAGTCTTTCAGGAGATTGCTGGTATGTTCGAGACGAAGAGATGGAAGTTTGGTATAGCAAGAAGAGAGAAGAGAAAGCAGATTCATATACCTAGGCACATACCTTGCCCGACCGGAACGCGTGTACTGGATTCTTCAATAGGGTTCAACATACCGCTCCTTCGGCATCATTATTTCGCTGTCGATATTAACCGTAGTCCATGATAACTTGACTTGTCCTTGGATGCTCCTGTACATTGCGGCCGAGCCTGTTGTTGTGACAAAGTTGCTCCGGTCGGTCGAAAGCTCCCGAGAAATAGCTTACGGACGTAAGTAACGGAGCCACACTATGATATTCTAGCTTGAAACTGCCATCCTGCCAAGCAGTACATGTGGCAAGCTTACGGACGTACAGGTACCTACTCAGCCTGAAAGCAAGCGCAATAGCATGAGGCCTTGCGGTCTGAGCTTCGTCATCTCGCGATTCTCCAGAATACTGTACCTATTCAGCACCATCTCCAGCACACGAAAAGGCAAGGCCTTACTGTTGGTTCTGAGATTCTTGCTATCGATTCCCTGAGGAACAGTGGCCTAATCTAACGACAAAAGTATCATAGCCAGCGGATGGATGCCCATAGCTGGAGGTATAGACTTCGGGAGGTTCGAAATGGCTTAGGTGTGGGCTCGTATCGCTGCGGGTTCGGCTTCGGGTGCTTGAATTCGCGGTTCTTCTTGTCTACCAAAGCATGATGGTATACAAATCGGAGGCCGCTCGTCTGCTCTGGATTACTGCCGTAGCATGGGCAAAAAAAGGGCAAAAAAGAAGGATGTGCAAAAACATACAACAGCGGGGATTCGCTAGTGGTCACCCACCTAACTACTAATCCGCCGGTACAATGCTTGTATATGGCTGAGCGGACGGGAAGCCTAATTCTCATTGTCCTATGGTCGTATGTGAAGGAATGGGTGATTTGGTGGTATATGAAGCTATTGCGTTGGCGCTGAGAGCAGAACGGCGGCGAGGACGGCATGAGAAGCGGCATAAGAGGGCTGCGGTCGCAGGAGAGAAGACCAGCACTAGGATGTGCTCAGAAGGTGGGTCTGTAGACATGATGCAGTCTGTCCAAGCCTGCATCGTCGTCGGACCTTGGAGACTCGCTGCAGCAAGGCGCAGGGCGCTACCGACGTATAGCTGTGATAGTGACGCATGCCGAGGATGGGACCAGCTTGATGCTGTGGAGCGGAATAGACGCAGCAGTAGCAGTGGTAATGGTGGTAGTGGAGCGGAGGAGCAATAGCCAAGATCCAGGTACCTTCCTCTGCTTCAGGAGCCTCGTGGCGTAGCATGCGTAGGCACGTGCGCAGGCGCGTCCACGTTTCCAAGGCGCGTAAACAGCCGATGACGTAGCGTGGCTTGGGGTCAGCCATCAACACCTGGGCAGATGGCGCATACATATTCAAGGCTGGGACTGGCCGCTGACACTTCACTATCTTTCACAGCGACAATGTTTACCACCAAGGCGACCTCACTGCGAGCTCTGTCTCGCGTGCCATGCCAGGCCAGGTGCCCAGCAGCAAGGAGGCCTTATGCGACAGACCATGAGCAGCGCACCAAGGAAACGCTGAAGACATCGTCGCGATTGACATGGTGAGTAGTTGCGATTCCAACTCTATGCGCATTGCGAATTGCGTCCCCATACCAACTGGACACGCCATACTGACTCCGCTAGGCTCACCACCACCGCGGCCGCCGGCGCTGCAGCCCTCTACTACACCACCACCCCATCCACGTCATCCGCCTCCACCTCCTCCGCGCAATCAACCTCTAAATCCTCTCCACCTCCTTCGGCGTCACACGATACCAGCCGACCAGGGCATCGCCACGAATCCGAGTACGCCTCCGACGTCCCCAAGCCCGTAGAAGACCGCCACGGCGACAGCGTCACCAAACATAGCATCGCCGCGCACAAGAACCAGAACAAAGTTCGCGAGGGCAAGTTCTCGGGCAAGGAGTTTGACAACCATGAGCAGGTACATTCGCCGGGGAAGCCTGGAGGTGACTTCGAGGTGAAGCGGTAGGATGGATGGAGGGGATAAGGGAGGTGAAGAAGGTTGAGCGTAGTAAAATGGATTGCAAAGTCACTGAGCGCACTCATGCTCTTCGTCGATATCGCAATCTAGTTCTATTTCGCTTCTAGTGTTCTGATGAAGGACAAAATATGCCGGTGCATCATGCTTCTTTGTCATGTATTTATTTCGGCTCGTATGCATCATAGCTCTAAGTCTCTCTTGAATCGCATTTCCGCATATCTACTGCGGTCCAAGCCCTGCATCTCTCAGCTCCTTGAAGAACTTGTTGGAGAAAGCCGAATCGACAAATTCCAAAAACTTGGTAACTTGCTTCCCGTCCTCCGTGAAATGCAAGATGAGCGCGTATTCGTTCGCATACGGTCCAATGTCACTGTCTGCTGTACTCGTCGCATGCATAATACATGTATGCGCATCTACATCATGCACTTCTGTGTGAACGGTGACCTAATACGATGTCAGTCGCTTAGACTCCTAAGAGGAACAATCCTTGCTACCTTGAAGTTCCTGAAATGTGGAATCATCTGACTGAAGCGTTCGCGATACTGGGTATTGTTCATGACTGGCCGGCCAAGAGACGCAGGGAGGACTTGTTGTGTACAGTCTTCCGTTCGATAGGCCATTATCTTGTCCATGCTCCATGCGTTGTATCCATCAATGACAGCTTTGGCCGTTGCTTTCTGGGCGGCAAGGGCGGACATTGCAGATAAGTTAGATGATCAGAGGAGGAGAATGTTGATGGTGTTACGGCGGTGGGGTTGCTGTGCGGTGGTACTTGACATGTACATGTCAGACTGATCCCAACAGGCTAGCATGAAGCGGGCAGGTGGCGGGGTTGATGCACACATGCTCGTCTACTGGTAGCGGATACTCGATGATTTAGGTTTGTAAAGATGCGTCATGCTAGGATGACCATGTTGGGCGACAACCTTAGAAGAGTCTAACCAACCAAGCTAAGTCATCACACCGCGCGCATCTCGTACCGCTGGCTAGGCTACCTCGGCAGCTTGACTTCATGCCTGTCGCTGTCTTCTTAGATACCCAAACCGCCACTCAAACCTCCCACCTGGGCGATGTCTCGATGACTGCGCGTTACGATAAGCCGCGGCTTCGCGCATATGCACCTGATCGCTGACGTAGGCACACATGAGTGGGGAAAAGCAAAACCGCCTTTGCTCTGCAATCAGCCACCACCATCAAGAATACCGCGAAAGAACAAGACGATAACGCGCCCTTTATCCCCCAAATCGAATCGGAACCCGGTTTTGGATCGTGCTGTTATTGGAGACATCGCATGCGTAAGCGGGGAACGCTTTTTGGGATTTGCATTGAGGATAGAAGAGAGGGAGGGGGCACAGCCATTCGGATTGATGAAAACCCTTTTGGTCTTTGAGCGGATTGAACTGGGCGCAGCGCGGTAAGCATGTCCAGTCCCTATAATTGTTTTGATAAAATGAAGTCGGGGGTGGACAAGGAAGGAAGGAGAAGGGCGGACAGATGAGGGGTTATATACAGCCCCAGCATCGGAAGACACATCGTTGCTTTCAATCTCCGCAATTAAGAAGAGGGGAGAGAAACGAAGGACGGTCATGGATATCCAGTTTCTGTGTTTTGGTATTCCATTTTCGAGAACTCTCAACAGCACAGGAAACATTTTTTCTCCACATGCGAATTTTGGTACAATAGCTCCATCGAGCGGATAAGGAAGGAAGAGGGGTTCCAAATGATCAAGGCTGTGATATCGCACTCGAACACATGTAGCTGGACTCATCGCTTTTCTGAGAATGAGAGAAAGACGTGGGACCTTGTCGTTCAAGAGATAGGACCGCCGAACTCTCGAAGCGGACCATGTACGCTTCGGAGCAAGTTTTTGGAGTGACGTTTAAAATCCCAGCTACGAGATGTAACTTTGAAAAGTGTGCAAAGAGCGCCGGCACACAGCTCTTTGTACATCATGTTTTGTCTCAGCGAGAGTTTCCAATCATCGCCAATAGCCCTTCGTTTTTGAGAAGAGCACAGCAGCGCAGACATGTCTCAGCGGTATCGAAATTTTGGAAAAGAGGAAGAGTGCTCAGACATTCGAGAAAATGATTCGAATTTTGGTCATAACACAGGGATGTGTGGATGAAGAAGAAGAAAGACGGAAGGCGCGAGCAGGTATTTATGCCCGAGCACGACCCACTGCCCATACACAACATCCACCCTCGATTTGTAAATTGATCGAGAGTAGTAGCCAAGGCACAGTTCGAGCCCACTTCCAAAAACACCATCGCATTGGGAAACGCACTTTTGAGAATGTGAAATCCGCTTTCGAGATCGAGGTTGCAAGGTTCCTAGAGATGCAGAACATGACTGTGAATTTGTAGCTTTTCGTGCGAGCACAGCGCCAGGCAAATAGAATAGTGGAGTCGTAACTTTAGAGAAAAGACCAGAGCCGGCGGGAAAGTCATGATACTCTTTCTACGGATTTTTTGGTGTATGCTCCAGCTAATCATCTGATTTGGTTTTTTGGAGCAAGACATCAGGAAGTCGCCAACAGAACATGAGATTGACTTTGGGTATTTTGAAAGGAAGGAGCAGAGTGCCCGCAGACATGATTGTCGCCGTCTGGTCTTTTGGTAAAGGAGGAAATGAATTTTGGATGATGACCGGAAAGAAGGAAGTCGAGAGGAGCTTATATACCCGTGCCCAAGCGCCGAACGCTCGGACACTGCAAGACTTCCTGTGGTCAAAAGTGGTGGTGGTGATCATCATGATGTATATATATTGCACGACCATGTATCTCAGTCGTGTTCCTTCTGCTATCTACGTATACACTCACCCAACAGTCGAGACATATTCGTGTACATGAAAGTACTCATTAACGTCAAAACCCGTCTTTCACGACGTGAACCAGCAGGATATCCACCAGCCGTGTCGCGCCAGTTCACACTACAGAAAGCGCCGACGCTCAATATATACCAACAGCGCCCAACAAAGAAGCCACTAAACTATGCAAAACGACATTCAAGAAGTCAAATAGGAGATACAACGCGAAGGACTGACGGAAAAAGTCATCATCCTAACCGCTATAAGTATGTCCCCCCACCCCCCTTCTCAAACTCCTTAGGATCCCTTGGACTAAGTTCCGAGCCATCCGTATCCACCCTTCTTATCGCCGGTCTGTTTTGCACTCTCTCCGGCTCAAACCCTGGACTAGACGTCCGTGGCATATCCCAGTCATCTGAGTAACCTGGTGGACCAGCCAGCTCATCATCATCACGGCTTGCTATAGGGAGGAGATTTGTTGAATCGCCCTTGACAAGGCCCAGTCTCTCTTCCTCGGTAGCAGTAGCAGCTGCTTTGCCCTCTCTGCTGCTCTTTCGACTATGCCTACTAGTCGGACGCACTTTGCTACTTGACGCTTCGCCTGTGGACTCTGAGCGGTGCCGGGAGAAGACGTTTTGGAAAGAGAATTGACGTTTGGCGATGTGAGGGTTTGGACGTGGGGGAGCGAGGGAGTCGTTTGAATCGGTACGGCTGTGACGATATTGCGGATCGGGGAGCGCGGCGAACTGTATGTGCGTGTCGAGTGGCTTGTAGGATGTGTCTTGTGTCATTATAGTTTGCTTGTAGGATCCGGCGTCTGATTCGCGGTCCGATGCGCCGTCTGCTTGTGGGATGGACGGGAGTGTCTGCATGCCCATTCCTGCAGTCCCTGGAGCGTGAGAGCTGCCGCGACTACTAGTCGATTTGCCTCGGGAGCGCAGTCGTTGGAAGAAGCCGGGGTGGAAGCTAGCGTTGTCGTCGTCGTCGTCGGATTCGTCGGTCGGGAATTGTGACATCCCAAGAGGGGGGTGGATGGTTCGGGTTTGGACAATGGTGCCGCTGCGCGTCGATGGCCGATTGGGGTCGAGAACCGTTTTACGTCTTCGGAGACCGTCAAACTCCACCTGCTCGCCCTCACCAATCGGTTCCATGTGCTCTTCTTGAATTTTCTTCGCCTCGGCGAGTTCCTTGTGAGACCTGGCCTTTGACAGTGATCTGAGGATTGCTGCGCCGCCACGGAGGGTGTCTGCTCGGGGCTCGTATTCTGGCTCCTCCATCTCTGCGACCGTTCGCACCTGGTCGAGGTCGCCCTTGAAGACGGCTGAGTCGGGAACGTCCTTTGCCGATTTGGAGAGTTGTAGCAGAACGACTCCGGAACAAATCTGCAAGAAGCCCATGATGACGGTGACGATCTGAAGTGGTGTGCCTTTGAAACCCTGGAAGAGGACGGCCGAGGTGACGATAGTCGCGGAAGTGAAGAAGACGTAGTAGGTTGGTGTTACCAAAGCAGCATTGAACAGATTCAAAGCTTTCTGGGCAAAGCTTAGCATACTCCACATGGCCAAGAAAGAGTGAGGGACTTACGTTGAGGTAGATGATCTCCGTCAGCAATGTGACGACAACAAAGACGAGCAGCACGTAGAGGAACCATTCCTTAAACTGTCCGCCGTATGTGCCAGAAGCCTGCGCCACTACAGCAGCACCAAGACCCTGGGTTGCGACAACACTCAGCCCTCCGATCAGACTGCAGATGGTGATGTAGACCATCATGGTCTTCTTTCCGTACTTTGGGCCGAGCCAGAGAGCAATGACAACACATGCGACGATGACGACACCTGCATAGCTGAGAAAGCCGGGCGCAATGACCCATTTCTTCATGTCTTGAATACGCGCCACAGACGACTGCTCGGGCGCGTTGACTGCAATGACAACAGATCCGATGATGCAGTTGAAACAGCCCACCTTTCCAACAAAGCTCAAGCGTTCCTTCAAGAATATAGTGGACAGTATAGCGCAGATAACGACGGAGAGGGCACCCATGGGGGTTACGAGGATAGCGTCGGTGAAAGCGTATGCGACAAGGTTACTGCCAGGTATTAGTAGGGTGTTCAGACGTGATGCCTCGCAGTCTGTACCAAATTTCTCCAACAATCATGAGGGTCATGCCGAGCCACCACCAGGCG